CAATTACTAACGAAAAAACGATTCTAAGTGGAATTCAGTTGATTGTGATAATTTGTCAACAATATATCCATTATATATATTACAATATATCCATATATTTCCATATTATATTAAAATAATTAAATAGATCTGATATATTTTCTTTAACACTATTTGTTTAATGTTGTATCGATTTTCCCAGTTTTCCTATTTTTTTCCAGGTTTTCTAATGTTTAATCCCGGTTTTTCACATTTGCTGGAAAAACTCTTGGGAAAATCGGAAAATGATCTCTTTAAAGTACCTCACTAGTAAAATTACCTTTTAGAAACATTGCTATATTAAAAAGTTAGATCAAAGTTTCTGGAACAAAAATTCTGTACACGAAAAAAGAAGGCCGTAAGATATTTTAGTTCATATCTACTTTTCCAATATTTTCCGGTTTTTCAAATTTCATGAGAAAACTTTTGAGAAAATTGCTTCCCTAAAGTACCTTCCCACGCCGATTTTCTTTCAGTAAAGTTGCTACACACAGAAATCCGAACAAATCTTCTGGTAAAAAAGTTATGCACAGTTAAAAAAATAAACATTTTTGTAAAACTATAAGCTTCTTTGCTCCACTCAGAATCTAAAATGATTTCTTTGGATGTACCATCCAATGAATATTTCCTTTCATAAAAGGTGCTATACTTGATAATCGAAGTAGGCTTTCTAGTAGAAAAAGTGTTCACATAAAAAAATAATAAACGTCATTGTAAAACCAATACTTTCCTCGCTTCACTCAAAATCCAAAATAAATTCAAACTTTTGCCAATAACAACCTTATTAATAATCTTTTTATCGTGTTTAAACTAAAAAACCAGTTTTTAAAGTACTAACTAAACCTAAAATGTAACAAAAAAAGTATCTTGATATATTCTAGGAGAAAACTTGTTTACACACAAAAAAAAAAAATACACGTCATATAGTAAAATCAAAAGATCCCTCGCATTACTCACAATTTAAAACGAGGGATTTTGTTATTATCAATTTCATTAACCCACTCTCACTCCCTTTTTTAATTACTTGTATGACGTTAATTTTTATTTCGGTATAGTAACCCTTCTCAACATATTGACGCTATAGTGATGGGTCGGTCACAAAAGTATAATGAAAACAAAACAGCTCTGGTTCATTAGCCGACGACTCGCAACGTGATCGCCATGTTAATATTGCAATAAAATTAAAATAACGAGTGACGGACCACAATATAATATTATGGTGTCAAACGCGCGAAATAAAACGAGCTTTCGGTTTGTATACCTGATGTTTTCGTTGTAAACACGAAGATACGATTCATTTGTTGACACAAAATCCACTCGATCGCGTCGTTTATGAAATAAATAAAATCAATTTTATATTTTCAAAATGCCTTTTAATAAACAGACCGTATAGCATACGTACTCAACAATCAGCAAATGGTTTCCGTCAGTAGTAAACGTTCGTTTTGCAAATGGCATCGTACTATATAGAAGTCATTTACTAGATGCCCAACGAGTTCACAAATGCTAAACGGCGAGGCGTCCGTTATTGTAGCGATGGTAGGAAAAAATTGTAAATGTCGCGAGCCGGGTAATCGGTTTTATTGGAAACAGAATAATTATTATGCGGTGCTTAGACACGACCATAATTCGTAGAAATCAATTTTCACATCGTCTGTGTGGGCTGTATAATTTCTATAATAAATATTAATTTTTTTATGCGTTCGGAAATATACGCATAATATTGACGACGGTAGCGTATTTACGAGGTAGATCAAGGAGGTAAATCTCTCACAATTTTTTTTTAATACCTAGCTATTATTTATACAACGCATACCTATATTAGATTCTGAGAGAAGCGAAAAAGTTTATGATTTTACAAAAATATTTATTTATTTTTTATTTTTTTTATCCCTAATTTTTTTATGCCTAATTTGTCTACCATAAATTTTGCCCCGGTTTACAATGATAACATTTTTGCTAAAATTAAATTTCACTTGGGAGGTACTCCTCGAAAGTCAGTATTCGACATTCTCCAGGAGTTTTCTCAATAAATAAGAAAAGCCGGGAAAAAAATTGTAAAACCTTAAGAAAAACAGGAAAATAAGTACTCGTACAATATTAAACAAATATTATTAAAGAAAATATATAATGCCTATGTTATTATTTTACCAAAATATAACATACATATTGTTGGCAAAGTATCACTTAATCGAATTAATTCCGCTCAGAATCATTTTTAGTAAGCGATGGTTTATCGTTGCTTACAGATACGAATTGATTTACCCCCTACATCCTACCTTCTCAATTTCTTACCAACAACAGTGGCTGCATCCGTCCTCATTATCCTAAGACAGCTTTTTTTTTCTGTTTTCGTTACGAAGAATTAACTGTCGAAGTCCCTATGGGAAAACTATTTTTTTTTCCGCGGATAATTCCTTTCAACGAACTAATAATTATCACCGTCAAAAGTTATTATAAAAATATATATTTTCGCTGAATATTGTAAAACTGAAATAAAAATAACTGTTAAAGAATTATCGTTATCCACTCCATGATAATATAATTCGACCGCCACTGAGCGCGTTTTAATTATATTTCAATAATGTGTTATTACACTGCAGATTTTTACCGAATGATAAACCAGATAATAAACTTCTTCGTATAGAGGAGGGCCATACCAAGAATCGCTTTAACTGTCCGATGCGCAAATACGAATTTCAGTTAAACATTCCTTTCGCTGTTTGGTCGGATGATTAAAATGTCCTTTACACACTAAAATCACTAAAACGATTTTAATCGAATTATATGGAAACCGCGTGTCTACTTTTCGGACATATCCGAATACTACATTAAATATTTCGCAAAACAAGGATTAAAATATTTGTGCCTCCATTGCAAAATCGTGTTAATAATAACCGAGTAATAGGTACTACAAGCCAAGGGGTTTGCTTTTAATTTCGAGTGGAAAATATAATAAAATACATCACACGAATTTTGTATGTTTTTCTATTGTTCTTCATCTGACACCATCAGTCAGTTTGATTGTAAAAATCGTTTTGCATAGGTAAAAGATCCTCGGACAAGAACATAGGGTATATTTTTTCGGTATTACCAATCGTTCTTTTCAAATCGGACAAGTTAAGCTATTCTAAAGTTGAATAACTTTTTTTTATAGAACTGACGGCCAAAAAAATAAACCATCGTACTTCATCCTTTTTTAACGGTAAACATTTGTGTTTTTAAATTAAAACTTTATTTTAGCCCGAGTGGTTCTTGTCCACGCAAGTCGTCGTTTCGTAAATATAACAGTTTGTTTTATTATGATAAAACAAAAAAAAATTCGCACGCGGTATACACAACATGGCATTGATTCGAAAGTGAATGAGATTATTTTCGAATTTAGTGTCGTTTGAACTGCCTATACACAACGCCTGAAATAACGGTCGGCTAACGTCCTTTTACGAGGTGGTCGGACAACCAATATTTAAGGAGTTTAGACTAGGCAACTTTAACGACATATTTGAAAAAAACGAAAATTTATCGACTCAAAAAATTAAAATAAATTTGATTATAAACTTAAAATGATCTTGAGTTCTTTACATAAGTATTTACTGTGTAAAACTATTTAAATAGTAATGTACAAGGAAAAACTAACGTGGTATGTTTAAAATCACTGGATATTCTGTTGAGTAATCTGTAAAAATAATTAAATCGATACCAACTACAAATTATAACCGTTCTGTACTAGTTTCTCTAAATTAAAATAAATCCAAGTCGAAAATATCTAGCTCTGTTTTTTTATACACTTTAGATGATGAATTTAGCGAAGAATGTATTGGTTTTACAATGACGTCAATTTTTTTACTTTTTTAATGTGAAGACTTTTTCTACCAGAAAGCTTACTGCGATTATCAAGTTAAGCACCTTTCCTGAAATGTTCTCTGGGTGGCACATTAAATAGGTAATTTTTTGAAATTATCATTAATATTTGAGAAATTGAGAAAAACCTGGTTCTTAAGGTTAAAAATATCGAAAGATAAGGTTTTTGATTGGCGACCGTTTATATTTATTTTTTGTTAAAATTAAATTTTAATTATTTTAATCTTTTTCGTTATCATGGAAACGCTTATTGTTGTAATCATTTTATTATAATATGCAATATTATATATTTTTGAAAAAGCAACACTATCAACTAAACTTCGCTCAAAATCGTGTTATCATTAGCAATAATTTAACGTTGCTTACAGATATACTTTAAATTTCCATCGATATCGTATTTACCCAACTTGTCACCTTTAGACCATAGAAAACATTTTTTTTATATAAAGCCATACATTTTCAGGTCATAGAGTATCGATTTTCGCGTGATCGCATACTCGGTTTTTCCCAAATAATATGAAAACTGTTTGAACAATAAAAAAAATTGCATTAACTAGATCCGAAAAGCAACAAAATAATTGTCGTGTCGACAATTGTCTTGTCGTTTTTCGTCTGGGGCGGGATTTCTGGTCAAAAAAATGATTCTGTGGTAGAAATAAAATGGCACACAGTTAACTTGAGATTTCTCGCTACGCGTTCATACTGAAAGTATGTCTTATCGAATGGCGGGTCGACGGCATCGAAACACAGTTAACATAGGATTGTCTTTGTTTTTCTCCGGATTTCCTCCGCGCGTTATTATTCCGAGATCGCGGCGGTGTACGGTGTAACGTTATTATCACACGCGGTACGTTATACGTTATTATACACGCGAGGCCGTAGGTACATTATAGGTGTTATATTATTGCCGTGCGGCATAATGCGCTCGTCGCGCGTATGAATATTATTTTGCGATGCAAAGGAGCCGAAAACGCCGACGCCGCCGCCGAGAGTCGGATCGAGCGAGCGGAGCGGGGCGGGGCGGGCGTGCGGGAGAGGAGATGCGGAGCTCCGTCGGGGAGGGATCCGTTCGCGATAAAACGAGCCGAGCAAAATATTAATTAGAAGCGACTGCGCTATACTTACGCGTACACGGCTATACCGGGACGCGTATACGTGTACACGACGCATAGACGGCGGCGGCGGCGGCGGAGGACTCGGATTTCTTCCAGCGCGATGTTGCGGGCGGCCGCGGTACACTCGCGGGGCGGCCGGGGGCTTTGACATGCCGGGTTCCGGACCGGTGACGGCGGGCGGGCGCGGCGCGGGCGCGGGGAGGACGAACGTCGACGGGTAGGTATACGTGTACGTATATATAACTATATATACGCGCGCGCGCAGGGGTGTGTATATGTCTTCGGGTTTTGTATTAAGTATATAAGGTACCCGTGGATATATACGTATATACGTGCGTATACATTATACGAGATTATTCGGTAGGAACAAAGGATCCCTGCGGGTCTACTTTCGAGCCGCGCGTCTTAGCGTGCATTATTAAATTGTGTATATATGTGTGTATGTGTGTGTGTGTGTGTGTGTGTGTGTGTGTGTGTAAATATATATACATATATATACGTATGTATACGTATACGTGCGGGCGCGCCGCGTCAAGACGAGAGGGGGGGGGGAGAGAGAGTGAGAGAGAGAGAGAGAGAGAGCCGAAAGACGGGGGAAATTCTAATTTAACGCGCGCGCGAAACGCCCGGAACACGAGCGCGCCCGCCCGCCGGCGCCGTACGCGGTCGTACAGATCCGCGGCGAGCGGGCGGCACGGACGACTCGGAGCGGGAAAACTCGGCGGCTGAGGCTGTGCGTGCGCGCGCCAATCCTTCGGGCCAATAAGAATGCCCGAGATACTCGGCGGAGCTCCACCCTCGCGCCCCGCGACGCCGGGTCGCCGGGTAGGTTTTAAGAAGAAGCCATCATGGAAAACGCCGCAGCAGCCGCCGCCCGCCCGCACCGATTTAATTTTCTATATACGCGCGCAAAGTTCCGACGACATTTCCGTGTCAAAGTCTCGAGCGCCGGAGCCGCTATCCCGCGCCTCGCTCTCTTATTCGCGGCGGCCGCCGCCCTCCTCGCTCTCTTATCTCCCGTCCCGCGCACCCCTCCGCCGTCTTTCTTTCTCCCGGCGGCGATGACGGGGTTTCTCTCTTTATACCGCCTTTGGTCGGCGCGCGCGCCACGCACGCACGCACGCACGCGCACTTACCTACCTCCCCGCATACCGACGGTATTATTAAATACGCGCGGCGTATACCTTGTAACGCGTATACGGGCCCCCCCCCATCCAACGGCTCTTTCTCTCTCCCCTCCCCCCCCCCNCCCCCCCCAACGTCGTCTGTCTCGCGCCCGGGATTCCGTCGGATCTCAAATCGAACGCGCCCGGGAAGAGAAAACGCGCGGTAGAGAAAAAGAGACGGCGGCGGCCGAGCGCGGAGTTATCGCGGCTCTCGCACGCGAGAAAACTTTCCCGCTAAAGTGACGGGGCGAATTCGCGCGCCCGTACACGATAATAGAAGAACTGCGTACCGCCGCAAAGTTTTAAGTTTCGACCGGGATAAATATTGCGCTACGGAGTTCTGGCGCGGCGTTAATGGGTTATGGGACGTTTCGGTATAGGCGGGGGGGGGGACGCACATAATATTAAACGTATACCTATACCGCCGTATCCCTCGCGGACCGAAAAGATATTTCTCGTCATCGGTTTTCCCGACGATACCCGTGCACGACTTCCTTACGCGGGAGTACCGGAAGGAACTGCACTAAACAAATATCGAAAAGAAAAAAATTACCATATTTTACGGTGTTTTAATCCATCCCCCCCCCCCGATCCCTCACTATCCGGCGGTCAGTATGGGTTATGTTTATGTAGTACGATAATAAGCGGGATCTGCGATCCGAGGGCGGACGGGACATACGGGACGTAACCCGAAGATCCGACGCCCTTTGTCGTCTTCGATATTTGTATAGTTTTCTTTTTTTTCGTTAAGACTTTTTAACAAATTGTTTTCATTGAATCCGAGAGTTTTATTTGATTTTTTTAAGAATATTCACTATCGCGTATTTGTTGAACCCGAATTCCGTTTCGAAATAATATTATTATTATTATTTTTTTTTATCTTGGATTTTGTAAAAAAGGTTTTTTTTTTAAAAAAATAAAAATGTATTGAAAAAAAAAAATTAATAATTATATAGTAGAAGCACCGTAACTCTGCGGGGTTCTAGAACTATTACGAGAAAACAATATTTAAAAATATTAAACAGAACAAAACTGGTTTCGGGGGCTGGATCTTGGTGTTCCAGCGCCTGTACAATGCATATCTTTTGTGAACGTGTTGATACACCATAAGGCAGTGATTCCCAACTCGTGGACCGCGGGCAACGTGGTACCAGGGTCGGTAAATTTTATATTATTTACATTATCATAATAGGAATATAAATACATTAATAAAATATAAATATTTCGATCGAGATTTGGTAATAATCACACAATTGTCGCTATCGTACAATTTTCTTGATTGTCGTTTACCATTATCTAGTATTCTAGAATATTTTTGTTACTTTTATCGTATAATTTCATCATGCTCGACATGGATTATGGAAACGGTGCGCTAAACTCATTAGCTAAACCCTCGTGCAGGGAGAAAAACAATGTAAAAAATTGCATTGCTCGTAATATAACTTTAACCGCGATCGAATACAATAATAAACTTCTATTTTATTTTTATAAAAAATTATTTTTAATTTTTCTTGTACTGTATGTATTCCTAGTTACGTATGTACTATGTGTACATACGTACGTACGTGTCAGGACATATAAATTTAAATATTTTTCATATTGATATATTGGTCATACGTATGTATTAGGTGTTTTTATTTTTACCCTTATATTAGTTTAGTGGGCCTCAAAGTTTTTTTTTTTTTTTTTTACAAAATTATTGGTCCGCAAAACTAAAAAGGTTGGTGACCGCTGTCATAAGGCATAGCGTTACAGAAGCAGGGTTGCTGTGATGCCGAATTATGAAAAAAACCTTCTTTCTATAAACACCCGTAATTTTATTAACGTGTTATTATTATTATTAACACGATTAATCGTTTTATCGTGTAAATTATACTAATGATTAGTATTGAGTGGAAATCAAAAAATTACATTGAAAATACAGCTGGAATAATTCATTATTATGTCACATAAGGACCGATTGGCAGATTTCTTTTAGTTTTGATAAATGATTAATTTTTAATTTCAAACTAGTCCAAACAACAGCTGAACCATAATATTTGAATTTTTAATTTGTTGTAATATTTGCAATAAAATTAACACAATAACAAAATAACAAATTAATTGCTATTGACAAAATTTAAATTAATATTTTAGTGCACAGGACCGCAATGACCATCATTAATCCCAAAATTATTTCCAAAAGAAATTTACTACTCAATTATTATTTCTATTGAATAATAATAATTATTATTAGTTCTTAAAAATTATCCTTATCCTCCCACTCCCTCACGGCGAAATCATTTGACCACCACTGGTACATCTTGCAATCAACACCCGAAAATCGAATTAAAAAATACAATGTCATCCAGTCGAAATATTCAATGTTACCTGAAAAATGATCGCACTGTATACCTATTGGTTTAGACATATACAACAGGTCGTCGTCACACAACCGAGAGTATTAAAGAATATTATATGTATATACGAGGGCTAATCAAAAAGTATCAATACTGGTAGTATCATTCGGAAAAGGAGCATCAAAGAGCAGTAGGATTGGTATCACTTGCTTCTATGAATTTTTCTGAGTACATTTGTTTTTATTGCTTCTCTATAAAATTCTTCGGTTTGATTTCACTGATATTTTTGTAAAATATATTTTTCGAGTTTGGCGGTAAACCCAAAATAAACCCAAAAGAAGAGTGACAGATTTGGAGATTTTAGAAAATTTGTCCGCATTTTTTTCCAGTTTCAGAGGGATGCAACGTTTCATGGTTTTTGCCATTAAATATCAATTGAAAAACTGAAAATGTGCCCTCGAGTGGCAACGAGTTCCGCTTCTTTTGGATTCATTACGAAATAGCCAAACGTGAAAAACGAATTTTAGAAAAATATCGTCAAATCAAAACGAAGAAGTTTATAGAGATTTCATACGAATATATGTGCTCAGTATAAGTCATAGAAGCTAGGTTTACAAATCGTTTTGCTCTTCAACGCTCGGTTTCCGAGTAATATTATCAGTCTCGATACGTTTTGATTAACCCTCGTACTCAAGAAATTATTATGTATCCCATAGCTTTACGCGGATTGGATATTCGCGCGCTCCCCTCCCCCCTCTCAACTGCTGTATATCCGCCGTTCTATTGATAATAACATTTGTTCTATGTTCTCCTAAAGTTACCTACCGTTCAGTTTTACGTACGAAAACCAAAATCGTTCGTTGTTTGCTCATGCAATTCCGTCGTTCAGATTCGTCATCATAATAATAAGCCGTTTTGGAAATTCAACCCCTTAAGGATTGCAAACGGGTTGAATAAGTCAAAACGAATTATTATTATTACTGCGGTAGAGGTTGGCAATCCTATTTAAATGCGCAAGATCGGCGGCTCTAAGTCAAAACCCTTAGGAGTTACTATTTGAAAAAAAAAAAATAATTATAGATAGGATGGGTTTTATCAGCGCCACGTATAGATGCATACGTATATCATGTCGTACAGAGCCGTTTTCCGTAGGTCTAGTTACAATAATAGTTGGTTACATTTTTGGATAACAATCACACACAATGATCGCATTTATAATATTATTTGTATTCCGTTTAATAAATAATTTATTACTCGACTTGGTCATTAGATTCTGAGGCTTTTGAACGATACTAATATATAAATATAGATATAATAATAATAGACGTGGTTAAATAAGCAAACTTGTTAAGGTTTTATGTGAATAACATTGTTTCGGCCGAGCAGTTTGATTGTTTGACAATTTTACGCGATGTTAATCATAAATTGTATTCAGTGGTAAAAAAAAAAAAAAGTCGAGCTCAATATATTCTTTATTTTTATGATTAATTTGAATTCAAATTTTGACCGAAAGTCGTAAAAATCACGTTATTCACAATATGTTTAACCGAACTTTGCTCAGAATCGTGTTTCGTTAGCAATGGTTTATCGTTGCGTAAAGATATAAATTAAATTATTTTTATGTACCCTACCTTATCGACTTCGCACCTACAACAGTGGCACACCCTTTAGCAGTATAGTTAATTTTCTTATGAATTGTTTGCGTAAAAATACTGTGCACCTACGTATGATTTTTGCATTTAATTTTTGGAAAAACATTATGTATGTCTTACGTAAATATTAAATTACAACACGGGCATGTGGCCTATAGTATAAGTAGATTATATACATAAATTAATTTCGACTTTTATACTGCGGTTTCCTGGCCAGACTGACTTACGTTGTATTGGGAAATCAACGACGGAGATATCTGTAGGCTAGCTGCGGTGCCCGTTGTCCGGTTTCCGGTCGTTTTCGTCCTCTCTGCGGCCACCAGGTCTATCATTCGGTTTTCGGCAGCCATTACGAGTTTCTGTAATTCTATCATGGCCTGGTGTCTTATCTCGTTCATTGATTCTTCTAAAAAATTACAATTCCCAGAGTAATAGCAATTATACCTACTGATGTTATTTATGTAAATCCCGGGAGTGTAGGCGAGGTGTGTGTGTTCGTGTCTGTGCTTTTGTGCGTATGTGCGTATACTCGCGTTAGAGGATTCTATTATATTGCATAAATAGTAATAAATGTTTCATAATATGGGCCGTAATATTAATATTGTTTATGCAGTGTGTGATATTGTCTTTAAGAGTCCATTAACGATCGCACAGTTTGTATTTAATAAACAAACTGTTACATGGATACATGGGTTCCCATCAATTTGTTTGGGAGTGTACTATAACAAATCCTCTGCATTTCATGAATTATTTTGTATCATTTTAATTACTCACTCCGTTTATAGGGAAATGGATACATGAATATTATAAAAAAAAAAATACTCGTAACGTACTAGTTATTCGTCTGACTATTCTTGTTGCTCAGGTAATCCAGAAATCGACAAAAATTATACCAACAATTTACGTTTTTTTCCGATTTATCATGGAAATTACAAAGCAAATCAAAAAATGACATCCCCTATAAACCAACTAGATAAAAAATGCTAGGAGAAAATTCTTGTTTACGTTCTTGTATATGTTATCGAATGAAATACAATTTTTGATAGAAAAGTTATTTACACGCGACATAATAAAACATTCCTCGCTTCACTCAGAATCTAAAAAAAGTATTTTAAATCGTAAGAAAATGTTGAATATTTTAGTTATATTTACTGAAATAATTACAATTTGTAATACAGTATTAATGATTTTAGTTAGACTAGACTCTAGACTAAATTAATATTGTTCACCATATTAAAAGAGAACTTGTACTGAGAACTGAGGACTTGCACTGTTATACGTTGGGTTTATTTTTTCGATTTACCTACGACAAACACATAAAAAAATCATCAATGTCTTAATATCCGATGAATTAGCTCACTTTTCTTGTAGTAATGTCAGTAAAGATATGTAGGACGGATATCTTTTTTTGGAAAAGAGTATCATATTATTTTAATGTAAAATTCATTTTTTCCTAGAAGTACCTATAACTAATTTGATTTTGTCGGGTGCACCGGGAAAACGGGCATGCATACTACATAATCCTGAATATAATCGCAATTGTAGTTTTATACAAATAATATTTATTATATTATACATTACATTTATTTCATGTGATACATTATTGTTAGTCCGGGTCAAAATTCCGACAGTTAAAATTTTTCTTAAGTTTTAGCTCGTCTGTACACCGAATTTATTAAAATGACATGTAAAACACCCATATTGTGTTATTTATTAGTATCAAAAGGTCGTTAAAAGTCTGCGTTGTTTTTGTAGCTAATACATTTTCCTAGGTAAATAAATTAATGATAAATATGATTTTTTTTTTTTCGATAAAATTATTTTGTTTGACAAGCGTGTTAAATTGTTGGAATTTCGAACGGTCGGGATTTTTTCTTGTTGGGATTTATAGATGTTGTGATTTTAAGTATTGTGCTGGCGGAATATTGAACGCCTCCCAAAATATGTTTACCTTGAATGTTGATGTTTTAGATAAGTTCTTGAAATCTGTATAAATAATAGGATATACAGGTAATAATAATGTAGGTATAATATATAAAATCAATTATTGGTTCAAACAAAACGCATAACTCTAATGACATTATTTTAACGTAAAAAAAGAAAAAAAAAAGAAGATTAATGACGAGAATAGTTGAAGGGTACAGGGAAAAAACCAGAAAAGTCACATTTTTTCTAAAATGGCTACATAGGTATCAAATAATTTGTACTGACGTGCCGTATTTGTTATGCGACCGAAATGGTGAAAAACACAGATTTGTCGAAAGTAATGAATACCAGAAGTTTAAGCATACAAGAAAAAAAAAATAGATAGTCAATATACAACCAGGTAAGTTGGGTTGATACACGGCTATAGCCTTGGTTAATAGTATAACATGACATTATTATGTTGCGGTTACTACATTTTAAAGTTTTTTAACATTAAACTTAATCCTAACTTTTTACCTTGTAAACAAAAAATTGTTACGTTTTTAAATTAAAAATACGTTTTTCTCAGTTTGAAAAAAATTGGTTTTTCTGGGTTTTTTCCTGTACCCTTCAGTTATTATTCCGGTGTATGTGTGCATAAACATACATTATTATGCAGGTCATATTGGTATGTTCAAATTATTTAAACCACTGTTAGCCGACTTCACGCGTAAATCTGAAACTTGGCAGCCAGCTAAATTTTGTGTTCTGGGAATATGTACTAAGGTCCAAGAGGGCTAATCGTATTGATTAACTCATTAAATATTTGTTTATGTTATGAATTATATTATGATAAATATACGCAATGCTTAAATTGGAAAAATAAAAGAAGAGCGGACTTATAAGATTTATTTTATTAATGTCCCTTGCAATTATTGAACTCGACCCCTAACACATGGCTTTGTTTATCACACCCCTTCGCAACAATTTTTGAACATAATTCAGTATTTATTAACTTCCGACAAGAAACATTAGTAACAACTACTGCAGGCTAATTTTTTTGCATAATAGATAATATTTATTTTAGATTTTATTGTTATTCTATTAATTTTGCTCTGAACATTAACTTTAGAGGTGACGGTTTCTTGTAAACATTTTTATCTCGTTGGTGCAATGAAAAAGTTATTTTTTAATTTTCTTTTTAGTATTCTCGGAAAAACTTTGAACTGTCACATTTAAACAGTAACGGTTTTTATTATATTGCATTTTGTTTATTTAGTCAAAAATAATTGTATAGGTCGGGAGCTTCATTGTATACTTATTTAGATATATAGTATTATAATATACACCTCTTTTCAGATATGTTACAATTTTCAATACATTTTGGCAATTTTTTAATTATTGATAGCCATTTGAAATCGTTAAGGTATTTTTAGGAATTTATTTGGTTTTGATGATTAAAATTGTTTTGGCCCTGTTAAAATGCTGGAAAATTTAACACATGGTTTATCAAATGAGTTGCAATTAGCAGAAAATAAGTTAAGCGTATTATTATTTTTTTTATAAGTGCTTAAGTTCAAATTTTAATGAAAGTGCATAATATATACCGTCCAATTGGTGGTTGATCTAGGAGTTATTCTTGGGGAGGCGGATTTTATTTTAAAGTAATGTACAAACGATTGTAGGAACATAAGAATAACGTAAAAAACAAGGCCCAAGGGGGTGGGGGAGCGATCGCCTTGTCGCTTCTCCTTTGTATCCACCACTGCGTCGCATGCGTTTCAGTTCTAACAAAATATCAGGTACGGTCAAATTTTCTGAAAAATTAACTGAGGTATTTCGTCCCCTTGCGCCTCCCACCCAATTCGAGTGCTCAACATAATATGATAAATATATTTAATTAATCACAAATCCATTGTTATTCTCTCGTCTCTATAAATCCCGGTTAATTATAAACAACACAGATAATGTTATTAATAATTATTAATTTTATTTTTTGTTATCTAATATTATTATACTCGGACTGCGCAGTGGAAATTAAAAAGCCTTCAATTGTATTATGGCCTTAGAAAGTATAATATTATTATGAATGTATATAGTGCAATGCCTGATTTTATCAACCATTTAATCGTAATCAACCGTGATTAAAATTAGTTTAACAGCTTGTTGAATTTCACCAAACTCGGTTAAGGCTTGACCACGTTTAAATGACTAGCTAGTCAATTTCGGGCGGTTAACACCGTCAATGACTATTAAAACTGTCATTTACATAAATAATGTGTAATCAAAATTTGACACCTAGATTTCGTTTATTTTCATGATTCAATATTCATTTTTCTGTATTAATTTCCATTTATTTAAATGAAATATAAAAATTCCTCGAACTGTAGTGCAGGCTTTTGAGATGGCATTTGAAGAAAACCAAGACGATTTCGTTATTCGTAGTCTATGATGGATAAGAAAAAGCACTGACGGTTCCGATAATCTGGAAATTCTTCAATTTTTATTTTTATTTTCGTCCCATCAGTTTTCTTGCACTCGATTATCCTGAAGTGATTAATTTCAATTGCTCGGACTTTTCCAAGGAATCTAATTATTTGTATTAACTAACCAAATCGATTATAACGTTGAAAATGGATTACACAATTTTTCCACGTCTAAAATAGAGTTATTGAGTATAAAAGTATTCTATGAGAATTTTAGGTCTCAACAATTACTTTTATCGGAATTACAACAAAAAAACAAAATCAAAAATAATGAGACCGCTATTTCCGTAAATTTTCCCATTTTGTCCATGATTTTTCCTGGTTTTTTTCAGTTATTAAGAAAACTAAGGAAATGTTGTCTGTTATAAAAGATGTTATACTTCAAATTTGAAATAATATTTTTGAATGAGAAACAAAATCGAAAATAAAGAATTGTTAGTATCATAAATTAGTCGTAATCGTGAAAAATGCAAGAAAAAAAAATGACCATTTTAATATTTTATAGTTTGGAGAAATTTGAAGCACAAAAACTTTCTTGTTGGTTTTCGATTGTAGTCAGATTTCTGCTAGGTAGATAAATTTTTAATATACAGAAAAAAAGTGTAAAAAAACACATCATAGTAAAACCATCACGTTACTCAGAATCTTAAAACATACACTGTATACACCATAAAGACTTAAGTATCATAAACATGAAACGATTATAATGAAAATATATAAAATAATATGGTAAATAATATGGCCTCTATGCCCCCCTGGGTACGTTGCTGCTGTCTTTGTCTACATACGTTTGAAAAACAACGAAAATCATCCAAATTGTGTTACTTAAATTGTGTTTTATTAAAATGTACGCGAAATTAGATATGGTCGGCCAGCGTAATTATTACTATAGAAGCTTTAAAGTGTCTGGTGGATACTTTTTAAATTTTGCATGACAAAGAAATGTTAAAGATTTGTAAATTTTTCGCGTAATTATTGTAGTGTTAATACTGCGGGCGTCAACATTATGTAGTTATCAGAGTTGATAAGCATAATAAGGGGCGAGACGGTGAGTATTTATATAAACATTTTTAATATATAATATTGATAATATTATGTGTGAATTCCACACCAGTCTCGGGGGAGAAATAATCAAATCGCTACTCGACGACATAATATTTTGTTATTGTTTTTGAATATACATAGTTATATGGACCGTGCGGGTATTGTGCATTTAAAAAATAAACTGAACAGAAAACATATAAAAAAACTGAGTTACATTTTCCTAGCAACGGATTTTTGTTGTTTTTCAATGTCGTGATGCAAATCCAGTCCAAAAATAGTATGCAAATACAATGTGCAATTGTGAATATTAACGATTCGTTAGAAGTGAATAACTTAATCACTAAAATGGTACCTTATTTGTCGATTATAAATGTTTTGCCCCTCCCTCCATAGTTAAAAGAAATCGATAAGCGAGGTTTTTACGGAAAAATGTATCTTGTATAAATTATACCTAAATGTATACGGTTTTCCTTATATTTAGTGTCGCCGACCGTCGTGAGTGTAAAATACAATAATTTATGGATAAAATGCATTTTATTAAATAAATAAAAAAAAAAAAACAAAAAAAAAAAAATACTTATAATTAAAATCCTATTTATCAGTTGATTTTATTGACGAAATGTGTATTGAAAATATAATTAAATTTAATAATAATTTCCACGCTAAACAGCTTTATATTAATTTATAATATTATAGGTGTTTAAAAATTACATATAAAAAGATCATAATATATAATATACTATCTTAGAATACATTAATACATAATATATTCTAATAATAAAAAGTTGCCCAACATTTATTATTGTATTATTATTTATAAAACTAAAAGACGAAAGAAAAACAAATAGATTAAACACTATATAAATTATTAGGATTTTAAAATAAAAAATATCGTTTCCAAAATGTATTTTATACCTAATACTTATTTATTTTTTATTTTATCGGTTAAACAGTAGGTATATTTATTAATGTTTTTAATGACAATAATATTTAAAAAAAAAAAAAAAAAATTATGTATTATTATTTTAACAAATTTCGTAATGCGTAATTAGTAATTTTAAATAATAGACAACTATTTTATCGAGTTAAATTATTTAGGCACAGGAGTAAATTTAACGAACTAATAATATTATAATTCTTATTATTAGGTACCTAAGAGGACGTGCTACCCGCATGTCATGTCTCCGTTTTAGAATCGTATGGCCTAGCGAATTTGCGTTCAGCAATAAATGTACTATGGCTTTGTTTTATTTGTAACGATCGTGTGGCCTATTACCTCAAGCGAGCGTGTCGCTCCTGCAGCGCCATGCGTCTTCTTCTTATCTTTGCCGGTATCTATCAATATTTTTGAACACTATTTATAATTTAACCAAAACCACTATGGACTAAGATATCCTAGCCAGTGACAACTACAGTGGTGTAGACTGATAACAGTATATCGCGCATGTGCAGAAGTGAAACGTCATCTTACCGTGACGATAGACGTTCGCAACATGTTTTATTGTTTACAGCTCTATCCATTGTATACGATCTACGATTGTGAGCTGTTGGTTTTAATATCAGAGTGACCTATTGTCAAACTTAAGTGCAGATAAGAAAATCTAAACAATGTGCGTATAATATTATGTCGGTTTTTATCAATATTTCAATTTTTAAGCGAGATATATACTCGTTAACATTTTTAAACTGTGACATTTCACATACTCATTAAACTCGCTTAAAAATTAAAAACCCGACAAAGTCGCACCGATATGTTCTTATATTCATGATATGACCTATCATATTAGAGTGAATTGACCATTCAATCTAATATTAAAATTAAAAGCACAAAGTTGTTTCCACTGAACACGACATATATGTGATAAGTCGTACGGTTGTAAAACAGGGACAGCACACGGGATAGTATCACGTCCTCTTAACGTATAGTATTATCGGTATAATTTTGGAAATTCGTTTTTGTTAAATTATAATTAAATACATATGCTTTAGGCGGATAATAATTGGTACAGAATCGTAGGGGTAGATATTCTATAATTCCCAGACAGCATTATATTGCATGACATTAATATTACAATAATTATAAAACTAAATTACATTTTAAATATTTTCTCAATGATTTAATTTAATAGTTTTTATAATATTTAAGTTATGTTTTAACCAACTAAAAATGTGATAATAATATTTAAATTTAAATTTTAAATAAAATTAATCTGATAATATTATTCTCATGTTTTGATTAAGTTAATCAAGCCATTTTTACATTGCTATAATTTAAAGCATAAAAAAAAAAAATAAAATACATACAAATTGCGTTATTTATCAAAAATCACTGCTTGCAAACTGGAAAAAATTTTGTTTTCACGAAATTAGATTTGATGGTATTGTCATACTTGTACAAATTAAATATAAACATACGCCAGTGAAAAAAAAAATTTTTTTTTGGTCGACTCTAATATACGAGTATATTTACCCATTTTACCGACTGTTTAGGGAGTTTTTCGTCATGAAACATTTTTATATTCTCAGGAACTTCTTATTTCGGTCTTTAAACCAATTTTTTGTATCTCTGTTCCTTTCCTTCTACTCTCTCATTCACTCCCCTTCCCCTCACCGCAATGTAATCCTATTTCAGCCCCTTCCTCCGTAATATGCTTTTCCCTTTGCTGACATGGGTAAGTGTAAGCTATTTAGACATTTACTGTCACCAAACCTTCATCCATTATTCACAGGTTGCCGAACCTAAGGTGTTAGTACCGAAGCCAGAAAACAAATTTCGAGGAGTGGCGAGTACTAACAGTTTGTATACTACCTATGTTTTTAGAACAATAAAATATGCCAAACTAACCAATAAAACAAAAAAATCGGGGTGGGGGGGAGAGAGAGAGACTGTCTCCTAGCTATAACTATAGCTATAGTCTGGTGTTCGCTATTCAAAGGCAAGGTTCAGTTTAGAGTTTAAAGTCCCCGCTTGGGTTCCCAAAAAAGTTCGAAATTTTGTGATGTATACCTTATATTCTAAAATTAACTTTATAAGTTATACTTTTATGAAAATATCTATGTTTTAATATAATTAGGAGGTCTAGTAGTTTGGGAGGTAGTGAGTATATTAGGTTAGAGTCCCAGGTTCGATACTCAGCGACATATTCCGAAGTATGGTTGCGTATACATTTCTCGTATTTTCGGGTGGCCTTTTCAAGACCTAAATTATTATAACATTTATAAAATGTTAAGAAATAATATTTTAGTAATATTGTGGCAAACAAATTTGGCTGATAATATTAACTTTTGTTAAAAAATATTTAAATACAGTTTTTATAATTTGCTGTCTGGGAATATATTCAGTTTATTTCGGTATACATTTAACTGTGATGTACCTATATGTATAGATTGTCTATTACATTTAAATATTTTTTTATGATAATTATGATAATATTAACAAAAAATAATTAATAAACATGAGTTATATAACACACTTATTTTCTCTTATTAGAGCTGTTATCAGTTCAAGAAAAATTATGATTGAATTAATAAGTTTGGTCGCTTACTTGCATTCTGTCTCAGTATTTATATTATTTATTACCTATCATAACGCATTCGATAGTATTTAATATTTATAATAGGTGCGTTGTCTAAACAGCCAAAACAGTAACTGGCCGCCATAGACAGAGTTAAGACTAGAGACCACTACCATAATCACTTAACCACTTAAAGAGAGCGAGAGACAGGGAGATCGAGATACATATATAGAGCGAGAGAAAGAAATAAAACATTGTTTTTACAAAAGTATTTTCATGCTTTTATAAATATTTCTTACCGGCTTTCTTTTTGATGCCTTCGATCCTTTCTTCGGTTTGCCGTACGGTCTGCGCCAACACCTCTTCAGTAGATTTCTTTCTGTTCCAGTCGGGAAAATTCGTGTCGGTAAGGCCGCGTTCTTGCAGTATACCTAGTGCTTTTTTTGTTTTTTCCACCATGCTCAGTATACAGTTCAACATCTAAACGAAAATAAAATACAAAACTTTTACGAGACTACAAAGTATATATTATATACTTATAATAATAAACTTTTTTTTAAAAAAAAACTCAACCATGTAGGATATCTAATGTAATTATATTTATATCCGTGTGTAACTAGGTATAAATCATTGCTAACGAAAAACGGTTCTAACCGGAGCTTGGTTAGTAATATTTTGATAAACTTAAATTGAAAATTGTATAAATCAATAAATCGGTAAGAGCAGGAAAGGGTTATTATCTAAGAATGTATATGAAATCTATAAATATACGCATGCATATTTTGTAACGTGGACATACGAAACTAATTTCGGCATATTGATGCGAAAATTGTTATTTAAATTTCTAATAAAACATCTCCATTACTCGCGACGGTCCACAGTGTATAGCTATATACTATACTATATTATTTTTTTAATGTCGCACATTAATTTTTCAAACTCTACCATCCATGCACATTCTATTTAATAGTTCATACAGGCTGTCCCACGGACATATACCCCTTTTAATATCTCCAGAGAGATAATAAAAATAATCAAATTCTGTTTTTTTTTTTACCCGCGGGGGTGAGGACAACAAATATTTATATTTGTATTATTCGTCCCTGTAAGTAATATATATAAAAAAAAAAAAAAAAAAAAAAAACAGAGTTTGATTATCTTTATCATCTCCGGAGTTATATATCTCACGGGGTATAATGTCTTCGTGCGACAGCCTGTATACAGTAGCTCGGTGGAATATTCGTAAGTATAATGTAATATAAACACTTCGAACAGTAACGCATCGCACTCACCACGTGTATGTTCTTCCACTCGTCCTCCACGTGACCCTTTTGGTCTTCCGGCTCGCGTATGTGCAACAGCGGAATTATGTTGTACGGGTGATGCGAAGACGGCGGCAACGATGGCGGCGGGGCCGGCGGCGGCGGCGGCGGCGGTTCCTGCGGGTGCAGGTGCGGATGGTACATGAACGGCAGCGCGTAGCTGAGATTCGGACGCTTGACGCACGGCTGCTGGTACTCCATGTCGGCCGCGTACCCGGTCTCGTAGTAGCTGTCGGCCATGGACGACATGGCCGCGGCCATCGGGTACGGCCGCTTGTTGTTGTTGCCGCCGCCACCGCCGCCGCAGCCGCCGCCGCTTCCGCCGCCGCCGCCGCCGCCGCTGTTCTCGCGCTGCATGGGCGACGGGGCCGGCACCCGTTCCACCTGGTGGAAAATCTCTGACGGTTCGCTGGGCTGCGAGTCACGGTCCAGGTACGCGTTCTCGTGCTGTTTCAGGTACTGGCTCAGCGACTGCGCGACACCGGCAACACCGACAAACAGAAACCGACCGTCGTATATTATCATATTAATAAAAACGTCTAAAAAGACCTTAAAATATAGGCATTTTCAAAAACCGAAAAACTATTTTGCAAAAACTTTTAAACTACGGGCAAAGATTAACATGGCCGTATAAAATAATAAATCTTACTGCGAACTTGTTTGAAAAAAACGATGTATACAATAAAAACACGCGGTCAATATAGTAATCACCTGACGGAAAATACCACGCGCATCATGTAGCGGACCCGACATCGCATTCCTCGTTTTACGCTCAGAATTCAGAATATTTCGATTACCAACGGTGTTTCGAAAAAAACAAAACGGCCGGACGACCACAAAGTGTGTCGATACATTGGTTTTATATTTGTTGATTTCCGGGTCACCTGGATGGTCAACACCGCTACGGTGAAAAAAAAACACGCAACTCGCGCTATTCATTAAAATCTTTACTGTTTACGGGGCACCGCATTTTTTTTCTTTCATCACCGTTGCTTTTGGTACGATATTAACTATAAAATTACCGTATATCCTAAAAATTCTGCACCTAGGGAAAATATCCCTACCTACAATGTACGTGTCTGGTTTTCTTGTTTGTTTTAAAATGCCCATATTACGCGCTATTACTATTCGATTCCGGAGTGAAATGCTCGTTGGATTTGAGATTCGTACCTTTATACCGGGGCTCGCGATTTCACGTGTACCTGAATATACCTGGGTGCACGGGCACGCGTGCAATTGAGAAAACCCGCGTATCGATCCGTGTACGTAACAATACGCGCGTGTTTAAAAATGCACGCCTATCTCTAATAACGATCGTGTGCGATATGTGCGCTCGAGTGTTTTCCACGCTCCGATGTTTAGTTTTGAAAAATAAGTACTGGACACCGGGGACGGGCGGGCCGCCGTTGTCGGTATTATTAAATACGCGGTACATCATCAAATACGTGTGCATTATTAAACGCACGGGCTGCGTTAAATACACGTGTATTATCGAATACTGCACGTGCAGTTACAAACACGCGGATTAATACACGTGTATTTAAATGCCCGTAGGAAACCCTGGTTTATACGTTTAAAAAAAATAAAAAGGAAAAAAAAAAGCGCAAATAACGTAAGACAATTCCATAAATCCGATTTGTTGAGAATTCATTTCCCGTATTAGACGCGTTAAAGTATATATATTGTACGGTCGATATGAAATAATTATTCAACGTTTTACCATTATTGTACCGTGCGAAACGAAAACAATTACATCCTGCGAAATTGTGTCCTCTGAACGAAATTTCGTTCAAAATGTTAATTAATAAAAATAATGTAAGGCGCGGCGGTTATTGTTGTTTAAAAATTATATCCCGAATGCACTTGACGTTTGCAGTGATTTAACGTTTCGGCGCGATATAAAATTACAGAGTATAAACTGTACGGTATACACACAAAATATATTTTATTATTTATTTATATAATGTAAAGTGTTAAAAAAAAAAAAAAAAAAAAACACTAAATTACCAAAGCCGGTGTCCGTCGGAAAGTTCGTTTGGTCATAATAATTTCCCCGCACTTTATAAATAAACGTATAAACTGCTAATATTATAAACCATCTATAATATACTAAATAACTAATAAATAAATAAATAGCGATTATTATTATTACAAGTCGTCCCACACGGCTTTGCCCACGTCGGTTAACTGAACGGAAACAAAAAAAAAAAAATAAAAATCGCGTATTCCCGTGACTCCTTGTTAGCATCCCCGTCCCAATATATGTACCGCAGTTAACCGCCGGTAGCTTTTTAAAAACATTTTTTCGTTTATCCTTTAAAGGAGTTGAATTCCGAACGAATATTTTCTCCGTGGCCGCTTCCCGAACTCCCTTCACCCATATTTGCGCCTACGTTACCTCCCCGTGGTTCTTTTGATTTTTTTTTCATGTTACTCGCCAGCACGAGGACTAAAAATGTTTATTTTTGAATTGATTTTTTATTCTATTGAAAAAATTAAAAAGTCAACTTTTTATTTTATTGTTTTCCGAAAATTTTAAGCTAGGGAATAACCTAATCGCGTTACATCGGTTTTCACACGGATCAGTAGAATTTAAAACGGCTGTTATTCAAAAACTATTCATCGGATATAAATGTGTGATGCATTAAAATTTTTAGAAAAATAAACTAATTTTTCGCCAAAAACAAAAAAATTATGAATTCAAATATAAATATAGATATTCCCCGTGTGAGTAATATAAAAAAAAAAACCAAAATTCGATTATCGTTATTATCATATCCGGAGATATTTATGGAACGAGATCTTCGTGGGCCAGCCCGCATAGTGAGTGAGTATACAATAATTGGTATAAATACGTAACAATAAATATTTATCGGCAACGATCGTTTTGGTTTTATGCCGTTTCGCGCGGGATGGGAATTCGGCACGTAAAACTTTTGCGATAGCCGTTACCCGTTCCGCTCGCACGCACCGCATAATATACACTCGCACACACACCCCCCCTCCCCCCGCTGTATAATATGGAAACGTTCTCGGTCGAAAATCGCAATACGGTTTTAACAGTACCGTCGCCGACGGTTATTCTTGCGCATTATACTCGTGTTATATTACATTATATGATGTGGGCCCATTGGTCGGAGGGGGGGGGAGGATCACGGAGGGGGGAGGGGGTCGGGGTTGGCGGCCGGGGGTGTGGTCGGGGCCGTTCGGATATAACGACGCACGCGGGGCCGTACACCGGGCGAGGAGCTGACCGCCCGGAACGGAATTCATTAGAAGCCCGAGCGACGGCTGTTGCCGCACACGCCACACATGCGGTTATAGCAACGGACGGCACAACACATTAGAGCTTCATTTTTGTTGTCTTTTTTTTCTTCTTTTTTTCCCGTCGTATTCCCGCCGTACTTGCCGCTCCCGCATTCCCCGGGCACCGATATTGCGGGCCGCCGTTCGCCCGTCTTCGCGACATAATAATATAATATCGTCCCCGTCGCGTTGCTTATTATACGCGACAGCCGCTTTCGATACGATTGCGATCCGTCGTCATCGCCCGAAAAAGTCTCATGCGCGTGACATTTTCCGCGGCGCACCGCGGAAAGTCACGCACGCGTTCGTTATTCAATTCAGGGCCCGGGAGTTATCGGAAACAGTGGCCTATCCACGGCGTGAAGTGCGCCCGTCGTGGTCGTCCGGTTACGCACGTTTTTTTTATATTGTTATCGAACTGACGAGCGCATTTAAATATCATATATGTCGGCCTTGGTTTGTTTGCCGTTTGTCTCATTTAAAGAAAAAAAAAAACAAAAAATGCGTGGAAATACGTTTTTGAAATTGATAACCTCTCCCCTCCGTTAAAATAAATAATCTCTGTTTGTGCCACTGCATACAAGTATAGGGACGCACTACTGCGGTGTAATGTAACGAAAGTAGTAATATTATAATATTCATAATACTCTCAGTTTTCAATTTTCTGGTTCAATATTAATTTTACCCGTACAACTAACAGCCTTTAGCAACTTTCAAAAAGCATGACAGACGGTTGACATACTATTACGAAAGCATAAACTGCGATTAACAATTTCGCTAAAACGTCACTGCAATGCATATATATAAAATGATCTCAAAACTTAAATACGTACAGGAATAACGATTTGAGTGAACGGTAGTGAAATGCAATTTGTTTTTACTTATATATTTCGAGGCATCTAAACAATCTAATGGCTAAAGTTTGTATAAAATAAACCTACAGAAAATGTGTTTCAGACAATATACATTTAAACTTTGATTTGTAAAAAAAGTAAAAAAAGAAATACGTTTTCTACGTACACGTGCACCTATATATAATATATTATTGATACGACAAATAAATTATCTTATAAAACGTGATTTTGTTTAGATAAATTAGAATTAGGTTTTAAAATAAAGCGTCGGTTCGCACGAACTAAAGGCCCACGCCATGTAATAGAATTAATTAAGTATTCTATATGAATACTTAAACGTCTTCAAGAGTATTTTACGATGTTAACGCAACGAAGCTTAAATGTTAATTAACGGGCTAGAATTGTACAGGTTAGTTTAGGTCAGGTCGAGTTTGTTCATTTAATTCCGTTTGTTTTTATACGATTAAATGACCGTTAAATTCCCCTTTTGACCCTGAATCTATGTGTCGTACCTGTTTGTTGTTACGTGCCAATGCCAGCAGATCACGTTGCAGCGATGGTAAATGGCTCCTCAAGAACGGCAGTACAAACGGCCGTAATGGGAAATTTGTCATTTCTTGTATGTTATGATGGAATTCTTCGACGCTTATCAAATTGTTCTGCAAAAAAAAAAAAAACCCAAAATCAAAGGTCGAATATTAACCTATATATATATAGTGTGGATAAATATAATTTTTGGTTTGTTTTTTAAAATTTGTATAGTCAATATATTAAGCTTAATGCAAATAATATTAATACTATATATATATTAATTAATATCATTTGAATGTGATTCTATGATGTTATCCTATTTGTATAATAAATACGTGAAGTATGACTCGATAGTTATAAGGAACGTAATATAAAAGACTTTATAAAAAGAATCAAATAAGTGCGTTTTTTTTTTTTAAATATCTATTTCTATCGTATAATATTATACATTCAAATGAATCGTGTGTTCGTATATTATGTTACTCAAGTACCGCTTTATCGTAGATACTTTATCGTGCGTTAAATAATGTTCATAAAGCCCGGGAAATTGACCATTAAAAAATATAATGATAAGTGTGAATTTATCACATTTTAAAATATAATGATATTAACGCAATATCACCGCGTGTGTGTTTTAATAGAAATGTGAATCATATAATAATATGACACATGCGTACTTACCACTAGAGTGAATATCTGACCCTTGACCCGTTCACTGGTCTGTGATGATATCTGTCCGCTGAATTGCACCAACGTGGTCAGGAATCTTTTTAGTTTGGAATGATTCCTGAACGTATCGGACGGTGGACTCGAACCTGCGCGTAAAAATATTAAATATAAAGAAATATGTCGGATGCTTCGTGTAAAATTATTTCTTTATTTTTCAACTTGTTCTGTAGTTTTGTATAATTTTGCGGGTTATTTTAAAGACGTAGGAAATGATTGACATTGAAAACTTAAATATTTTACACAATATTTTTATAATTTTAGTTTATTAAATTTGATTAGACACTTAGAAAAGGTGGCATATTATATTATTATTGTAATTATTATTTAAAATCAATAAAGAATAAATTAAACGTCATTGTCCAACTTAACAGTACAGTTAGCGATGTCAATGACTGGATAATTTACATTTACATTTCTTTCTTTCTTTTTTTTTTTTTCAGAAAAATAAGGACATTTCCCAATGAAGTAATTTCCCATTTTTACATAACTAACCGTAAAATAAAAAAAATAAAAATTCTGTTTAATTTTAGGTCTGGGTATGAAGCTAGCCTGTAGGATATAACCTTTGCACACACTTTGGTACACACAGATTAATTATTAATTAATTCGTCGGTATTATGCACACATTTTTCACATACTGCTATATGATTTTCGGTATAATCTTATTATAACAGCGATTACTGTAAACTCTTGTTTTACACTTCTCCTCTTTATACCCCGTTAACCGTCCGAGTATCGTTGCGCGGAAAAGTATAAGGTAATTATAATATTAATAAAAATTCAAAGGTTTTACTTTGCACAAAAGGAGAGCTCTTTTAAAGATCTCAAAGGAGATTAGCTATTCCGAGCAAGAGACTTTATTATATTGTGCGTTTACCTCTAGGTACCGCCGTCATAAACATAAAATAATAATACAGAAGGGTGATTATTTTATCAACACGAACCGGCGAATATCAACGGAGATTTCGAGTAAACGTTGGTTTTATGTCTCGTTATCGATCTTGTGTTTAAAATATTTTCAAAATATTTAATCATTATTCCGTACGCGCCGACGTCATCGTCGTAAACATGCGTTCGCGCCGTCGTACACTATATACGTACTTTCAGACTCGACGTCGATCTGTGCCGGTGACGGGTGCGTGGGACTGAGCAAGTGTTCGCCAGACGAATCGCTGGTGGATGTCGACGAAAAGCCCACCGCGTCTTTGGATTTGTTTTTCGATTTACCTGCGGACATTTAAATTGAAAATTATTTTTCATTTAAATATTTCGTAAACACTCGAATATAATGCACGTTTCGCGATATAAGCCGTGGATCCACTGTATCGTATATAATTTAACGGTGATCACTAATTACGCGCTGACAAATGATATGTAAAAACACTAAAAAAAAAAAAAAAAAATAGAAAATAAACGAAATTGGCAATAACTGCTATTTCGCTTTTGGCTACTCGTATGTATCGACTTTTAGTGCAACTTCATGTAACGTAAATAATAATTACAATAGTTCGGTAATTTTGTACACTGATCACCACGCTTGACCACCAGAAAGACTTGGGCGTTGAGGCTAAAGGTTTTCGAAAGTATTATTGAACGGATAACGTAATAGATTCGGAACAGATTCGACGCAGAACAAATGAGACCTACGTGGCAGACCAGACACAGCGAGGCCAATTTCGCACAGTTCTACAACGGTATTAAGAACCGGACAATATTTTCGGTAATACAGTTCGGTAACGGTATGGGCTTGTATGCAAGTCGATATTCAGTTACAATCGGTTAAATCGCGTGCATTTTATTAAGTAATAAATTATGGTAAAGGTGGGTAAAAAAAAAAAAAAAAATACATGCCACGAATCACGACAATGATGAACACACACTGGCAACTGAAAACGGGTATGGGATAAAAGTAATCGGATACAAAATCGGAAGTGTGAAGGGTTATAATATCTAATTAATGAAGTCTTGATAAACGGTCCGTTTTAAAAACGCACCGACGACGGACAAATACCGAGGCAATCCGTCGAGTCATTCGATAACGGACCGGCACCGGTCTGTCCGTTGGTCGAAACATCGAAACGAGACTTGTGTCAACAAAGTATGTCGATTTTGTACTCCGTTTCGTGTTTTTATCCGATCCGTTTTCGTTGCCGTTGCAAAAACGGACTGTGCGAAAGTGGCCCGAGAGAGATAAAATAGCCGGGCGACTTCGCACGTGTATGGGCCATTGTTGTAGTTGAAAAATTGGGAAGCTAGTAGAGGGGAAATTCAGTGTATATTTATAAGCAATGCGATAAACCATTGCGAACGGAAAAACGATTCAGTTGATAGTGTTGCTTTGACAACAATATATAATATGTCGTATTATGGTAAAATAATTACACAGGTATTATATATTTTCTTTAATAATATTTGTGTAATATTGTATCGATTTTCCCGTGTTTCCTCTGTTGATTCCTGTTTGTTGAGTAAACTCTCGAGAAAACCAAACGAATTGACTTCCTAAAAGTACCTCCCCAGTCCGATTCATTTTCGGAAAAGGCGCGGCGCTTAAAAATCAGAGCAGGATTTCCGGTGGAAAAGTTGTCAACAGAAAAAAAATAAACCAACATCCTTGTAAAACCGTAAGCTTCTTCACTTCGCTCGGAGTCTAAACAGTTACGCGGTATATCAACGCGCGCCGTTAAGCGGAGAAAACGAGAAGGTCCGGCATAGGGACGATACGATAGCGGGGAACGTCCGTACGAAAAAAGATCCCCGTCGGGAAGACCGCGGCGCGAGGAGTGCCAGGTGCGATACTGTAATATTTGGCACGGCCCGACGGAGTATGTATCCAGGGATAATCGGAGGCGGACGCTCGGGACGGTCGGTCTTGAAAGTTGAACAGAAAAAAAAATAAAAAAATAATACGATAACACGTGTATTATGCGCGGTATTATTATAACACATATCCGTACGCTCGCGTATGTGAATATTGGCGAACAACTTTTTATTATTATTATTATTATTATTATTTTTTTTTTTATAAATACCAACCGCGGTCTCCCGTACATAATATATAATATAATGCCGTTTTGTGCGCGTTTGTGCAGCGTACTCACCAAAAGCCACGCCGCCGCGGCTTTGCCCGCCCAGTACGTGTCCGAGTGTTCGTGACACGTCCATTACCGGAATTCAGTTGTGTCATACACATAAACACACAGCCGCCGCCGTTTCTGCGAGTTATTAGTTTTGGCTGCAACTTCTGCGGTTGATGTGCCGCCACCGCCGCCGCCGCCGCCGCCGCCCGCCGGTCGGCTCCACGTATAGGCAACAGCAACAGGGAACTCGACGCGGGCGTGGCGGACGGTTTGGTGCGAGTTGAGTGTGTGTGTGTGTACGTGCGCGGGTAGGAAAATACCCGTAGTCTGGGTAGAGAGGGCGGACGGCGGACTCGTGTATAATACTCGGCCCGAAGAAGCTTTTGGGCCTCAAGAAACGTTTTTTTTTTTTCGTTCTAATTTTTTTTTTTTTTTTTTTTTTTTTTTTCGTTCGCCTATAATTGCTTATAAACACACCGCCGTCGCGCCTTCGGGTGATGTGCCCGGAACAAAAAGAATAGATACTATACACCCTTTGGCACGCGTACGCGATCATCATACGAACGCATACTATAATATGTTATTGCAATTTTCCACTCGAAATCGCATAATTTAAATCCGTATCTATACCGTGCGCAGAGCCGTGTTTTGGGAGAATTCGCCCTGGGGCACGTCAAAGCGTTTTGAAACTACGGGGCGTCCGGCTCAATGTAAAACTCGAAATAAAATTAATAATATTATGAATTACCTATGTTTGCATAATATCATTATGACGTCGGGTACGTCATGATCAATTTCGTTCAATACATTTTTTTTTTAAAAAAAAAAACAACAACAAATTCGGGAGAATAATCTTTCAAATTATCCCCGAGCAAGGTCTTAAGAGGGGACGCTTAAAAATCGACGCGCTTGTGTGTCAACTCGACCCTGCAGACCGTGTCATTTCTACACTGAATCGTGACAGTACTGCGGCCGGCAAGTTACATACGGTGTAAATCGCGGGGCTGTTACGCGTCTTCTTAATGCAAGAAATATAGAGGAATTTTATCGCACCGAAACAAATTTTTAGATTCTGAGTGGAGCGAGAAGCTTACGGTTTTACAAAGATGTTTATTTTATTATTTTTTTTCGCGGATAACTTTTTTACCAAAGATCTTGTTCCGATTTTTAAGTGCAGCACCTTTTCTGAAAGAAAATTTGACTGGGAAAGCACTTCAAGGAGGTCATTTTTAGATTTTATCAAGAGTTTTCCCAGATAATGAGAAAAAACGGAAAAATCAGTACATTAAACAAATATTATCAAAGAAAATATATAATACCTATGTAATTATTTTACCATTATATGACATACATTTTGTTGATCGGGCACCAATATCAACTGAATTCCGTTCGGAATCGTATTTTCGTTAGAAATGGTCTATCGTTGCTTATTGGTATACATTAAATTGCTTATAACAGTGGCTGCATCCATCGCCATTATCCTAGGCCGTCTTTTTTAAAAAATATTTAATTCGTGAGATAAACGATTTATTTTCCAAACATTGTACCTATACCTACGTATTTTCGGTGTACCGTCTTCTAACCGAAAATTACCGAAAATACCGTCAGCGCCAGTGTAAATATTATGCACGGTCTTACAGGTACGTGTAATAAAGTCTCTCGTCGGTGTGGTCGTATTTATTTCCCGTTCGCGTATACGCGCGTGCGCGCGCGCAAAGACTTTGGAAGTCCTTATCCGTCTTGCACGCGGTACACAGGTGTCCGTGGAGCGTACGTCAAGATTATATCAGCAAATAACCCACGCCGTTCTCCCGCACCGTTCCACCTGTCTCTTCCACGACCGTTCCACCTCTCTCCCCTCATAAAACAACCCCGTTGACGTCCACCCGAAAGTGCCTAAAACTTTTAACCCGCTATGCTGACTATATATAATACATTCACACATACACACCGTACGTATACCTATACGTATTACACACACGTGTGCGTGCGTGTGTGTATCTCGTGTATAACAGACGCGTCGTCGTGATTTCGTTATACAGGGTGTATCTGAATTGAATATCATTCAACCGTTGTAGTTTAGGATAAACAAATTTGAACAATAATCCTGTTTTTCGACATCTCCAATCTCCTGGTTTGAATAATTCAAACAGTGGAATATATCATCTAAACGTAAACTACACCTAAATTCCACCTTTAAACAACGTGGGTCATATTATTTTGCACCGAAATGGTGCTATAGTTCTAGATGGTGCCAGATTGGGTCCCAAGTAGTAGTTATGAAGTGGTACGTTAGGACGATAACAACAAATGTCGATATATCGGTTTTATTTATGTTGATTTCTTGGTTATCTTATAAAAAATATAACTAATACTACCTACTAATACACTATTTCACTCGGATTCGTTTGTAATGATTTATCGTTACACATACAGTGTATAAATTTAATTATTCTTTATAGGTACAATATATTACCTTGTTAACTATCCACCTACAACTGTTGTCTATCTGTTAGCAATATCGACTTTTTAATTTGTTTTTCCTACACGTTGAGACTATATTGTTAGAATCGAAAATTGAACGGAAATAAAACCAACGAAATGAGAGTAGTAATGTAACAAAAATTACTGCTTTCGAATAGATACGAGAAAATTGATAGCGTGATGAATTTTACACGATGTTATAAATGTTGGTTAATAATATAACATTTACAACTAGGTATATTAAACCCGTTATAGTAACGTAGGGTTAAGTTATGTAGGGATTGTCATGTAGGGGGTATAATAATATGCGTTTTCCTTATTAATCGAATAGCGTTTAGGCTATCACCCGAAGAAAGTTCTGGCGGTTGACTATAAATATAAACGCATGTATATGTCTGTATACGCCCGTGAAAAGCCGCAGTGCGTAGCGCAGGTGCTTGCCATATGGGCCGAAGGTCTGCTATTAATGTGTCCGACTGATGGTTGAATGAGAACTTCCTTCTGCGTCCTCCTTCGGGGCCGAGGAGGATATCGGCCGAAACGTAAACAAAATCGACGTTGGACCGTCATAATAATGCGTCTCTCGTTTTTTAATACAGAATACAGATCCAATGTTATTTTAATATACGTATAATAATATATTATACGACGACGACGGGCGAATAAACATTGCTGCAGCTGCTGAACACGCGTCTGCATACTTTATAGTAATATTACACGTTGACGATAACCGTTATAGTCTAGAGGGCTGGGTCGTGAAAAATAGTTTATAATGACGTAGGTGTATTATTGTTACTACAGGGTGATTTATTCGTCATGAACCAGCGATTTTCTCGAAAGATTTGAGGTGAATTTGATATCTGTTTTTTGTATCATTTAGTACCCTTGTATGAAATCGTTTAGGATTTATTTTCGCACTGTTTTCAATTATTTACCCTTACTCCTTATACATTAAATAAGTATAAACTTTTGAGTTTCTAATAGGAACATTCCTTTTAAACGTCGATTCGAAAACGTACATTATACACTGCCCACCCCCACTCCATTTAGCTAAAAAAAAAAAAAACTATGTAACTAATAAATTAGCATACCATTGGCATGAATTTGCATGAATATTTTTGGAATTTGCAAGACGCTTATTTACGATTTATTTATAATAAACCATGAGAGGGGCTGACCTAACGTTAAGTTCTAACCCCCCACAAGTGAAATAATCACTTTTTAACAAATTCTTTTATAATTTTGTATACTTGGAAACTGTGTGTATTATAAAAATTATTTAGGGTAACTATTAGTTCGATTCTGCGTTACATTAAATACACTCACGCATTGTTATGTACTTAATCTTATATAGGTCGATGGAATGCGAAGGGTACACCACTCTGAGAAGTCGTTGTACTTTGAGAATCTCTAGTAGTCTTTAGAAATCTCCAGGAATCTAAAGAAATTTTCATATATCTGTCATCACTCATCCTGTATTTTTATTAGATTTAAGTATTCTGTTGCTCAGTGGGCAAAAGTTAATTGATTGATATATTTTTTTTTTTAATTGATATTATGTAATTAATCGACTTGCTTTGGCGTATTATATACGTATATATATATATATAAAACAAATTTTAGAACAACATAATATACATTTATGAAGTTATTCAATTGATAAAGTTGTTATATAACATAAGTATTTCGTATGATTTTTGTTTGTGGATAAAGGTTTTAAAGTATAATAATATCTATTACTAGTAGCAGATTTTCAATATTTTTCTGGTAGGAGGTCCTGCCAAATCACATGTATTTAAAAGGTATCTTTTAATAGATGCCTCTTTTTTAAACACTCTAGACCTCTCCTCTCTTCTATCTTGTAAATCCACTACTGCCTATTACCATTTTCGTTTTTATATAAATTGAATGGGTAAAAGTGTCAACTTATATTTTATGAGTATAATAAATCAACAGGAATATTATGAAATTTACATGAACTATTATTATCTTTACCAATTATGTATATGTTTATCTCAATTGCACAAGAAATTTATGAAAATGTATTTATAATTTTTTGTTCCAAATCATCCTTCTCAACCATTTTAAAAATGTCAGTTTACATCTTTGACCACCAACGCCTTCAATATTCATATATTATGCAGTATACACATTGGCACAGTAAAATACATTCAGTGTTGTATACAAGGTGTCCCATGAGGATTCGACAAATGTAATAACTTTTGTTCTATTCAATAGTTTTGATATACATTTTTTTAAAAAAATTAGTATGATTTTGCGCTACAGTTTGTATATAAACATTTTTGTTTTTAGGGGAAGGGATACTTAAAATAAAATATTTAAAATTTTACTATAATTTTTTTTAAAACAATTCAAAATAGCCATTTTTTAAATAGTTTTTAGAAAATATTTGATGGTTAAAAATTTTGTTAAAGTATGGTCTTTTATTTTCTACGATTTTTTTAAAATTTGAATAATTTTCTTTTCAATCATAACAATATTGTTTATCAATATAAATTACCATTATTGATTGATTGAAACTGCCTAATAACTATAATATGATAATATTATTACACGATATTAACTCATGGAAAAGAAAATCCTGACTAATAACTGATAACTGAATAACCACAATAGGTAATATTCACATTAAAATTATAATACAGTTTTAAATTTTTTATTTTAATTCCCCCTTCTCCTAAAAAAAAAAATGTTTATATAATATTAATTGTAGCGCAAAAGAATACTAATTATTTAAAAAAAAATTATTATATTAAAATTATTGAATAGAACAAAAGTTTTTGCATTTGTCGTATCCTCGTGGGACGTCTGCATATTATGACGTGCAGTTTTTGGTATGCGATAAATTAATAATGTAATTTAGAAATTTTCACCATTATACATATTTTCATATATTAATGGGATTATTTAAAACGAATAATCGTTATAATTTTCGAGGAAAAATTTCACAGTCGTAATACAATTTTCCGTTCGTAATCCAGCAGTTGTCGTTTAACTCTTAAAACCGAAATATACTTCAATTTAAAATAATGTAGAACTCTGTAATAAATATACGCGTTTTCGAAATCTGTATTTACGGACAAAATATTTTCTGACTCGAGTATCTCGACGATCGTGTCAAAAAATAAAAAATATAGATTAACCGGGTCGGTTGTGACTCGAAAAAGCGACGCCGTCAGAAACATCAGAAACATATTTAATACGGTATACAGGGTTTTTTGAGATTTCAAACGAGCGTCTCTGTCTCCTGCTACCCCCCTCGCATACAGCCTCACCCGTCGCCGTTACCCCATCCCCTCCACGTCAAACAGTCTGTCCAAAGTTTCGAAACCGACATTAATGGAGCTCCCCACTCGGCGGGTCCTTCCGCGGGGGCGGGCACGGGGAACAAGACTGCGGCGGCGGTGACGACGGAAGCTGGCGATGACGGCGCGGAGGAAAGTGTATTTGGAGAGATAAGAACGAAAACGTGCCTAGTAGCCGTTAGCGGGACTTGACACGGATCACGGGCTTTGTTTATTTTTCTAATGGCACTGGCAAATATATTATTACTGTTGACGTAGCTCCGTGTGTTTTTATATGATAACACGCGACCCGGCGACGACGGCCATAATAAGCTCTCTTTCGGCGGTTTTACAACGGGAATAATATAATGTAATAATATTGTATACGTGCGATATTACGGTATATTGTAGTATAATATTATGCAGATGAAGCAAGAGGCAAAATCGCACCTACACGATTGCTACTGCCGTTGTTTCTGTGTCGTTATTCACCGCGCTACGGCCGCGCGCGAAAATCGCCCGTAATACCGTACGGCGCACGCGACACTCAAAATACTCCACGCTGTTCGGGAATTCGGGATATAAGATAGAACCCCTCGGACGACTATAGCCCTGCCGGTCGCGATCGCTGTGTCTGCAAACACGGTGGCTGCGGCGGCGACAGTGACGACGACCGATTATATTCCTTCTTCAAATACTCGTTAAATTCGTTTTTCGTCTGCCCATTAAACGTTGCTGGACCGTTTCTTACCATTAACTTTACAAACACAATACAATATAATAAATACTTAACGAATACACTCCCGAGTCCTAAGACCCCGATACGCTCTGAGCTCGTTTGCACCGTAAATGCGTGCCTTAGGCCCGGACAACACTATACGTTTTCACCGGTGACAACGGGGATCTGTTAGCCGATAAAAACGAAACGCGTTGATATGAATATAAACGGCCACGCTGTCCGGTTCGCAGCGCAACACCGATAACGGATATCGGACAACGTTTTTTTTGTTTATTTTGAAACACATGTTTTTAATGACGGCGGTTACATTATTCCATTTTCAACGCATTTCGCTTGAATCCAAAATCCCAGGTTACGTACATTTTTTTATTTTTTCAAATCGTTTTTCGAGTATAAAATAATAATGGACACAGATAAATTAATACAAGCCGTACACGCACAAAGTGCTTTGTGGGAAATTGGTTACAAAGATTATACGAACGCAAATATACAAAAAAAAAAAAAAAAAGTCGGGTCGAAGTAGGTTGTCAAATGTACCCTGATTGGAATGATAAAGAGCAACCCTGGAAAAAAGACGAAACGGGTAATTATAATATTTTTTATTGCGCAAGAAAATTAAATTAATTTTTTTATTAACTAACACAAAACGTGCTTAGAAGAGTGGGTATTTAAGTCGATGAAAAAAAAAAATTAACTCGAGTGACCATTCTCCAGTCGTCGTCTTGTTCTGGATCCGTCCCTTGACGGTACCGATAACAGTATACCTATATGGCCGCGGTATACAAAGCAGTATACACAGCACCGTACAGACACTGTACATTATCTAATTGGTATGTAAATATTGTATAATATCGACGAACTGCCTACACAACTCTGTGCGCGATAGCTATTATAATAGCCCGCGGTATTTCACCAGGGTGTAAAAATAAATCGTCGCAGCTGTTGTTCCGCGACGACTTGGAGATCTCGTCTACATCGCAAAATTAGCGTATTCCGCCGCCGCCGCCGGCTTTACGACCTTTAATTTATTACGTTTTACCGTTATCCGGGATATAAATACGGCGGCGGCAACACACTGCTCTATACGTGTATAATATTAATATAAGTGTAGTAATAATAATACGTTCGGTGCAACATTACCGCGCAACAGAAGTTCCTAATCGATTCCTCGGTAAAAATCGGGTGCATCTGGGAAGTTAAAGTTAAACTGTGACCGGCCGACCGATACCGTTAACGTGCACCTGAGCTCGGCCGTCACATCGCCAAAATAATCTCGTACACATGTACCCGCCCCGATGCGAGCGCAAAATCCCTGGCCGTCCCCTCCTCTGAACCGCCGTTTCCATCACATCCTTCAACATTAATCACATTACATTATTCTCCCCATAATATAATACAACGTACAGGGCGATAACGTAAAACGCTCATAGTCTCGGAATCTATTCACTTTATTTTCGAAATTTGTTTTGTATAGACGATTTAAAAAACTAGCGGCTCTATTAATAACATAACTTTCTATAACATTTCCGTTATTTTTCGTTACCCTTGTTTTTCGAGGAGAACCCACTTTTCATTTAGACCAAATAGCAACCTATATATTCGAAACCGGCAAATAAATCAAGTTTTAGTTTAAATAAACGATGGTGTTGACATTTTTAATTTACGAGATATTCCACTTTGAAGTTTGTCGTTTTGTCTTTAGATTAAAAAAGAAAATTTCTTGTATTTCAAGTATTATAAATATTGATAAAGAATGACAGTATTGAATATAGATACAAATCCAAATCGTTCGCTTACTTTATTTATACATTCATACGACTAAATTTTTTTACTTTTGATGAAATCAGATTTTACACTAATAAACTATTAGTTTATATTTTTCTAGTCAAAGTTTTTTTCTTTTTTTCTGTCTATATAAAATATATCGATTTTAATATCTTGCGTTACGCAATTTCCGATTTCTTTTAATACTATTGTCAATAATTACTTATATTCAGGGCCGTGTCCAAGAAAGTGCGAAAGGTGCTCACTTTCTGTGGCTTGCCTTTGAAAATTCTTTAATTTCTTAAAGTTTATCCTTAAAGCTTTAGTTTTTTGCTTCTCGGTAATTTTTTCTGGTACCAGATGCTCATTGTGCTAGACACGGCACTGCATATATTCATACTGTAATTGAATTTAAAAAAAGAGCTGATACTGGGGATGGGTGTGCTACTGTTGTAGGTAGGAAGTTGGGATGTTAGGATACATAAAGTTATTTTATTTATATCTGCACGAAACGATAAACCATTGCTAACGAAAAACAAATCAGAGTAAAGTTCGATTACACATGTTTTGAAAGGCCGTAATATTTATGATTTTCGTAAAACAGAACTTTATTAAACTCAACTTTTTCTAGTTGACCTTTAAGTACAACTTATAATTAATCTTCGGTTAAATTTTCAAGCATTTCTATTTAGTCAAACAATTTTATCCACAGAGCGCCTACTAAATAAAAATTACGCAAAATTAAAATGTCTATGTATATGTCTAACGTATATCTGTATAAGCAACGATAAATCATTGCTAACGAAAAACGATTCTGAGCGGAGTTCAGTTGATAGTGTTGCTTTGTCAACAATATATACCTATGTCATATTATGGTGAAATGATTACAGTAATGTGTAGTTCACATAAAAAACAAAAAATATACATCATTGTAAAACCAATACATTCCTGGCTCCACTAAAAATTTAAAACATACATTTACAATATGTACATTGAACACAAAGCCTATGGGATCAGAATAAAAGAGAAAAATCTTGGACCTAGGAGTTGGGAAGCTATCCAGTAATAGGACCCTAAAAGAGAGATATCAAGCTAAAACCTCGGACATTGACGACTATTCAATTTAAAAGATCACGATACTAACGTCTTTTAAGACGAGTGTGGGATTACCTGGAATAGTATTCGTGTGTTGACTAGAGATTAATGGATTGGTATGGTAAAGTAATCTTGGGTGAACTTTAGCTGAATTACAACAATAAAACATAATTGAAAATAAAAAAGTGTTATTTTCGTAAATTTTCCCTTTCTTTTTACGTTTTTTTCATCTTTTGGTTTTTTCTAAGTTATTCATTTAAGGCATATTATATTTGCGAGTTTTTTACCTAATTTTTTTTTGGTAGGTACTTTGAGGATAAAATTTCCTGACAAAACAAAACTACTTGAACATTTAACAGGAAGTTCATTATGAAATGTACTCAGTGGTCAAAATAAAAAAAATTTGATTGTAGTATTATTTTATTAGAGTTTAATATTAAATTTTGACGGAAAGCGTAACTATTACGACTTTTAAAAAACATGTATAACCGAACTTTGCTCAGAGTCATTTTTTTTAGCAATGGTTTGTCGTTGCTTACAGATATAAATTAAATAATTGTATGTATTCTACCTTCCCAAACATTCATCTACAACAGTGGCACATCCGTCCCTAGTATCAGCTTTTTTTTCATGTTTAAATCGACAACAGTAGGGGATCTGTTTTTACAATACTTCCCCCACTGCTGCCATCGTTTATTGCAAAATTACAGTTAAAATATATTTTAAATCATTGTAGTTAAAACAATATAGTTAAAGTAAAAATGTGTATAGGCAGATGTAACAACTGTACAAATTCGATTAATATAACCTATAGAGTTATACAGGAGCAAAACTATACAATATACATCTCAATTATTCGTCCAATTCTGAATTATCGCGTACATTATACGTTCACCACTATCGACATAAGTTTTTGGATTGATGAAAAAAAGGCGGGGAAAAAAATCATAAGAAATAATTTATTACGATTTTTAAATATTGATCAATTGATTTGTATTTCTAATATTTTACCTACAATGCAGAATAGATTGGTTGTGAAACACATTTTTGATAAAACCTGTCTATTTTTTGAATAACCAATAAAAATGTACTGAAGCGTTAGTATTATACGAGTAATAATATTAATATTTGTCCAATGAATAACTGTCTCTATACATAATAGTTTTTATAAGTAGATATTTAAATGGAATAAGTGCAACGGTTTTTGAACTTTCTAGTACCAGAAAAATTAATTTTTCTCTCTTGAAAAATCAGTTACAATAAAGAGCTAAAACCCTTCAGTTGGTCCCAGTAAAAAAAAAAAAAAAAAAAACTTGCGCTTAGTCCAACAATATTATTTCGTCCGTTAAAAATATTAATATAGGTAATGACTAATCATTTTACCATGACACTGGCGAATGTAATAATTAATATCGCTTGACTGATCAAACAAACATTTTAACTAATGAAATATGCGTGTAATTTATTATTACACTATGGTATGCTAAAAATGGCTTTATAAATCACGGAATGTACAAATGAAAAAAAAAATTAATTGTTCAAAAACTAGATCATCATTTTTTTTTTTTTTTACAAAGTATTTTTAAATTATGTTAACTCTATCTAGTTATTTACGTTATTGATACAATTTTGTTAATGATGGAATAAAAATTAGATTAATTAGGTATTATTTCTGAATGACTATTGTATTAGTATTAATGGTACAAAAAAAATAAATGAATTGTAAAAATGCCGATACAGGTAGTCGAATGTATAATAATACATTTTACTAAAATAAATACATAATATGGAACAAGCCGAACGTACATTTCACAATGCGTGGGCCACTGTTGTAGGTGGTAATTGTGAAGGTACCTATAGTTATTTGTATATTCATATTATACCGCTTTCCAAATTATTATAAATTACCCTATATCCAAATATTTCTAGTATGCCCAACAATTTGTTTTCTAATATAGAGTGATTTATTGGATAGGTATACTGAAATCCGCATTAAACATCGCAATTAAAAAAGTTTATTTTAGCGATTTTTTTTTAAAATTTTATTCAATTTACGAATAACCGCGGGTTGTATTATTTTCGTTTGTCGGCAGTGTTGAATATGATATGTATAATCTTTCTGATAGACGAATTTTCGAAAACACGACCGTTTGCGTGAACCGCATAAAGGGTGGTGGCGCAAAGTATTTTCACCTCGAATCGTCGATTTAATTTCCACCCAACCCTACCCAAAAATACCCCGAAATCTACAAATCAGCGATGAAAACCGAGTTTTCTTGGGAGTCATTATTGAAATTTATCAAATTTTTGTTACATTTCTGAACACCCAGGCATCCACAACCCGCCCGTGTTTTACGCGAATCACTCGGTTCCAAATATGCAGGCTGTCCTATGAAGATATACCCTTTGAATATCTCCGGAGAAAATAAAAATAATCAAATTTCGATTTTTTTTTTTTATATTACTCACAGGGATGAGGACTACAAATTTTTATTTTTATTATTTTCGGAAAATTTTAAGATAGTCATTTTGTAGAGTTTATTTTCTGAAATTTGAATGTGTTGTACACATTTATATCCGATGAATAGTTTCTAAGTAACAACCGTTTTAAATTCTACTAATCCGCGTGAAAACCGATGTTATCGGGTAACGCGATTAGGTTATTCTCTAGATAAAATGAATTCAAAAATAAATATTTATAGTTCTCATACTTGTGAATAATACAAAGAGGATCAAAATTTGATTATCTTTATTCAAGGGGTATATCTTCGTGGGACAGCTTGTATACACCCTCCATCACTATACCACTACGAAATACACGGAAACCGATTTCGGGAACGGGGGCCGGGAATTGCCCGTGGAAAACGTTTTAAACTACACAATCAATTTAACGCTTGACCTCGAGCCCTTATCTCGCAGACACGTCTGCAGGGTGGGATTGATGGTTATCGGGGCCCGGGGCCGATAAGCGAAAAAAGATAAAAAGTAATGAAAAAAAAAAAAAAAAAACAAACAAACACACATCGTGCGGCCTTGCGGCTCTCTTGTACTCGCGACCCCGGGGTAGCCTCCTAAGCGCCCCCTCCCCCTTGATTCAGCCCTGCGCGCCCGGTGACCGCCGCGCATTCCATATCCGCGCGCGCTGAACACCGCGTGCCCGGCGGAATTTACGAAAAAAAAAAAAAACAAAATTAAATAAATAAAACACAAGGAGACACTCTGGCCCGCGAAATACGTTATACCGGGGTGCGACATATTAGTATAATATATTTGTACGTGTACGTGACGTATACGGCGAATATGTATACGTATATAAATATCGTATAGTCATCTATCAAGATTAAACACGTCTCGGCGGAGTGACGGCGGCGGGGCGGCGGCGGGAAATGCGACCGCGGGGTAGGTATAAAGCCGTCGCCGTGCGGTCGCGGTGGCGGCGGCGGCGGCGGCGGACGGGGAAACGGGTCGGCGGAGCTGGGCGGCGCAGTGTATGTATTTAATATTTTGGAACTCGACGGTTTGTCGAGTGTCATCTAAATAGCGAATTGATTATTCGCCAAGCGGCAGACCCTCTGGCGTTCGGCCAGCCGCCGCCGTATTCCGCGCCCCGCGTCCGCCGCGCCGAACAGCTTACCCCCCCCCCCCTCCCTCCCCCCGTCCGCCGACCGGCTAATGCGCGCGTGCCGCGTTTCCCCTCCCCCCTCCCCGCGCGCGGGACTGGCGGAGGAAAACACCGCGGCGCGACGATCGCGACGCGCGCACGCCGAACGTTTAACATTTATTCCCGCGCGGGACCGGTTAATTATTTTAAATATTTTTTATTGTTTTTTTTCGCGTAATTATATTATATTATATTGTACGTTTGTCGACCGGCACGCGTAATAATTAATAATAATAATCGATCGGCGTGCAATTATAACAATAGTACAACACGAATACGCCTACCTCCTAACCGGCGCGTTATTACGGAACTCTCTCGAATAACGACCGGCAGCGGCCCGTCATTGTGTAAAACTTTAATTAATTAAAATTGTTGCCCGCGAGCGGTAAACGATTGCCCGCCGCGAGTTCCCCATGCACCTAACCGAAAACAACGCGTTCCCGGAGAGTCGCGTTAGCTCTCGCGAAACTGCACGGGCGCGCGGCACTCTCGAAGTGTCATCGGACGAGACACCACTCGACCGTATTGCGGCGTGACACCGTCGAGATCGCGAACGGTACGAACAGAAGACGCCGGCTTTGGAACTGCGTATACCTACAGGGCGTCTCGCGACAGATAGCACACCCGTTGCGGTCTCTCGGAGTGTACAACAACTTTTTTCGGAATTTTCGTTTTTTTGTTATTCGAAAATCACAATTACACGGTAACGTTTCTTCAGGGGCGACAAGAAATCAAAATAATGTAACATTTTAAAGCGGCTGGTTTTTTAAGTTGTTAAATAAAAAATAAAAATAAAACTTCCGAAAGAAGTTAATACTTTCCGAGATATCGCAACGGCGTATTTTCGTGAAACACGCTGTGAAACAGAAGGGTCTGGTCTGAGTATACTCTTCCGACTGTGTTAATATAGAAAAATAAAGTATAAGTTAAGTAAGTAATATTCGTCGAGAATTGAAATTCGCAATATTTGCCTTTTTTAGACATTTTACATTTTTTTTTTTTTTTTTAGATTTATGTAAATAAAATTGTCGTGGCCAGACAGACATTTTTGGAAATTTAACACGAGGGTTTTAAGTTTATTATAAGTTTTATTAGTTATATTATATTTATTTTAAGTTTTAATTGGTGGTAAAAAAAAAACCGCCTAATGTTGTAGTTTTTTTCATAAGCGTTTCACGATAAAATTTTGACGAAAATTGTAAAAATCGTGATATTTTTGGTTTTTGTTAGCATCGTTTGATCGTTACGTACAGATATTAATCAGAGATTTTTATATATCTTATATTCCCAACTTCTCACCTACAACAGTGGAACACCCGTCAGCAGTAGTATTATCTCTTTTTCTTTACCGCTCTTACCGATGCTGTAGCGTTACTGTCGGCTACCACTGAGATCGCCACTACTGATATCATAGTACCACTCACTATATAGCCTAGTACGTGCCACTTTTCGTCGTCATCCACCACTAAGTGGAATATATTGGAAGTTCACCAGAAAAGGTAAATTAGGCATTATTTTCAATTTTATAAAAAATATACTTGGTTTTGTATAAATGCCATCTTTCAATATTTAAAATAGAGTTCGTTCAAAATACAGTACCTATTCATTGGTATCAGAATAATATTTATATTAAATTTTCAAAAAAAAAAAAATATTAATAAATAAAGCCTAAAATTAACAATTAATAACTCTAATGGCATCTAGTTTTATATTTCTGTTAATATTATATTTGTCCCTCCGTGTATTTATTATTACATTAATATCCCATTCCGTCTTAATTTTTAAAACATTTGCCTCACCACTTACAAGGTTCACGAGCCGCCACTGCCACTACCTACACAGTGTAGGTGTAGGCGGAGATTAGCGGGGGCGTAAGCCTTTATGGATTTCAAATAAATCATATTTGGCACGTGAAACGACGGCGGCGGAGGTGGCGTATGACGGTGACGACGGTGACGTGGCGGAGGAGGTGGTGTATATACTAGACGCCTGGTTATAAGGGGAAAAAAAAGGGTTTACAATCGGCCGAACATTATAATAAATTTTGGGTTTTAATAAATGCGAGAGAGAGGTGGTGGCGCGAAAGTTATTGGAAGGAGACCAAGAATGGCGCCATATTTTACTAAAGAACGTCAATCGCAGGTGTCGGCGGGCAGGGGGTATGCGTATGCGCGTGTAACAGACGTGCCCGCTTCAATTTCCCTTATAATATAATATTTTGTTTATTATCATTATTTTATTTTTCTTATAACAAAACTTGACACTTAATTTTCACACTGTTTTTTCTTATAAAAACGTAAAATGCTTGTTCGGTGGGTATACTTTTCAATATTATCTCGAAATTTAAGTGCGCATAACGATAGTTACGACAGTAAAACGGAACGGCACCATGGACACATTTACTATCGATTTCAAAAATAGGAGTTATAAATTATCATGCATGCGTGATAGGGTCATAGTAGCTATTAGCTATCACGATCGTTTAATAATTATTAACGCCCTGTTCTTACGACGTTCTTTATGGTAGTCACCGTCATATTATAGTGAATTTTGCGACTATCTCGATAGCAACTATCATCGTATGGACTAAGATTTAGAGATCACAGAGACTATCAATTACGATTTTATATAAAATAAAACGCCGATAGCAGCATAATAATGACAGTGTATGCCATTCTGCAGTATACGCGTTCATTTAGAGCATTCTCCCCCTCCCCCAAACGAATTTTACGACAATTATATTAATTTATCAGTGTGTTATAATTTAATTGCACTTTGCCACACGCATACTCGTATATATAATATTCGAAACGCAATAAAACCCTTCGCGTCAATTATAGTAATTTAGGTACCGATCAAATTATGCGAACATTTATTTTATTCCTGAGAATTTAAAAATTTCATCTAAAAATTTTAAAAGCCAACATGTGTGCAGCTTTTATTTTATAAAATAATAAAATAATATCTGCATTATACTGAAAGAACACGGTTATTTACACGATAGCCAATCGTGCGCAGGAGTAATTGAAACCTTCGATCAATCAATGCGGTGTTTGTATAATATTTCTATGGTACCTATACCTATATATTGCTTATCAATATATTCCGCCTAACAGGCATTTATTATTTTTTTTTTCTAATTGAAATCCCCATAGTTATTTTGGTATTTGTCAATTTAAATAAATTAAAACTCAATAATTAATAAAATATAACGACGCTATGTCAAAAACAATAAATGCAGAGTATAATAATATATTTTAATATTATAGTAATCGAACCGCATATGATAATTTGCATCAGTTTTAATTAATGTTTTCGTTAATTAAAATTCAAAATAGGTACCTACTAGACTATATTATAAACGATTATAAAACCCACTTAGAAAAAAAAGTTCAATATCAATTAAGTTTACAGTGATTACCATCAATATATACCAGTGTGTACCACCAGAAGTGTATAAACGCGATATTAAGCAAAAATACAATAGAAAATAAGTAAATTTAAAAAAAAAATTAGCCGATACGACTAATGGGTGTGCCACTGTTATAGGAGGGAAGTTGGAAAGGAGGGTATATAGATTAATTCTATTTTATTTCTATATTATGTACGCAACGATAAACTATTGCGCACAATAAAATACACGACCTAACCTTACGAAAAACGATTCTGAGAAGAGTGCTTTAAGTCATATTTTTTCACTGTAACGAGTGAAAAAAAAACGACACAAGGTTACTCAGAAACCAGCAAAATTATACACAAAATTGTCAGTTTTTTCCATTTTGTAAACTATTAAGGAAAATAAAAATTAACTTCTTTAATGCACAAAAAAGTTTCTATAAAGTTTTTGATTGGAGCAAGATTTCTGATAGAAAAGTTGTTTACACATACATCAAATAAAAAACGTCTTAGTAAAACTAATAAATTTCTTGCTCCGCTCAAAATCTAAAAGCACATATAATGTATATATTATTATATGCTATGATTTAAAATAATTATATGTGAAGTTGTAAGTACCTCTATAATTAGATTTTAATTTTATTATGAACGGTTTAAGCGAAAATTCAACATCAGAAAAAAAATATCACAGTGATGTAGGGCGGAAAAATAGCAATAACATAATCGATAGGTATTTTATTGTATTATAAACGCATTATTAAACGGAACATTTTCTAGAGATTTCGCAAGCGAATATAGAATATAATAACCAATTACTAAATTTCAAATACTACTTATATATATATTCATTTAGAACAGTTATAATAGGTTATATAATCATACGTATTATTTAAAGTAATTAATGTAGAGTGTCCTTGTACCCCCGTCCCATTAAGAACGCCGGACACAAATTGCCCTGTATTTCTTGTTTTATGTGTTGGCTGAAATGTTTTTCTTATCATTATTATCTATAAACTCTCCGAAATGAAACGCTGTGAAGGTTTTATCGATTAATTTTGTTTTATTGATTTATTTTTATTGTTTATAACCTTTTGTTTGTAACCATGGTGCGACTAACTATTCAAGAACGCGTTTTGGTTTAGTTTAGTTTCATTGAATTTGACTAACAATCAATCGACTGTTGACTCATTAGGAGCCTCACTTCGACCCACGATCCGTCTCAGATGGTGCACTGTTTCGGCATAACTTTCATTATGGCGATAAAAATTCTTAACAACCAAAACGCGTTCTTGAATAGTTAGTCGTACCATAGTTACAAACAAAAAGTTAGAAACAATAAAAATAAATCAATAAAACAAAAATAAATCGATAAAACCTTCACAGCGTTTCATTGCGAAAGTTTATAGATGATAATGGTAACAGATCAGCCAACACACAAAACGAAAAATACCGGGCAATTTAAATTCAGCGTTCTTAATGCCTAATGGCACACTCTATACAAGTGTTACTAAATTATAAAAATTATAAAATCATACACTTATATCTATAATTATACAATGCATATATCAAAAATATAATTCTGAGCGAATTTCGGTTAACATTTTGTTTGAAATATCTTGATTTTTATGATTTTTGTCAAATTTTTTATTTAAAAAATGTCTATAAAAAAACCTACTACACTACACTCAACTTTTTTTTACCTTCGATTACAACTTCTGAAGAACCTCGTATTAAATGTTCAACATTTTTGGTTTGACCAAACAATTATAATCACATAAATCGAAAAATATTTCGCAAAATGACGTTATTTTTATTATTTCCATTAAAATTAGAACTTAAAATACGCAGGACGACGTAGGTGTATAAATTACGATAGCAATAAGCGAGCGTGTATAATTCCTGGTTTCTAAACGTATTTTGTACTATAAACTATAATTCCATGTACAATTTTGGAAGGATTAGGTATACCTAGTGGAACCTAGTATAATATAGTGTGATTATGTGTAAAATCCTAAACAATTTAAATGTATGTGTTTTATTTAAAATATCCAAAATAGCAAATATTGTAAATGTAGTTGACTGGATATTTTAAAAATGCATAGCCATTATATTATATTCTGTCCTTATTTTTAGATTCTGAACAAAGTGAGTATTGCTACTGAGTATGGTTTTACTACTTTGCTCAGATTCTAAAAAATGTTACCTAATAGGTAGGTTGTAAGTATAGATTACGAATTTATCGACTTGAAAAGAGATATAAGTATCATTTTTAAATAAAGCATGTAAATATATAAATTATTGCATCTGGCGTATACTATTACTATTTACTATTACTTAATAGCGTAGTTCAATTTTTTTCCAATAAATAATAATTTTAAAATATCAATACCTATTAATATAGTTAATGTCAATAACTATACTGTCGAAATCGAGAGTTATATCGATTTAAAGTGAATTTAAAAGTATATACTTACGAGTGTGTATTCTGAATGCAGATTCCTTGATATTATTGTTGTTTATAGTGATGGATTCGTCTAGAATACCGCAATCGCGTTCGATCGTTTCTTCTTTTATAATTTTCGGTTCCATTGGCTGAAATAATATACACATAATGTTTTATTAGCAATACCTTAGGGAATAAAGCAAAAATATCTTTACGCAAATATAGTAAGAAATCCGCATAGACAGAGTAGAATTCATTTAATTTTGGTTTTAGAGTAAAAGCACACATTTTAAAATTAAAAAAGATCTGTAATTCGTAGAACAAGACTGTACGGTTAGATTATATTATCAGACCGAAAATATTGCAACAGCTAGATAGAATCGGGAGAATTTGCGGTTTTAAGACATCAAATATAGGTAAATTTACATTATATTGAATATAATATTTTTCGTTCTCATTAGTTTATGGCAAAGGCGTAAAATAAAATAAACTAGGATTGACGGCCGTTTTACACGCAATACATTTAAGCCAACATAAGATCAATAAAATGCAACGACCGAGTCAATTTGTCATAAAGAATTATCACATTTACGAGACGGTAATATATCACGGTAATATTCGTAAGTATTTAAAATCGAAAAAAAAAAATTAAATTAAACTCAGCTTTTCACTGTGTTATATTTTTTTCGACGGAATTAAATACAACGTATAAGTTAGTTCTACCTGTTCGTCAACGAATAAAGAATTGTATTTATTATTATTTCGGAGGTCAACTGTTTCAGTACTCAGGTATGCATCGTGTTTATAGATGTCAGGTAAAAGATCAAAGCAGCACATCTAGACCACAACATAATAATATTTCTATCAAGTGAAAATCCAATTAACATAATATACACGAATAAAGCATAATAATATGTCAACTCCAGACGAAACCTATTTTAGAAATGTGTAATAACAAAGCGACGTGTACATACCGTATACCTGCGTACACATTTATGGCACATACGTACCTACGGAAATTAAATGCTTTTGATAACGTTTAACAAAATAATAATAATCATAAAAAAAAGTTTTAATAATGTTATACTTTTTCATAGAATGTCATTTACAGTGCGTTATTGTTTATTTATTACGTTACACAAATGCAGCGCCATATTAACAATAATCGACTATATATACAACTTCGCTCAGCAAAACTGCCGTAAAAGCTTGTTTTTTAATTACATTTTTTTATTATAATTTTTTTTTTAATGAACTTTTTAACTAGTATTTTATAATATTAAGTAAAATTATAAATACAGTTTCGAAATTAAATATGTTCATAGTGTGTTTGCATTATAACATCTGTATAATAATATAAATTTATGATCATAATTCTAAATTTGTTCGTTATACTAGACAGACCTGCTTCAGAAGTACCTTTACCTATCCACCCCATACTAAACAATTGTTAGAAATATATTGAGCAAGAGGAGATATAATATTTCTCGATCGTCTCTTATCAAAAATTAACCAATATAATATACACTATACAGGGTTATTCATATATCTTAAACCAGCGATTTTCTCTGAATATTTTAAGTGAATTCGCGAATTTTGGTTTTTCAATCATAGAATCGTTTAAGTTTTATTTTAACACGATTTTCAATTTTTAGATTTCGAGTAGAGAGAAGAAGCTTATGATTTTACAAAGATGTTTATTTTTTTTTTCTGTGGACAACTTTTCTACCAGAAGACTTACTTTGATTTTTACATGTAGTGACTAAAAGGTTAGGTTCGGTATGGGGAGGTACCTTAGAGAGGTTATTTTTGGATTTTCTCCGGTGTTTTCTCAGAAAATTTGAAAAACTGAGAAAAACATGGGAAAACCGGGAAAAACGTTAGAAAACCGAGAAAATCGAACAACATTAAACAAATATTATTAAAGAAAATATATAGAGCCTATTTAATTATTTTAATATAATATGGCATATATATATATTTGACAAAGCATCATTATCAATTGAACTCCGCTCAGAATTATTTTTTCGTTAGCAATGGTTTATCGTTGCTTACAGATATACATTAAATTCCTGTCTGTATCCTACCATTCCAACTTCCCACCTATACCAGTGGCTGCACCTGACTCCATTGTCTAACCTTTTTTTATTCATATACTTTAAATCAGTAGGTATGCATTTTTGAGTTTTATACAGGACCCTCTATTTTAAACTTGAGTCAAAAAGATAATATCGTTTTTTTTAAATTTTGAATGCATAACACCAATATCGAATTTACTTTTAATGAGTTAGAAATTTGAAAAAAGACGGAAATACTACGCACGTGGGTGCAGCCACTGTTGCAGGTGATAACTTGGGAAAGTAGAAGGCAGACGGGAATTTAATGTATATCTATAAGTAACGGTAAACGACTCTGAGCGAAATTAAGTTGATAGTTTTGCATTTTCAACAATATATATGTCATTATATGGTAAAATGATAACAACAATGATTGTTTAAAAAATATTAAAAACTTAATAATAACAAAAAATAAATAATTATGGTTGCCAATGTCAACCTTATTTTTAATCTTATACAATTTTTTAACCTAAAAAATCAGGTTTTCTTCATTATCTCGAATATTAATGGGAATTTAAGAAAATTACGTCTTCAAAGTACTACTCAGAGAACATTTCCTTTTAGAAAAAGTATTATAATTGGTAATCACATTAAGCTTTCTGGTAAAAAATATGTTCACATAGAAAAAAGAAATAATATAAAGAAAAAATAAACATCATTGTAAACCAATATATTCCTCACTTCTTTCGGAATCTAAAAATATTTAGGTTTCGGCCGGAACAGTAGAGGTTGGTAGGTACTCATATCAGTTAATCATATAAAAATGGATATGAAGCTTATTAACATTTCCTACTCTTCCGGTTTAAATATTAAATTGTTATAACTTATAAACGACATAAACAGCAAATCCGATATTACAGTTGTGCATTTGGCATATCAAAGCTATATTACTATATAGCTTTGACTAGTCAACTGAGTAGTCAACTTCCACTTTCAAGATTACGACTCTCTGGTTGAGTTTATGTCAAAGGGACCAATTATTAATTTTAATAATTTTATGAAGAAGAATATATAGTTGCTACGAATGATTTTTTTAATATTTTCATTTTTTTATCAAGATATATACTTGTAATTTAACTCAGTTTCATTTAATTTTAACCAGTAACAACTTATTAAATTAACAGCATTAGAACATTGAAGTAATCGAAATTCGACGTACGTAATATACTATTTTTGGAGCAGTCAAGTCATCAATTTATATAATGTTTTAGAATAAAAACATGCCATCATGATGTGACATGAATGACATGACGTTAGTGTGGTTCTGATAAATTCAAATACTATTTAGATTTATATCGTACATTTCTTTCCCCACGATAGGATAACGTAGGATAGCACGTGAGCTCACGTGACATGAGAATAGTCTATTTTCAGCTTTAGAGGTAAAACTAGTGGTGAGCCGATATGACTTTTTTCCGATACCCGATATTTCGATAGTTACTATCGATATAAAACTTGATACTCGATCTGATATTTAAAATCGAAAAGCACGAATTGGTATTGAAATCAACCAATATATCGGTTGAACACTGGATTTTTAACGCTTTGTCGGTATTCTGGAAACATTTAAATGACATTAGATGTAAGATATTTTTTCCAAAGTATCGGGTCAAATATCGGTTTTGAAAAAACCCGATATCCTTAATATCGATCGATTTCGGTATTTTGATAGAAACTCGGCATTAGATAAAATATGTTTTGTCAAATGAAAATAATATATAAAGTAAATAAATATAGAAATAAAACATTAATATATAAAAATATAATAAATAAATGAATCAATGCGTCACCTGGAGTATTATGATAAGTATATTATACGACCGGTTTCGAATCAAAAATTCATCATCAGGTATATCACAGTCAAAATGTAAAACGCGACTCGTATAATACACTTATCATAATACTTCAGGCGACGCATTGATTCATTGATTTGTCATATTTTTATAAAAACATTTTTTATTTATATATTTATTCACGAGTATTAACCATTTTAATAATTTTGTTTTTACTTTATTTTTTTATTATTGAAAATAATATTTCAACGGTGTAATGTGTACAAAAAAAAAAAAAAAAGTTGAAACTTTGAAAGAGATTTGACATTTTTTGTTATTATTCATAACCCCGTGAAAACGTGTAACTCTGGCATGTACTTGCGTTTTAAACCGGCGATACAAGAAAAAAAAAATAATAATAAAATAAATAAACACTAACAATAAAAACACGCTGATGTGCGAGACGTCTGTAAAAACTTTTTCATAAGTAAAATTAGATTCACGTAGGCGTACGCATCACGCGACCGAACAGAATTCAATGACTGCAGTTGGTATACGCGTACGGTCGTAGAGATAAATTTCTGTTACCGGTAAATGCATTTTTTTTTTTTATTAAACAAATCGGGAGCGATTTGATAAGGGGGTCCGTTAATTAACTCGGAAAATATTTTATCGGATACGCCATAATACACGCGCAGTGGCGGCCCTGCCCGACGGCCGTCGAGGCGACACAGAGTGAGAGAGATAATACGTCGTCACAAATTATGTATTTTCTCATTCACTTATCGTTTCCGTGGCCTCTAGAGGTGGCCAGTGTCGTCACGTGCAGTGACGCGTTGTCCAACGGCAATAAGTCTACGGCCCAAACGCTCTCGTTTCCCTCCCACTCTAAACCGTCTCGCGATGTCTCTCGCGACGTCCGTTAATTAGTACAGGTCCGTCGGCCAGGGGAAAATTTCCCTCCCGTCCGTGAAACATTAGACTGCGTGTTACGTAACCGCCCGTACTATTGCGTTCGATCGGCCGCGACCAGAACGGCGACGATCCCGGGAGATTCGCAGCGACCCGGCGCGGTTTTTGGCGAGGAGAAGAAACCGTTGTTGCGCCGGGGGCGCGGAAAAAAAAAAAAAAATGAAAAAAAACGACGCGAATTCAAAACGGTTTGTCGGAAAAATCAGTCGCTCGTCCGCCGCGTCCCGTGCACGCGCGCGACGGAACCGTTTGACCGGCCGCCACTGAATTATCGACCAAAGGCGCGACACGCGGGCTGGTGGGGGTGTGAGGAGTTGGGGGGGGGGGGGGGAGAAAGCGCCTCGCGGGCCGCGTATTTTCTCGTGCGCCCCGGTGTGTATTATTAGATAAACATTAACCAGCTGCGGGCCCCCCGACCCGGCGTGTCGGCGGCCGTCGCGTGTGCGTGTGCGCCCGTCGGCGCGGCACAGTCGGAAATCGTCAGTATGGAAAAAAGGACACATGTTTTCTATCGACCGACGACCGACGTCGACGACTATAATACGCGCGCTGCACGACGGCCCTTTCCGCCTCCGCCACCGCGTCCGTCGCCTCCGTCGTCGTCGCCGCCGCCGCCGCCGCCGCTGCCACCAACGCCGCCGCCGCGGCGGATTATTATAATGCGGCGGCAACGGATTCCGTGCCCCGGGTCCGGGTCGATATGGGCGCCCATAGGTTATATTATTATTATTATTATTATTATTATTATTGTCGCGCGCTTTCTCCGATATCGCGGGTACGGGAGCGGAATTCAATGCGACGTAAAAACACGGAAATAATCGCTTTATTATTTTATATGCGAACGACGGCCGCGCCGCGGATACGTGTTTGACGTGTAAATTATTCAACGGCGGCGTACCCGCGAATAGGTACCGCGCGCGGGGGTTCCCACAGCTAATACGCATACAGGCGGTGGCGGAGGGGGGGTGTGGGCTCCGCGGTTCGTCGGGGAGAAATTACCGAAATGAAACGGCGGCGAAACGGGAGCTGGCCGCGACGACGACGACACGCGGCGACACGGACGGAGACGACGGTTCATTTGAACAAATGACTAAGTACAGTGGCGTGCGCGGGGGGGGGGGGAGATTAGGGGTTATATCCCTCCCCACATTGGTTTGAATTACAAAAAAAAATATGAGTAATCTAATGTCGAAATCCATAAAGTTCAGCCGAGTTACGAGGAAAAACTCGACATATTAATTAGAAATTGGCCTAATTTTAGGATTCGGCTTTTTAATTACCATTCACCACAGCCAATTTGGGTAGAGAAGACAAATTTATGATTTATTCATGATTCGTATTTGCTACACCCCCTCCCATTTATAATTCCTGGGCATGTCACTAACTACGTATAAATGTGAATTCGTTGTCCGCAGGTATACCGTATTATGTGTAGTATGCGTTATAGAGTATGTACGTGGTTAATTATAAACGTCGTGTCGAATTTCCCGCGATACGCTTATTTTTTCAATAGGTAAAATAAAAAAAAAGATACAGACACACCTCGCACGATAGGGTGGGCTACTGCGGTATAGGTGAGAAGTCAGGATGGTACAGGGGAAATTTAACGTATCGATTGACTATTGCTACCGAAAAACGATTCTGAGCGGAGTTCGGTTAAAAATGTTGTTTTGTCAACAATATAATGTATAGTATGCCATGTTGTGATATAAAACAATTACATAGTATTCATTATATTTTTTTTCTTTAATTATATTTGTTTAAAATTGTATCTATTTCCCGTTTTCCCACGTTTTTCCTCGGTTTTCCCCATTTATGAGAAAACTTCTGGGAAAATTAAAAAATGAAACTACCCTCTTCTCCTAGTCAGATTTCCTTTCAGAAAAAGTGCTATAATTGAAAATCGGAGCAAAATTGCTGGTAGAAAAGTTGTTCACAGGTAAAAAAAAAATAATAAATATCGTTGTAAAACCAATACATTCCTCGCTCGCTCCGCTCAGAATCTAAAATGTATTATTAAACATTTTTTTTGAAATCGTGTAAATTCTAAAATCGTTCTCGGTTTTGTCATCTTTATTTTCGGGGGTGTAACGACTACCTATTTTATATTTTCAAATATGAACCCACCTATGTTAAAAATTCCATAAATAAATGAAGTTTTAGTTTAAACACGTTTTAGTGTTAGATTACCGTTAATCTGTTGACGAGATGTTCAGTTTTTAAGTTTACGTAGGGGGAGGTTACTGGAACGCTATTAAAATACCGCGTGCCTTGCCGCCAACCAAAATTTATATGTGGAATATCTCGTCAACGAGTTTCCAAAAACTAAATATTTTTTAATTAACACTTCATCTGTTTATAGAATGGTTGCTATTTTAAAATCAAAAGTATATAATCGTTTTACCCCTAAAAATTAGAATGAGAAAAATAAGGACAATTTAAAATGTTAGAGTTACTTGTTTCTTAAATGTTTTATTAAAACAAATTTCGAACAAAGTTAACGTTTTCCTAGATATAATGAGTGTCTTTTCGAGAATCGATCGCCCGCGTATATACGACGTGATCTTGTCAACTGATATAATATGTGCACTATAATATAATAAAATACGCTCAAAATGCCTCCGGGACGTCGCGGATAATCTCGACTGTGTCTACCGTGCGTTACTGTTTGTAGGCTGCACTGCCACCGACTTCCCGTTTGCTAAAAAACAGCACGCGTGATTCGGTATAGGAAAAAAAAAGAAAAAAACGTCGTACACCGAAACACATCGCACGAGACAAAATAATAATATACGAATCATAATACCTATCGTATAATAGTTATTCTTTCATTGTGTCCCCGGGACAGTGCTCGCGCTAATCTCAGACAGTTCTGAATTATTAAAGGACGGGCGGTTGCACAAAATACACACATATTTTGACCGGCAATATACGTGCGAATTATTGTGAGAGGCTTTGAAAAAAATGAATTTTAGAACAGGAAATATAAAGGGCCGAAAAGAAACCCCGGACCGAAGAAAAATGGCATTGGGGGATAAACGAGAAAGTGGAAGAACAGTGTATAATATAATGCGAGCATGCATGATGGAGATCGGTTGGATTACTCGGACGAATACCGTGATGGAAACCGGATGCCGAACTGCCGCAGGCAACGCGACGTCCTAGACAGAGATGGGGACCTAAACGGTCTCTAAAATGCCCGATCGCGCCAGTTATACTTACCGATACGTAAAATTCCGCGTGTTTTAATCCGTCGAGTCAATAATATTACATAAACTGTGTCTTCCTCATATTAATCCGTCGGCAATCTAATCGTCCGCTAACCGCGCGTATGCGAAAATAACGAAATCCGTTTCGTTTGTGACCTATTTAACGAACGATTTGCGGTATTTTATTTTTGCCATCGTGTTCATAACCGCGCAGCGACACGTAAAACAAATATAGGTAACGAATATACGTACCGACAAATTGGAACCGGCAACATCCGCAGAGACATAAACCGTATCGGCACGACGACCCGCGGTCCGCGGGAAATACGGTCGGTCGCGTGTATTTTAAAAACGGATTTTGCGCCTACAGATACACGATTGTCGCGTGAAAACACATTTGGTTTTCGTTTACCGTACTGTAAAACAGACATCTGATTCACGAGTAAAAATACGGTAGGTATTATAAAAAACCTTTATTGTAAAAAATTATTTTTTTTCCAATTTAAATAAATTTAGTTGAGTAGGAAACTGAAGTCTTCTACATTCAACTTATCAAACTCGTCAATCTTTGTATGATATTTAACTAACTTCGAATTAAACTCCCTTTAGACGTTACTCGATACGCAGTATTATAATTACGTTACATTCAACTTTTTCGTTTTATCATAATAACAAATTACCTTTCTTTGACAATTAAATCATGGTATGATTTAAAAAAAAAAACCAACTTAGCTACTAATATGTAATGATTCAAACAAAGCGTAGGCCTGGGCCTACCAGGTATATCCGCTAGACACACCACTGTTACAACTTAGTACATTTTATAAAATATTACATTACCTAATAAATACATAATGTAGGTAATTGAACTTGCAGAAATCACGTAAAACGTATTTAAATAATATAAACGTAGTATAGTTTAAGGCTTATGGAAATTTTTTTAAAAAAATAGGAAAGAAATGACGCAAATTCCATAATATTTGAAAAGTTGTAGAACAACATTAAAATATAACTTGCTAATATTGTTTGGAAGCAATTTTGCTATTGAAAATTCGTACGACTTATATTTTCTACGAAAGATATTACTCTGATAAAAAACGAGATCTTTTTTTTTGTGTTTTTAATTGGCGAGTATGAAATTGGTTTTTTGATTTTTTGCCGAAAAAAATCGTGAAAGAACAGTTAAATGTACGAAAATAATTATTTTATAATGTTCAATTTTGTTTCTTTATCGTAATTTCGTTAAAAACATTTGTAGAGACTTGAAATATTTACTTTCGTTCGTTTTTTCTGGACTTGGTAAAATGTTCAAAACATTTAAGTTATTTTTGAGTTATTTATAGACATTTTAATTTTGTGAGTTTTTTACGTAATTTTTATTTAGCAGTTACTTTGTGGATACAATTGTTATATTAAACAGCAATAATTGCAAAATAAACAGGAGGTTCGTTAAAAGTCGTACTACGTGGTAAAAAAAAAAAAAAAAAAGTATAATAGGAACCGTCTATTATCGTTTATATTTTTAAGAATGAATAGAGAAACTACGTTATAATAAACGTTCGTTTCGCTCTTCAGAACGAATTGGCCATTTCAATCGAATCGTTTAACGAGTGTTTCGAAACGCTCCACGACCCCGAGCACAATGCATATGCGTAAGGCGCAATTCACGAATCAAAAAACGACGACGGTCATTTCATCGGAAAACCGTAATAAGGGCGACAAGAACGATAGCCGGACGAGACGCGTGAAAACGGCGCGATTATTTTACCGGAGAGAAAACTCCGACCGTGGCGACGGGGGTGTGGGTGGTATTTTGGGGGTGGGGAGAGGGGTGACATATTCCGAGAAGACGCGGGTGTCCGGCGGGAGATCGATCACCGCGGCGGTCCGTATAGTATTTTATGGGCGCGCGAAACGATAAAACCGACACGCGGGACGTATCGACGGACAAAAAGAGCTCACCTGTCGCGAGTCAGCGCCGTCCAGTACGACCGGATTGTGCGAGGATCTGCAGCGATGATAATCGCTAACTCTCATGATGGCGGACTCGTGACGCCACCGGCACGTCATGAAATATGAAAACCGTGCACCGACGCGACAATAATACAACGTCGCGGGTACTCCGTCGGCGCCTATGCGACCGGTCGTGTTGTACTGCGGCGGCGGACGACGTCTCGGACCGGCACGCGCGACGGACGCGGCGACACAGCGTTCGTAGCTGATGGTAATGACAACGATAACGATAGTAATAATAGTAATAATAATAATAATAATAATAATAATAATAATAATAATGATAATAATAATAATAATAGTATCGTCGTCTGTGGAGGACACCTATCGGCGACGTGTGCGCGCGGGATTTGCCGACGGGATTCGCGCGAGGTACACTGGCAGGCGATCCGCGGTGCCCCGCGCGAGCCCTAGTTTAATCAATTGCCGGTTGTGCATGTGCGTTTGTTTCTTTTGCGCGGCGGCGGCGGCGGCAACGGCGACGGCGGCAGCGGCGGCGGCGGCGGAGTCCCATATGCGCCCGACACTTGTTACAACATCGCGCTCGCGACACCTGTTCAAACGCCTTTCGACGCGCAAGTGTTTCCCGCAGTCCCGCCGCCGCCGCAAGTATTTTTACGGTCGGGCTTTTACTACAATCCCCCCCCCACCCCGAATCGCACACGCGACCGCCTGAAAAGGGAACCGGGGGCGGGGGCGGGGAGACTAAGATATCGCGCGCGTTAAATAATAATATAAAAAAAAACACGTTACGCGAAAAACTCGCGCGTTTCCCGTGCCCGTATAATGGCACGCGAAGCGAATACGGCCGCCGCACCTATGATAACAATAACGTAATATTAATATCACTATGTTGACATTATATTCTACTCGTGCGCAATGTCATCGTCGCGCCGGCGGCGATTACAATATTTTATATTTATTACAACTTACGGGGTCGTCGTCGTCGTCGTCGTCGTCGTCGGGAAAACGAGAAAAAAACCGAACCCGTGTTTGTACCCGCGCCGTGGCGGCGGTCGTCGTCGTCACCCTCGGACGGCGGTGCTCGCGGCGCGCGACAGTACTGGCGGTGTTTTCGGCGGCGTCTGCGGCGTCGGCGTCGGCGGCGGCGGCGGCGGCGGCGACGGAGGTAAAAGCGCCACGACGATACTTACTACCGGCGTACACGGTGTCGGGGCGCGTAATGCCGACGGCGCGGCCGCGTCTGCAATAGCCGCGGCGGCGGTGCGGTGGCCGCGTTCGTCGGTCGCTGGCCGCTGTCGCGCGGCGCGCGAACCGCGCGTAACGCGCGCCGACGCGGATGACGGATAGGACGCGCGTGCACAAGACGCGTTCGCATTATCATTATTATTATTATTATTATTATTATTATCATCGTTATAATTATCGTTATTATTATAATTGTTAGCGTTATAATTATCGTTATCGTGATAGCATTAACAGCGGCGAAAACTGCCGGCGCCTCGCCCCCCGCGCGCTCCCGTCCGTCGCGTTATTATATATTACACGCGTAGGCGGGCGGCCGGTCGGTCCAGACGCAGACACGCCGCCGCCGCCGCCAGTTTATGTACACGGCACGCGAGTATTATTATTATTATTATTATTATTATAATAATGTTATACCTCTGCCATTGACATTGTTAATTAAAACCGCGGATTTTATCAAAACTACGGCCGCAACCATACGGTCACCGCCGCCGCAATAATTATACACAATGCTATTACCTACATGCCGCGCTATAATACATACGCACGTACCTATATACATACACACGCCGACAAACGCCACCGCCGCCGGTGGGTACTCGCTGCACCGGTGTACCAGTGTATCTGCCGTGGACTCGCCGACGGTCCTGCACGTCCCGTATAATGTACACGAAGGCTTATAGCGGCGGTGCTTATCACAAACGTCACATGCACGATCAAGCCCACCCTCCCCCCACTCCCCTCCCAGCTATCCCGTGTACGTAGCATGCCTTCGAACGTGACATTTCTCTCTCTCTCTCTCTCTCTCTCTCTCTCTCTGTATTATATCATAATATCGTTATTGTTATGATACACACATTGCCCAGTTCTAAGCGCGCATAATACTCAAGGCCGTAACCGGAAACGGATTTCGGGGGTGGGCGTGGGACGATCAAACATTTTCTCTAACATAGATACTGGACACTCGTCATTTTTACGTTGAAAATATAAAACCTCAGCAAAACGATAAACTTTATCTCATTTCATATTACCGCTGGAACGAATATACAAAATTAATTTTTATACATTTATAGCGAAATAACGTATATGGTCACTAGTAAAATCCGTGTACTGTTGAAAAACGTTGGTGGGTGTGGATCCGGACCTCTGGAACCTCTTTCCCCTCCACAGCTACGGCCTTGCATTAATACTATTGCGGAGGCCGACGCGGCGCCATCGGGATCGATGCCGAAATCTCGACTTACCGGCGCGCGAAATTCGGACTACACCTCGCAGGGCTCATGCCTTTCGCCAACCGTGTGTTGTAAACACCAATGATACGCCGGTCAAGGGAAACGCCGCGGTTTATCCTTTTGCCGACCACACGATGTTTACGTCAAACCCGAATTACGCCGCCGCGCCGGTTCCAAAGGCGAGTAAACCTCGCGGCAGACCGGTTCGACGGACGGGGGATACAAATAAATGAAAACAATTCGGTGCCGTCAACTCTTTGGCCGGAAGAACAGCAACAATCGACCGGGCGACGGACGCCAAATTGTTACGCCGGGTCGTGAACTGTGCAGGCGCAAATATTCGCGTACCAATAACACAATGCGAAAATCAGTCGTGCACCCCTACTCGATGAAAACAGCCCCCCGGCCAGTCGGCTCCGCAATATCAATCGCGGCCACGGCACGTACATCGTCCCGATACTTATACGTCCGCGGGAGTCGCGTGAGCCACCGTCCGTGAAAAATAGCGAGTAAATCTTTGTCGGTGTTTTCGGACATTTCTAACACAAATCTTTATCGAATAGCGGTCAGAAAACGTGGTGTTGTAGACGGATTGAAAATGTTGTGTCGAGTTTCAATATGAAATTGACAATGTCATCGGTGGCGGGGGGGGGCGTATGGTGTATTTTTAGCTCGACTCATCCCCACAAGCTCCCGTATTGAATCTAGGCGGATGAAATTAGGTACATATATATGACATTATAAGGGACTGCGTATTTTAAAGATGTCGACTTTAAACACCCTCGTACCATTTTTATGATTAAATCTCGCCGTTTTTTATTGGTTTTTTTTTTTTTTTAATTATTATCATATCGTGCTATTGTAGTAAAGTGTAATATTGTATCAATATACTCACAGAATTTAATTATTTAAAATTTTGAAAAGAATATTTCTAAAATAGTTGGGAGAAATGTTGACTCTAGTGACGGTGCTTTGTGCTTATAACATGTATTAACTTTAATATCGTTATATCTCTTACGAGGACGTCTGCATGAAGTGGGAATGCATTAATTGTGTGTTACCTAATACGGGATCCGTTTTGGAACTGACGTATTCATAGAGACGCCGTGATCCGTTTTAGGAAAACAAGAGCCAAATTGGCAATAGCCATTGGTAATTGAAGGCTCGAATCAGGTCTTAAATATCGAATAAAACTTGTATGAAATTGAAACCGAAAAAATTGATACCGGTATTATTGATCGGAACCGAAACCAAGAAAAAACAAAAAAAACAAAATTACCAAATAACTTTGCAAGATGGGTGCACTGTTGTAGGTGAGATGTTGGGAAGGTAGAATAAAGAGGGGAATTTACTGCATATCTGCACGTAATAATTAATTATTGCTAACGAAAAACGATTCTGAGCGGAGTTTGGTTATACATATATTTAAGTATTTTGAAAGGCCGTACATTTATAATTTTCGTCAAGTTTTATTATTAAAGTTCTTGACTAAAAAAAATGTTGCGTTACATTCAATTTTGTTTTTCGACCACAAAGTACGACTAATAATGAACCCCCTGTTAAATGTTTACACATTTCTGTTCGGTCTAACAATTTTACGCACAGAGTATGTACCTACTGAATAAAAATTACGTTAAAAAAAAATCGCAAAATGTCTATAAATAGCCGAAAAATGGCTAACACGTTATGAAAATGTTATCACGTCTAGAAGGAAAAAATAAGTTGTCCGTCCAAATTTCTCTATAAACATTTTTAACTGGATTTCAACAAAACAACAAAATTGAAAATAATAATAAAAACAGTTTTTTCACGGTTTTTCCCAATTGTCATGAAAACCACTTGGAAAATATAAAATTAATAAAAAAAAAAAAAAGGATCTCTTTAGCGTACCGCCCGGATGAAACTTCCTTTCGGAAAAATGAACGCTATGCTCGGCACATCCGAGCGAGATTTCTGGTAGGAAAGCGGTTTTGTAGGAAGAAAAATAATACTAAACTTCGGTCGTGAAACCGACGCATTCCCCGCTGCGCTAAACGTCCCGAAAACGGTTCACGGTTCCGAACCCGGATCCGTTCGACCGACATTCGTTTGCCATCGGCCGTCCGGCCATTTCAACCCGTTCGCCGGCGGTCCGTTTCCGTTTAGAACGCACAGCGTCGTCCGTACCCGCCCCCCCCGCGCCTACACGTCACACTGATATGATCGCGGGGTCCCGATGTTCGAGTGTTCGAATGCGTTCTGCGGGAGTTCGCCGCAGCGCGAAGTGTGTCACGGCGTTTGAACGCGATTACCTAATTCGGTAAACATAAATACACGCGGGCGCGCGCGATGAGTCAAAATCAACCGACCGAAACGCGTTCGGCACACGCGTCGTGCACGGGCATCGCGATATTCGTAAATTGACGCGGCGCCCGCAGTAACGGTTAATTGATTTTTTTTTTTTGTTTTTTTTTTCTCTACGTGTCGCTGCAGTATATTAAGCGCCGTCGCATGACACGCAGAAGGCGCGCGACCCCCGAACCCCACCCCCATCCCCCACCCGCCGCTCATAGGCGTACGCGAAAATGCAAACTGAATATTACCGAGGCGTTTCAAGTAGCGTATATTGAATTGCACATTGTGTTCCGTAATGTTTGGAAATTGTCGCATGTGTACAGCGTGCAGCGCAACGCCCGTGCGCCGGCGATATCGCCACGTCCCGACAAACGTGTTTCGTGCGTTCGCGGGTCTTTTGCGTGCCCGACAATTGTTTCGACGAAGCGCGTTTGGACCGGGAACGTTTGGGCCAGGGTTTAGTGGACCCGATCGGACCACATACTTTTAAACGTCTATAAAGGCTCGCCAAATAAACGTCCCGTTTAACTGCGGAAACTGATTATTAAACTAGGCGATAAGTAAATTGTTTGGATTTGCATACAAATTTAGTTTTGAAACGTACCGCAAATCCAGTTGTACTAAATGTATACCTATATTTATAATATTTATGCAACAGATATCCGTGTATCAAGGTCTTTATACGCGATAAGACAACGCGGATGAAATACCACTGTGTGTATCGATAAATAAACTTTCACTTGAACTAATATACAAGGAAAATTCTCGTCCGAACTGGCTGTATAAAAGTAGTGATTTTCGGCCCAAACGGGTCTTCAAATTTGGCCCGAACGGGTTGTGTTTCGGAACGTTTGGTTCCTCTCGAAATCGACCGGGGCACGATCCGTTTCGCTCAAACTCGACCTTACCATTTCACCGAAATATCCGTTATGCCCAAATAATATGGTCTAAAAACGCTTGTTTTTTTACAAATGCATACCTAGTTGTAATTCACCAGGTCCATAAAAAACTATACGTTTTAGATTCGGAGCGTAGTGAATATAATGTATTGGTTTTTCAATGGCGGTTTTTTTTTCTGTGGACAACTTTTCTACAAGCAATTTCGCTCTGATTTTCAAGTATATCAATTTTTCTGAAAGGAAATCTGACTATGGTGATACTTTAAGGACGTCTTTTTTTTGGTTTGCTTGCAAAAACGGATAAAAAAAAATGTATTATTTTCAAATCGTAAACATTAAGGCTTTTTAAAACATGTATAACCAAACTTCGCTCAGAACCGTTTTTCGTTAGTAAAGATTAATCGTTGAGTACAAAAAGTGTATATTGTTGATATGTTCATTAAATTTCCCTCTATATCCTACCTTTTCAACTTCTCATTTACAACAGTGGTACACCTATTGTGCGAAGTATGTCTGTTTTTAAAATTACATTCTTGTTTTTACTTTGTTTTTTTTTTTTATTTGGGGTTTTGGGGGGGGGGGGGGTAGTGGGAATTTCAATGCTACACATTTGTATAAAATAATAAAACAATAATTTTCGATATACATTTTTAAATAATGTTCGTGTGTTTCATCGTTAACGTTTGGTAACTTAATTTTAAAATGACTAAAATGAGTTTGGGCAAAACGGGTATATGGACGAAACGGGATAGGTCAAATTTAGGCGAACCGGGACCCACCTTAAAATATCACACGTTAGAATTATCCATAATTTGAAATAAACCGTACACGAAACGTCCTCGTTGAAAAGATTACAATTAAGTTGTAGCTAATTTCAACGTGGATATTTCAAGGGTACAAGGTAATTATTATTTGGTGGCATATTTATACACCCGAATGAGATATTTTTAGTTTTTTCTACTCCACCTCGGGGGGTAAAAATCTTTGTCGGTTATGTACAGTTATAAAAACCAAATATACGTTTTACAACTTGTGGTATATACATAACGTTGACAAAGACGACTTATGAAAAGAAAAAAAAAGTGCCACGTCGCATTAACGTCCAATAGTAACTACAGAACGGTTATTAAAGCACCAACGGCTCAGTTAATTACATCGTTTCAACGTCCAACAATGTTAAGCCTTAAGCAGGTGCGGGGGGGTCTAACTGGCCCCCATCAAAAATAAAAACTTATGTATTGCATAAATTATAATAATAATATAATACTGTTTTGAATTTATTTTAATCTTATATTTTTTACTATAAAATTTTTATCCATATAGTAATTTTTGTGTCTATGAATTTTTTTTAAAAAAAGTACATTTTACAATTGCGTAGGTAAGATATTTTTTTGGAGGTGATTTTCGTGTTTATACATAACTTTGTAACCTAATTGTGCGCAAACACAACATATATAGATACCTAATAATTATCTATGCGTAATACAATACTACATCTTGTAGAAATCTGATGCATAACTGTATATAGTAAAAAATATAACTGTCGTAAATATAATCAAGGAGGGTGTAGGTGTTTGAACACTTAAACACTGTCCTCCCCCCGCTACACCACTGATTCTATACATATTTTACGTTTTTTCAGAGTTTTTTCACTAAGTTCTTATAGACCCCCGCGCGACTGTGAAAGTTAAAAAGGCATTCGACTGCTTAAGGGTTGGCGGCTCTGTAAAATATTATCGGGAATTAAACCTGTATAACTCGTAGATTCAATTTCGGTTCTGTAACTTTCACGGCGTGTCCAGGAATTTTCAATGGGAGGTGATGTAACAAAAAAAAAAAATATAAAGTAAAAAAGAGTAAAACGGTCTTTTCTACTCAACTCGAACACGTAAATTGGTAATTTAAAAGCAGGATTCTAAAAAAAAAAAAAATCAATTTCTAATCAATACATCGAGCTTTTTCTCCGAAATTTATGAGTTTCGGATTTATTCATATTTTGTTGTATTTTTAAGCCAATGAGGGGGGGGAAGGGATATAACCCCTAACCTTCCTCCGCCTTGGGCACGCCGCTAAGAATCGTCTGGTGGCGTTTTATCATTTACGTACACTTAATACCGTTATGACGCGCTTATCGCATTGTGCCACTCAGAGCCGTTTTATAACCGTATACCGTACGTAAACAATAGTTATGCAGGATCGTCAGAATGCCTATTATCGATTTACAGGCCGGTTTTCGTGCAACCCGCTCGCTGAATATTACAACGCATTACATTGTATACGCACGAAATTGATTTTTCCCAACGTTTTTTTTAAATTTTCATTCGTGTTTCCGGAACGACAGTTGCGTGACGCACCCGATACACTGCAATTATTACGGGCACGTCCACACACGTGTGTGTAAGGGAACGACTAAAAACGGGTTAAGATTTTTAAGTTTACACACACACACACACACACACACACATACACATACATACATACGTGTATATATATATATATATAATATAAAAGTATAGCCGTCGTTCATTTGACACGAGCGGCGTGTGCGCGGCATATAAAACACACATGTCGGACGGAAAATTTGCAACGTGCCGCGGCGTGCATGCGGCAGCAGCTGCGCGTTACAGAGTATAACAATATACGGCCGCCGCCGCCACCAACACCGTCACCATCACCAAGGTCGGAGGGGAGGGGATGGTGGAGGAGGAGGAGGAGGAGGAGGAGGATGAGGGGGAGGAGGGGAGAGCTTTGTACTTTGGAATATTGTCGCAGTCGATTCGGGGCGGGAGGTGTTGCGGCCCGAAAAGTTCTGGGCACGGGCGAAAACGAAAAACGCCGGTAATCCCGGCGATAAAACCCGCCGATACACTGCATAATTGCTCCGCGGTATAGGCGCCACGCCGTTTTTAGTGCACACTGTTAGGTTGTTGAAAACGATAAAAATATTATTTCGCGCAAGATTAAATAGCTACGCGCGGAGAAATGCCGGCGTGCTTTGCGCCGTGGCGATAGTTTGTGGGCGTGCTAGCCGCGCGGGCGCGAAGTCGGAACGGCGAAAATGGCGGGACGTATAGGGTGACTTGTTAATTTGTATCTGTGCGCAACGATGGATGGTCGGTAACACGAAACGGACACCGTGGTGTACCCAATAAATTACTCAATTCGCTCGGAACTCGTGACTAAAACGCACGTCTACATTTGTACAAAATCCGTATGTTACGAGACTGAAAGTGTTCTATTATTCAAAATATACAGCTCGATATAACCGACACAAAACCTTTCTTATTTTTTTTTTTCATTTTTTAAATAACTGTAACTCTTTTAACGGTTCACAATTCGAAAAACACGTAAAACGTTCCCCCCGAAGTATAGTTCTCAACACATTTCATGATAAGTACTTTTACTCTAAAATCAAAATTATGCCAGTTTTACTTGTCAGAACAAGCGTGAGCACTGTTTTCGCATGTTATCCGGTAGTTGGACTGAAACAGAAGATACGGGTATAACGTTCTCTTAAGCGCAGGCTAAACGATAATGACCTTGTATTTTTTTAAAAATAATACCGTAAAAACCGTATAAAAATCAATAGATCACAGTAGAACTTGAAACACGTATCAAAATCGGTATTGAAGGTAAGTGGGTTGTCCCGGTTAATTTATCATGCGAACATTTCACCTCGGTTACAATTCTTCTCGGGTATAATTAACATCGGATGCAATTTACAACGAGTAAAGTATAATATTTTTTTTGTATATTATGGTAAAAGTATTTAGTACGGTAAAATAATGTTCAAATTAATTGACAATTTTTAGCAGTATGGCAGTTAACATTGAAATGTCTATAAATGATTCAAAAATGACTCAAATGTTTTGTAAATTTTATCACGTCCAGATAAGGAAAGTATAAGATTCTTTTCAGAATTTCAAGCCTCTACGAATATTTTCAATTTAATCGCAACAAAAAAAACGGAAATATTTCGCACGTGGGTGGACCACTGTTATAGGTGAAAAGTTGGGAAGGTAGACGGAAAATTTAATGTATATCTGTACGATTAACCATTCTCAACGAAAAAAGATTCTGAGCGCAGTTCGGTGAATAGCGTTACTTTGTCAACAATATATACGTGTATATATGTCATATTATGGTAAAATAATTATATTGCATTGCATATGCATTATATATATATTTTTTAATAATATTTATTTAATGTTGTTTTCCCGTATTTTTCCGTATTTCCAATGTATTTCCTGGTTTTTCCCATATATTATGAAAACAGCTGAGAAAATAAAAAATGGCCTTTTTAAAGTACCACCCCAGTCAGATTTTCTTTCAGAAAAAGTACTATCATTGTAAATCGGAGCAAAATTGGTTGAAAAGTTGTTCACAGATGAAATAAATAAAAATAAACATCATTGAAAAACCAATACATTCGCTTTGCTCAGAATCTGAATTTCAAATTTGTAAATAATAAAAGAATTATTTTCGTAAATTTTCCCGTTCATTCTATGTTTTTTTCTGGAAATTTCAACTTTTAACCATTTTAAACAATTAAATAAGCGTCAAATAATTAAGTATTATTTTTAATGTGTAGAGTATTCTTTATTTCGGTAACTGCGTCAATTAAATTAATTTTTAAAAAACTATAAGTTAAAATTACGTTAAAAACGAATTATGCACGAACTCAGAATCTCGACTTACTCTAACTTGGTGAATTTTCTAATTAGAAAAAAATTGTTTACACAAAATTATTTGACAAGAAAAAAAAATACTCGCATCCGTTGAAAAAAAATAATGGTGTTGCTGTTAAAAAAAATGTAAGTTGTGTTGTGCATGCGCATACCGAAAGATTTAATAAAAGATAATAACGTCGGGCGATACCCATGACATAATACAATAACGATATTAACGTGTTGGATTTTTCGATTTGGAGATGACAGTTAAAAACATCATTCGAAAAGCATTAAAATATAAATATAAATTCAATATAATATTACAATTATGTTTTTATTATTTTTTGACACGAGCCGCATTTGACTTTATTTTCCAATGTGGCTGGAGCCGCGTAAAAATAAGTCACGGGCCGCGTGTTTGACAATGTGCTTAGGCTAAAGCGTGGCAAACTTTTGGCATTTTAAGCCGTACAAGAAGTAATATATCAGCGATCGATTCGTGGCGAAAAGAAAAAAATAAATAAATGTTACAATAACTATAATAATATTATTTATCTAGGTATACGCGAGCATTCAAATAATTTATATTCAACAACATTAAACGTGTACCGTTTGTGTATAGATGAAAAAACATTTATGTACAGAGTGATTATTTTAAGTGGGAATACTCGATATTTCAAAAAGTATTAAATACTATACCTAAATACCCCCTGTACCTAAACTTAAAATTGAAATGTCTTGCCAACGGTTCAACAGAAAAAAAAAAAAAATAACGCCGAAATTTATTTTAATTTCATCTATTTATGGCATTTGCATAGAAATTGTCTTTTGATAATCAAAATTAGACGATTATTTCGCACACAAAAGTAACGGTGACGAAAAATAACAATAATGAAACATTTTTAGAGCTGCTCGCAGTTTCTTAAATTTTCAAAAAATTAAAAATAAAAAAAATAATGAAAAAGTCAATACTTTTCGAAACATCGAGTGTAGTCAGTTAAATTGATCACTCTGTATACAAGTGTAATATTATAGAGGGCACTTTGAACTTCCATCGGTATTTTTCTGGGTTGTATAATAAACCCCCAGACGGGATAGAAAATTGTTTTTTTTTTTTTGTTTTTTAATCAATATAACGTTCACCGAAGTTAATTAATTTTTTAAAGCGGTCTCGACAGTTTTTTTTTTTTAATAAACATTTGCTGTTATTTTAACTTAAAACGTTCTAAGCGTTTTCCGTTCAACGAGTAAATTGATTAAAATACCAGACATATTGTAATAACTGCAGTATTACGGTGTATGCGCAATGTGCGTTCGCGGGAGTCTGAAAATCGACATATTTTGTTTTCTTCTATTATCAGGCCCGGATTTATAGAATCCTCGGAGAGAATAGTAATCACGAGTTATAAAAACGCACCTTTTCAAATACATGTTATAAATATATTAATTTTTTTATCTTAATCATCCTTTCCAATACAGAGTAGGTCCTTTGTTTACACAAAATTGTACGCATTTATGATAAATTTCACTTAGCCAGTAATTATATGGATCCACAATATTATAAAGATGAGTAATTTACATTATAATACTAGGAAATACTCGTACAATCAGACTTTACAGAAATGTGTCTCATTTGCAACAGTTGAATCAATATTACCATTACTACCTATCTGAAAAGTTTTACAAACAGTGGGTAAACATTTTAATCCTACATTGAACACGTACATAAAATAAAAAAATGGAAAATGAACATTAAATTACGTTTTACGGGAATATATGAGAGGAGGGGTTTGAAAACAAAACTCCCTGAAATTTTGTCATTTTAGATTAGTTATAAATTACAATATTGTAATAAAATTGTTCATTTACAACCCTCTTCTCTACCCGAAGTTATTTTCCAGTAACGACTTTGCAGGAAACCAAACATGCCCGTTTCAACCATGTACAATAATTTTCGGTTTTCTTTTGTTAAGGCTAACGAATGAGCCAAATTGTTCAAATAAGATATCAACATGCTTCAGAGTATGCTTATAAGCATAAAGCGAATGTAAAAATTACAATTTTAAGAAGAGGGCACCGAAATTGACCTCATAGTTTTGACGTTCCTGTCTCTTGCACCTTACAATAAAAAGATTTATATTCATCGGTAAATATTATAAAAAGCCCGTAACAAATGTATATTAATATTTAGCGTAGTTTGTAATGTATTGCTCTTGACATTTAATTCTGACGAAAACGGTGGCCACAAAACCAATTTCCCATGTGTCATCCGTGCAAACGTTTGTGATGACACTGAGCTGAACAAATAATATTTTCTGCAAATAATATATAATAATATGTATGTATATATGTATATATGTGTGTATGTATGTATGTATGTATGTATGTATGTATGTATGTATGTATGTATGTATGTATGTATGTATGTATGTGTGTATATGTTTGTGTGTGTACAGGGCCGGCCTTAGGTTTTTGCCGCCCTAACAAATCTAATTTTTCGTTACCCATCTTCAATATTTGATTTTTGGAGAGGAAGGGGATATATAAATAGAAATTCGTTTTTTAAAATGTTAATCCGCGTTTTTTTTAGAAAAGAAAAGAAAAAAAAAACGTTTTGAGTGACCTACAAAATATAAAAATAATAAAAATACAAATAAATGTTATATGAGTTTATATGGAGTCATGTTTATAATCGATATTATACAGTACTTATACACTATCATACGTATGGAAGTACTTACTAAATTAGGCATTAAAAAAAATGTGACTACAAAATTAAAAAAAAAGGCACATATATTAAGCACAATGGGTGGACCACTGTTATAGGTATGGAATTGGGTAAGTAGAGCGGAAATTTAATGTATATTTGTACGCGCAAATGATTAATCATTGCTAACGTAAAATGATAACAATTAAACGATACACGGTGATGGGCAGAATCTATAGACATATAGTTTGATTATACTATTTAGTCTAGCAGACAGTTCCATACAATTTTTTTTTTAAAGAATTCACATGTACTGTGCTTGCGTCGTGTTCCTTTACTATATTGTGTACGTTTTTCTAATTGTCGCATCCAAATTTCGTAAATGCATAACTATCGCAAATCGACATAATTTTCGCAACTGTATTTGGTAATACAAGAAATTGCATTTCGTGGATATTTTGAGAACGAATCTAGTATGAATAGAAAACATTTTTTAGAGCTAATGCATGTCCCATAAATCAGCAAAAACAATTCGGTATCGTTCCAAAATTACCAAATACCTCGTATCAGCCACACTTTTGAGGCTGAATCTCGAGGTAAACTATAACTTTTCCCAATAAACGGGATAACTAACTAACGGAAACATTTTTTTTTTTTTCAAATCGAACTGGATTTTAACGCTTTCAAACATACAAATTGTTCAGGTTTATACATTAGCAATAGTATCGATGCTTTTATATTTTGCAGATTAATTTACCATCTGATCAAACAATTTGTATAATATTCGATAAAACAATATGAATTCGCCCACGGGTGGATGAGGGGATACAGATGTGGGTATAAGAAAAACGCTCGTAAATGTATTCATTTTTTAATAATTTTGTTTTAATAGGTACTCAAATGCGCTTCCAATCGAAAAGGAAAATTACACTTACGCTATTAAAATCATCACTTTTCTGTTTTTAATTTCTTATCGGTATTACGTACATCACGCGAATTACGCACCAGGTAAGTTGAAATCCACGCAAATTTCACAGCTGTTCGTTATTGTGTCGCGGTAACGAAGACGCGCTTTGATTGAACCGGACCGACGCCCCGGACTGACGTCACCGGACCAAAGTGACAGCATCGCCGATAACGAGCATCTTGATGGCGGCGACGATGCGGATGGGCCGCGGAAATTACTGGCGCGGTTGCGGTCTGCTCACGTTGTGTCTGATAATGGCCACCGCGTTACCGCGGGTCGTCGCTGATCCGGATGATGATGACGTTTACCGGCTGGTCCTGTTGCACACCAACGACATGCACTCGAATTTCCACCAGGTCGACAAGTACGGCACACCTTGTTCGGCCAAGTCCGCCGACGTTACCAAATGTTACGGAGGTTTCGCGCGCGTCAAGACGGCCGTCGACAACGAGCGCAAAAACGCCGAGAACGCCGTCCTGTATCTGGACGCGGGAGGTTCGATCCGAAACACGGCGCCCCACACTTATTTTAAGACAAAGTCCATGGCCGATTTGATGATGAAACTCAAACCGGACGCCATGGTGAGTGTGGTGAGGTGAAAACGAATTGTCGGTAAATTTACCACCGGCAAAATGTAAACGTAAATTTCGGTGAACGCGGTAAATTTTTTACTAGAAATAAAATACACGTATTGATACGAATACGAAATAAGTATAAAATATAATAAACAATGGATAGCATGGAGTAGCCTTTGTTGATTTTTTTTTTTTTAATAAAGCAACTCGATTAATTTCTAGCCTTAATCCTTGGAAGTAATTGTGCATGGCTATATTAGTCTCGCTAATTTTAAACTTTGTGTTTGAGTATTCCAATCTGATTGTTATAAAATATTAATTTGAAACTTAAACGACTAAGATATTAAACATATAATAGATTGCACAGGTGATAACATATAACACTAAACAGTTTTTTAAATTTTGAAGTTTTTAACATTTAAAATGTTTTATTAGTGCAAGAATTTTACGATTTAAAATATGAGGATAAGTATACAAATATTGTCGTGTTAATATTGTACTTGATTTCAGTCTTTGGGAAGTAAAGAATTTAAAGACGGATTGGTCAATATTAAGAACTTCATACACGATATAAAAATACCGATAGTGTGCAGTAATATTGATGTCTCGGAGGAACCGCTATTAAGCACCGAGAAAAATTTAATGAAATCAAAAATAATTAAAATCAAAGGCCGTAAAATCGGAATTATCGGATACTTGACACCGGAAACCCATAATGGTGCAAGTGAAGTGAGTATCGATACAAACTGAATGTTTTGTCCACCAATGTAAATTTGTCTGACCTACAAACGCCAGGTTGTGTAATTATTATACATAGTGACTATATCATCAATTTACATATTTCTGGCAATTAATCCAACCCTGCCTTTTAACATTTTAGATTCTGAGCGTAGCGAGGGTGCTATTGGTTTTATAATGTTTATTTTTCGTTATTTTTTGTTTTTTTATAGTCTGTGGACACGTTTTTTCTTAGAACCCTTGCTTCAGTTTTCACGTGTAGTAACTTTTCTGAAAGCTCAAGTTATCTAGATGATACTTTAAAGAGGTTATTTTTTTTATTTTTGATACTTTTTTTTATTGCATTTTTGATTTACTTTCTTACGTATCATCGCCAAAACGTTTGAGTCACTTTTGAGCTTTCAAGGAATTTTAATTTTACCTTTTATTATTTTATTTAATAAAAGTTTTGAATCAAATTTAAACGAAAATCGCAAAAAAACATTATGGCAATTCAAATTATGTATTACCGAACTGCGCCCGGAATCGTCTTTAGTCAAAAAATGGTTTATCGTTGCTTACATATATAAATGAAATAACCTTAGTTATCCTACCTTCCCAACTTCTTACCTCCAACAGTGGCCGCTCCTATCCCCAGTATCAGCTCTTTTTTAAATTTTTGATACAATTTTTAAACAAGATTTTATTTTTAAAACGATTTTTGTTTTTGGTTTTATATTTACGTACCTATGTCCTATTAACGTATTATACGACTGGTATACCTCGTTTAACTTGTATACCATTAATTTTATGAATTTATACAAATAATACAAATAATTATCCTCCAATACAGGTTAAATAGAAAAATATGTACCTAATTTAATTTTTGAAAATTCGTCCTCTCCCCTTGGGTGATTTCTGGATCCGCTATTGAACTCTGTGATACATAAATTCTGTGTTTCGATTTCTTGACTACCATAGATAATACGTACATTATCTATGTTTACTACCATCATTGTCAATTTTACGACCAATCAGGGGACAAGAGTTTCGTATCGGACGTGAAAACATATAGTTTCACGTCGGTCATGGAAATAGCCACTGCTATAGTTTTACCATAATAAAATAAATAATAATAATAATAATACATTTTTTCGACCATAAAAACAATTTGTACATGTCTAAAGTATTAATAATGCCCAACAATAACACATAATTAATAAATTAAAAATAAAATTGAATTTGTATAAAAATTCCTATTTGCCTGGACTTCTGAATTGTGGAGGCCCGGAGCCAAGCGCCCAATGGCCACCTTCAAAATCCGGGCCACTGTAGATACTAAACCAAATTAAAATTGTATTTTTGTGAATTTCCAAAATAAATTAGTGTTTTTAATGGTCGAAACATCTTAATAAAAATATGCTTTATACAATGGTTTGAATTACACGTTTTGAATATAACAACTCTAAATTTATATACGTAGTACATGGGAAACGTGAAAATAAAACCGGAAAAAGAGGAAATCCAAAACGAAGTCAACTATTTGAAAAGTAATGGGGTTAACATCATCATAGCACTAGGACATTCCGGTATAGAAACAGATGAGATGATAGCTATGGAAGTAAAAGATATCGACGTTGTGGTTGGCGGATATAGTTGTACATTTCTATACAAAGGTAAATCGCGGTAATTACTATTCCACTAAAAATATTATATCGTGTTGTCTATTTGTTATAAAAAAGTGGTATACCTAGTATACAAAAGCCTTTAATAAATATAATTACTTTCACGTATTAGACTAGCATAATATAAAACAAAATGGACAGAATATACACGATTAGACGTAATATTGTGGTACTATACTTACTAAATACACATATACCTTTCGTATAATCTTATCGAATTCTCACTCAATTATATAAATTAACTAAATGCTATGATTTTCTAGATACTTTAGTTTATCCCTGTATCTTGTGGATTTTCCACAATTTCGCTTATTGACCCACGTGGATCTTCGTTCCGTTGGACAATTCCGTAACAGGGCCGTCTTTACTTTAAAGTTAGACTAAGACTCGTGCAAAACATTTTGATTGTCAATTGGAACGTTTGGAACTCCAGATTCAATGGTTCAATAATAACCTCTTTCTGTTTTTCAAGTAGTAGTCTTCTGTCTCTTAAAGGGGCCCGGTCTTTCGGAAATACTGTAGTTTCACATATGTTTTTATAACGCGCTAAACCATTGCTGGTATTATTCTCTATTCAGTCCGTTTATTCCACGAGTGGATCATACATTATTGGCCTTACGTGTGGTTTTATACCGGGAGCTCGGTCATGAGGGTCATTTGCTTACGGTTTATCCGTAAGCAAAACATCGAGAAGAATTATAAACAAACCGTTGATGTATATAATGAATAGCTGTACAAAATATAGATCTATTAGAATTCAAAAGGTCTAGTGTAACAGGTCCTCCTCGCAGTGTGTAATCTTTATTCCTTATGTTTTCTACGAAATTATCGTACAAAAGTTAATGCTCAGGGTTGTAATCTGATAAAGTAATATTCACCCCTTCGCTACGAGCACTACCTTTACGCATCACACTTAATTGGACATATATCTCAAAAACTATAGTAGTATAATTAAGTATACATATCCTACCATCGTCACCTATGCAAATAATTTCACCTTCCTTTCAACTTTATTAATAATAGGTAAAATGCCGAACATCGACGAACCATACGATTCCTACCCAGTTTGGGTAGAGCCGCCAAGCGATTCATCTATTTTTTGGTTCTTCGACTATTCAATTCCAAAAAGTGTTCCCATAGTGCAAGCGTTTCGTGATACAAAATACTTGGGCAAGTTAGTGTTAGAGTTCGACATGGACGGCAACGTAACCTCAGCTGAAGGAAATCCAATTTTATTGGACTACACAATCGAACAAGGTATAACGGATATTATATATTTACTTGAAAAATTGTTATATGGAACAGTAAATATGTTTTAATAAAAATTAGGTAACTGCAATAATTAAAATAATTATTTGGATAGATTAAAGATATAGAGTGCATAAAGCTATTTAATTTAACTGCACTTATTACTTAGATAATAGTTTTACGCGTTTAAATTTATAATTTCTTGTTCAAAATAAACCGAAAGACAAATAATATAAGTATGTGTGTGATTAATAGTGTAACTACGAACAATTTAATTATAGACCCTGATTTATTGAAATACTTGAAAGAAATGGAAGAATCAATCGAAAAATTGACCTCGAGTGTGATAGGTTCAACGAGTGTAGTTTTACAAGGCAGCAACAGATTCTGCTGGACGCAAGAATGTAACTTGGGCAATTTCGTAGCGGACGCATTCGTAGCTCATGTGAGTTATTATAGAATTATTTTAATTATTAAATTATCGATGAATAAAAATACAAGCAATAATTAAAATCGTGGACTTGTTGTGTATAGAATGTCCGCACGAATATGAAATCGTTCGATTTGACCCAACAATGGACCGACGCATCGATAGCGTTTCTACAAAGTGGTGTTATTAGATCGAACATAGGTCCTACGAATCCTGCGGGTGAGCGATACACTAGATGCTGCAGTGTCAAATACAAATACGACGTTATCATTCTTACTATCCAAGATGGGTTGAAAATAATGTCGGGGACATAGAGTAACATTGAGACGCCGTGGCATATCTCGGCGATTGTATACAAATGAAATCGTGCCGGTTTTGTTTGATGGCATCTTACTATTCTAGGCGGTACACACCACTAGATTGCAGCGTAAATAATAACAAGCAATCGAGTTTATCATCGATGATAATAATAATTAAAATATGATGATAAAAACATAGACTTTATCATGACGGAGTGGCTTGAAAATTTTTACCGGGCAAATATATATGTTCAGGCCACTTAAATTTTTACTATTCCTTGATATCATATTGATAGCTGTGTACCTAATTACAATTTTTTGTTTTAGAGAAGTATAAAAATACATTTGTATCACACACAATTGTAGAAAATGTCATCACCGAATTAATATAATTAACATTCTTTTCATAGTATCCACCATACATATTTGTTCTTTTTTTTTTTTTAAAAAGTAAATATTTCAGCCAAATACTCACTATAAGACACTACTGTACAATTTCTATGGTCAGTATTAAAAAAAGACATACTAAGATAATGGGGACAGATACAGCCACTAATAGATAATTTAATTTATAAACGATAAACCATTGCTTACGAAAAAACGATTCTGAACAGAGTTCAGTTGATAGTGATGCTTTGTCAACAGTATATATGACGTTTTACCGATCACAATTGACATCATTTTCGTTTCTTTTTAAATATCGCGGATAACAGAAGTTTTATGTTTGTATGAAAATCACTTTAATGACTTGCAAAAACATTTTATTTGTATTTTTCTGTATATTTTCATTATTATTATTCCGATATTCCATAATCATTATTCTATAAGTATTCCGAAGGTTTCAATTTATAACTAAAATTAAAAATAAAACTGCTTATCAAAGCTAACACAAAATTAACACAGAGGAGATAGTCGCGAGTTCCCTAGTAATATAAAGTGGGTATTCAGTATCCAAATTGAAACCAAAATGTGCATCTCAACCATGATAAACCACGATCTTATAAGACCATGATATAAACAAATTAATCAAATTCCGATTATGATAAGAATGCTATATGATAATATGAACAATGTTGTGATAAAAATAATGAAAAAATGAGAACGTTGTATATCTATCTGTAACATAATATAGGGTGATTTATTTCTTATCACAAATCAGCAACTTTCTTGGAGAATTTTAAGTAAATTTGATTTCTGTTTTTTTTTTTTTTTTTATTGGAATCATTTAAACTTTATTTTAAATACTTACCCCTATTCCAAATGCCATAAATAAATATACAATTTTGTTTTTTAAATAGGAACCCTCTTTTTTTGAACATAGATTCGAATAAAGAATATTTTTCTAGAAAATTTAATATTTTTAACGCTATAATATCAGATTTACTGTTTATGAATTATAACCATTTAAATTGTCGACGAATTTAAACTGTTATAACAGCTAATAATCAGGAAATCTGATATTATAGTGTTACACGTATCAAATTTTCCAGAAAAATATTCTCTATTTGAATCTGTGATTGAAAGGAGTGGGTTGTTATTTAATGATACAATGTGAATACTCATTTCAAGTATAAGGAGTAGAGGTAAAAATTTAAATAGTGTTAAAATAAAACTTTCACGACTTCATAATAATATTAAAAAACAGAAATCAAATTCACTTAAAATCTTCAGAGAAAATTACTGGTTTTTCTAGTTCATGATAAAAAAAAAATCGCTATATACGTACGATTTAGTAAAACATAATTATTGAATTTAAAATGTAATCAGCCACCACTCGATGGTGCATTTATAATGTTAAAGGTGTCATTACTATGGGAGATATATTGCTGGTATTGCCTCTTCTGCACGACGTAGGTAAAGTCACGGTGAAGGGTTCTGAAATTAGGAGAATTATTGAACAGACCGTCCAACCGAGCTCAGAAGGCAACGGTGAATTTTTACAAATGTCAGGTAAAATTAACGAAATCCTAGTAAAAAAATAAAGTTAATGTATTTTTTTTATATTTAATAATTTATAGTGAATGTACCTTTATTATTAGTTGCTTTTTTAGAGTTTAAATTTTGGCTTTTGTGATTTCTAGTGCATTTTCCGGGCCTATTTAGCTGGTCAGCTAATAAAAATGTTTAGATACTGAACGAGATGAGAATTGTGCGGGTTTTATAATTATGCGTGCTTTTTATCTGCCAGTTAAAAACTTATATACGAGAAAATTTGTCAGATTAAGTACGACTTATAATGAACCTTCTGTCAAACTTTAAATCATTTCTGTATAATCCAACAACTGTATACACAGAGTTCCACCTATCAAATAAAAATAACGTAAAGATAAAATATCTACAAATACTAGTAGCTTAATAATAGCTCAAATGTTTTGAAAATTTACCACGTCTAGAAAAAGCAAATAAAAGTTTTCTGTACAAATTTCAGCTATAATTTTCAACCGATTTAAAAAAAAAAAAAAAAATCGAAAAATAATGAAATCATTATTACCGTAAACTTTTCTGTGTGTCCTACTTTTTTTCCCGGTTTTTCACAATTAATATTAAAACTTTTTAAAAAATTAAAAAAGGACTTACGTAGTTATTAACAGAATCCGAAATGTAACAAAAAATGTCTCTTGACATTTTTCGAACAAGGTTTCTGGTAAAATATTTGCTTATTGACACACACATCATAATAAGACCCATAGATCATGATGCCATGAATCTATGCTATAATCTATGCTACGAATCTAAAAAATATATATATACACATCTTTTGTTCGTAAATACAATTGTGTAATATTTTATTTTATTTTATACAATTTTTTCGATACATATGGTGCAACAGGAGTAAAGTTAGTAATAGATCATAAATATCGTGTTAAGACGATTAAAGTTAGATGCGCCATCTGCTTGGTCCCTGTTTACAAGACATTGGATCCCGATGCGGACTACACAATTATCATCAATGAAAATTTAGTAACCGGTGAGAGCGATTTTAAGTTCAATCAATTGGTTACCGATTACCAGAGTCTTGGTAAGTGTGCGTAAACGACATAGTTTCTGTTAATGATTGTTATTATTATTTTTTTATTTTTTTAACCGTAGGGATAACGGAAACGGAAATACTGAAGAGAGAAATTGAAATCAAAAGGCTGATACGGCCGGAAATCAGTGGTCGAATAATTATTGTTACGGACAGTGACAAAGAATTGATGACAGATACAGAGAGTTTAGAAGACGAGATGGGCGATGTGACCGAAACCGCAGATGATGGTGAATTATATGATTTTGGAGTAGAGTCAACAGTTACTCTTGTGGGCAGTTTCTTTTAAATTATTCTCAAAACTCGTATATTATAATTATTACTATTTAGCATAATGTTGTTTAATTATAATGTTTATTTATTGATTGATAGTCACTTTCATATTTTCAGTGCTATAACTATAAGATATATAGTATTTAAATAAAGTACCTAAAGGTATATTCATACTGAAAATAGAAAAGGTAAATACAAACCAGTCGTGTTTTGAATGTTCATATGGAAAGCTTTAATAGTTCATGGATACATGAATTGATTTCGAGAAAATTGTATTTTAATAATACTACTTCTAGATCCTCGGATCTAACGTATGAAGTGACAAATGTATTGGTTTAACTATGGCATGTTGACAATTTTTCCACCAGAAATCTGTCTTGGTTATAAACATCAGAAGTGATTTCTGGTGGCGAATCCTGTCTAGTTGAACATTAATATTGTACCAACTAGAAATTAATTGTTTGGTTTTTCTTGTAGTTACTAGTTTGGCGAAAAACTAGAAAAAAACGTTAGAAAAGCGCGAATATTTACTGTTATTTTTGATCTTGACAAGTGTTGAAATTATTAAAAAATCAAAAAAATGTTATAAATATATCTGTACAAAACGATTAATCAAATGAAAAACTATTCTGAGCGGAGTTTGGTTTTACATGATTTGAAAATAATTAATTTCGTAAATTTTCTCGTTTTTTTTTACGTTTTTCCCCATTTATTATGAAAACCCCTGAAAAAAATCAAAAAATGATCTCCTAAAATACTACTCCAGTCAGATTTCCTTTTAGAAAAAGTGCTAATATCTAATAATCTAATAGTCGGAGAAAAATTTTGGTAAAAAAAATGTTCACAGAAAATAAAATAAACATCGTTGCAATACCATTACACTTCTCGCTCCGCTCAGAATCTAAAATCATATAAATATATTATACATTATATAGACCTATTATTAATTCCTTAAAAACGTTTACCCAGAGGCAGTAGCTTTTATGAGCGTAAAAATATGAATTGATATTGCTGATGGTCGCGCCATTGTTGTAGGTAAGAAGTGGGAAAGGTGAAATACGTAAAATGATTTAAATTATATCTGTAAACAACGAAAAATCGTTCCGAATGAAAAATGATTCAGAGCGAAGGTCAGGTAATCATGTTTAAAAATGTCGTGATTTTAAGATTTACATTACAGTTAAAACATGTACATAAAAAAAACGACTACATTTGGTTAACATTTTTGATGACATAGTACCTACAACTTTTAACGAATTGCATCTAAAATTCTTCGAATTTTAGAATTGCATTTTGTGCAACTTTCAGTTTTTAGAAAACATTATAGTTTTAAATAATTCAAAACTATGATAAATCCATCAACCAGAATCACCAGATGCATTTTTAAATTCGTTAAATCAGATTTTAAAATAATATACAAATCAGGGTTAGGTGCGTTTAGTGGCAGGTAGTCCATTATGATTTTCATAAACGTAATACAAACAGGCCGATACAAATTTAAGTACAGAAGTTTTAAACGACGAACAATTAAAAGACGAATTTGTAATGTAAAATGTTAGATAAAATCACGGTTGTAGATAGCGGTCGCAGCGCGACGAAGTCATGTCAGGTGACGGCCGAATGTTTTCATGGTCCAATTAACTGCCATACAACGCGCTCTAGCGTCCACCACACTAAAATGTGTAAGTGTTTAAGCGTTTTAGAGAATAGAAGTAGCGTTTTATCCGTATCTGCGTCCCCTTCAATGTTCCGAATATAGAGTGTAATGCACTTAAGCGCGCAAAAAATAATTATTTAACATTGAAGACTTAAAAAATTACCTTCACCGTATTATAAATACGAAACGGAAAATGTTGACGAGTATTTTTACTATGTACATCGCAACGAGAATGCAACGACGTATCGTATTCGCGCTTAGAGATTTTAAAAAACAAAATAAAATTTAAAAAAAAACGCTATCAAAATTAGCGATCATATGATACACGACAACATAATGTAAAATAATATTTTACTTTTTAGATAACATAAGGTTTTATTTTCAAGCTAGTTGCACTCTACTGCGTCCAGCTACTCTTAGCCGTTCTCCGAATGGTATTGCTCTTGTATAGTATTAAACGAAAAAAAAATATACACAAAAAATTGCGTCTTTCCGTGTTACCCCGTGACTTTTCGTTTCCTACCTATTGCAGTTAATAGCTGTTGCTGGTAATTTATTTATTTTTAAATGGTACTTTTTTTAAACAAATTAACCTATAATAATTGTTTTTTTTTTTCATCCGTTTCTCTATTTCGTTTCACTATTTCCGAAAACCCTGTATTAAACACACTTTAAGGACTGACTTTTCGGATACGTTCAATCCCAAAACACATATATGAATATCTGGAACACATTCTGTTTGTGTGCCGATTTTCATTCAAATTCGTTCAGCTATTTCGGCGGGAGTCACAAACATCCAAACTTTTGCATTAATAATAAATTAATAAATAAGTGGTAAAATTAAAAATAAAAAAAAATTAAAATTGAAAATCCGTCCAGTAGTTTTTGAGATTTTCGCGAACAAACAAACGGCCGTTTCTTCTTTATATACCCGTATACCTTCTTCCAACCTAACTCGCCATATAGGGGGTTTTTAAAAATAACCTATAACCTCATCCCTCGATAAGCGAAATGTATCTAACGAAGAAACAAATGGGCAAATTGAACTGGCAGTTCCTTAGATTAGCGCGTTCAAATTCTTCAGCGTTATAAATATCAAGTAATACTTAATATACTTATACTTACCTATATTTAATAAGTGTACTCGTACATTAAAAATTCTTAATACTTCCGGTCAGCGGACTATTAAATGGAACGGATTATTTGACGTTTAATTTTGTACGATTACCGCGGTTGTAGGTATACCGTATTATATAACATTACGATTAGAGATCTATAATAATATAATTGATGCTCTCTAGTGTTCGTGTAGACATCTAAGAAACATCAGGAGCGCTACCGCTAGATCACGCTAGCTAACAGTAAATTGACGTAAACGCCTTGGTCGGACACCTTGTCAACGAGCTTGATACACAATATTAATTGAAACATAACAACTTCCCGTACATTTGATACGGAGTGTAGCGCTAACATTCTATCCAAAACCGTGGATGTGATAATGAGTATATTATAGGCGAAAATAGTTGAATAACAAAAGCACAAAGATACTGCGAAATTGACCACTTAATGGAATGAAAATAGATTGTTCAAGTAGCCATTCCTATAGATTTCATTAACAATGTTATCAAAATCCTATCACAAATCGATTCCCGGTGGATATTTTGGTATAAATAGGACTTTTTCAAACGGGCTAAAACAGAAGTATCCCGATACGGATTCGACAGTAATACGGCGTTCAATGACACGAGACTCCTTGTTAGTAAACTCAAATGAAACGCCCGGGATACTAAGGTCGGAAGCGGCCACTGCTGTAAGCGAAAAGTTGAGAATGTGGAATATAGAATGGAATTTAATGCATATTTGTATGCAACGATTAATCGTTGCTAACGAAAACCGATTCTGAGCGGAGCTCGGTCGGTAGTTTTGCTTTTTCAACAGTGTGCGTTTTCACGAAAACAACGATTGTTTAAAAACGATTAAAAAAACAAAAACTTAATAATAACAAAAAAAAAATGAATGAAAACGGTTGCCGATGACAACTTTATTTTTAATTTTTTTGTATTATTTTTCAACCCGAAGAAGCAGTTTTTCCTCATTATTTCGAAAACTAATTGGAATATTAAAAAAAATAAAAAAAAATATGACCTTGCCAAAGTACCGCGACTGGAGCGAAAGTACAAAAAAAAAGAAAGATCTATTGTCACGTTTTGATCGGAGCAAGGTTTCTAGGGGGAAAAATGTCTACGGACAGAACGAATAAAAATTTCACACGATGGTAAAACAACAGATCCCCCGGCACGCTCTCAATCTAAAATGTTTCGTATCCGAAAAATGTTATGTTGTGTTTGTTTTTTTTTTTTTTTTCTGTATAAAACAGATAAGGTACCCGCTGCAGTTATACAACGTAACCAAACACCGCGAAATGAAAAACAGTCAGATACACGGCACATGGCACGTCATCTGATCAAATAAGTTTGACTCGGCGTAAACGTTCCCCGCGGGTCGATGAAAAAACCGTGCAAACGCGTCGACATCTTTCCGTGTGACGCATCGTCTCCCGCGACATAAGTTCGCCCGACCGAAAAGGACTCGCGCTCTGTCGGCGAATCGCGCGGACCGACGTGACGGCAACGCCAACAGCGAGCGTCACGATGACGGCGCCCCCCGTCGCCCGGGGTTATTATTGGTGCCGGCGCGGCCTGCTGTTTTCCTTTCTGATGATGGCGGCCGTGACGCGGCCAACGGTCGCCCGACGGGATTTCCAGCTGGTCCTGTTGCACACCAACGACATGCTCTCGCGGCTCAACCAGATCAACCAGTCCGGCGGTGAGTGTTCGGACGTGTCCGACAGGTCGGGACTCTGTTACGGCGGTTTCGCGCGCGTCAAGACGGCCGTCGACAGGGAGCGCGCAGCGGTGGCAACGGGCCAAGATGCCGGCGTCCTGTACCTGGACGCGGGAAACTCGTTTCGGGGCACGACGTTGTACACGTACGACGGGGGCATATCGGAAGTGATGAAAAAACTTAAACCGGACGCCATGGTGAGTGCGGCCGCATCCGACCGGTCCGACCGGCCTGGCACCGCGGTGTTGAGACTTATAAATTCGCGCACATTTCATTTAGATTCCGTGCGTAGCGACGGAGCTATTTGTTGTACACAGATGTTTATTTTTTTCTTTCTTTCTTTCATTCTACCAGTCCGTGGACTCGTTTTTTCCTAAGGAACCTTGCTACGATTTTTAGGTGTTTTCACGGTTTTTACATTTTTTTTGATTTTCGACGCCATTTCGTTAATAAAAGCACTCAAGTGGGAAAAAACGTAGGAAAACGTACAATTTCACGATTTCGTTATTTTATTAAAACACGGACGAAGTTTTAGATCAAAAAAAAAAAAAAAAATAATAAAAAAATGATTTAATCGAAAACTCGCACGACACCTTTTTGTTGTATTTTTTATTCGCTCTCTTACGGTATCATTGCCAAAGTTTTTGAGCTTTTTTTTTGCCGTAATTCGGTTATAAATGCATTTAGAGACTTGAAACATGGTAATAATACTTGTATTGAACTTATCTAGACATCGTAAAATTTCTAAAATTATCCGAAGACTTTTTTTTTTTTTAATAAACCATTTGAAATCAAATTTAAAAACTACTAAAATTCAAATTATTTATTTCCGAACTACGCTCAGAATCGTGTTTCGTCAAGCAATGGTTTATCGTTGCTTACAGATATAAATGAAATACCTTAATATATCTTAATTTTCTAACTTCTCACCTACAAATGTGGCCGCTCCCATCCCCAGTATCAGCTTTTTTTAATACTGTTTTATGATTAAATAATTTTTAATTGGCGATTTAATTATTATTTATTTGATGTAAATTGTAGTAATATGCACACACGAAAAAAAAAAAGATACGGACGTACTTCGCACGATTGGTGGACCCCTGTTGTAGATGAGAATTTGGAAAACGATCCTGAGCGATTCGATTGTACACGTTTTGATAAGCCGTAATATTTACGATTTGAAAATAATACACTTCGTAAATTTGCCCATTTTTCCTACGTTTTTTCCCATGTTTTTTCCCGGTTTTTCACATTATCATGAAAATAGCTGAGAAAATCCAAAAATTACGTCCTCAAAGTACGACCCCAGTTAGATTTCCTTTGACTGAGCTCAGAATTTAAAAAACAATAAGATAACCAGTTTACCCACTTGATCACCCGGTAGAATAATAGTAAATGAAATAATATTTTGTTCACAATACATTTTACCACTAAACCTGCATTACCTATAATAACAAATTGTGTTTGTAATTGTTGAGCGAGTTGTTCAAGGTGAATCGAAAAGTGTACACAGATTTTGTCCATTTTCACTGCTAAACGTAATTTTACACGTGTTCACCAAGCAAGTGGCCACATTTTCGATTCGCATATGTATATTTGCTAGGAAAAATTAAAAAAATATATTACAGCAATAAAAATTTCAATTATTTTCGATTTTTTTTTTCTATTATGTTTTTATCCCAGAAATCTAATTTAAAGTGTATAACATCTTATCTGAGAGAAAATTTGATCTTATTGATGGACAAGAAAGTCGCTAAATTTCATTGTTATAGTTTTTTTAATAATCGGGAAAAACTTTAAAAAATTTAGGACAAACGAGAACGTTTACGGCACTAGTAGTTTCATTATGTTTTTTTGTCGTAATTTAGTAAAAAATAATTGTAACGCATTGGTGTACATTGTAATACACAGCGTGTCCTACTGTGGAACCCCTGGATATTATAAAAGCCGACCGAGTTTTGTGAGAGGATAGATATGTAGAGAAAAATTGAATTTGGGTTTTCATCCCTTAATAGTTGGAAAAAAAATAAATTTATTTTATTACTTTTTAAAACGATCAAAATTGCCATTCTGTAAAAAATATTATTGTAAAAATTGTAATGTAACATTCATATCCGACCAATAGTTTTTTTTTTTTTTTTTTTTTTATAGTAATAGCCGTTTTAATTTCTAGAAAACTGCGTGAAAACGATTAATTTTTAATTGTTAACATATTACGCGATAAGGATTCACCATACAATTTTTTTGTTTCTGTGATTAAGGGATGAAAATAACAATTTAATTTTTCTCTGCGTATTTATCCAGCATAATTCAATTATAACGCAATCGTAGTAATAATAATAGAAACTGATACGTATACCATCTGGAGCTTAGCTCTTGTCTCGTACGCGGAGTTCCTAGATAAATACAATAATATTATATACGGTATTTGTTATGCAGTTGAAAAGTCGACTCACTTTTCCGGACAAACAATAGGTAGTATTGATTAAACTATATTGTCAATATTAACATAAAAATGTCCTTAATCATTTCTACTCACGCATGAGCAGTTACATTTCTCACGTTTTATTTTTAACATTCTGTACACGGTCTGACCGTTTCGAATCAAAACCCACCGTTATTGCCAAATATTCGAATGGTAATACCATTTTAATTGGTTTACAGTTGCAACCGGTCCTGTTGCGTTGCGTTCGTACATTATAAAATTAAATCCATCTGGAAGCTGTGATCGACTTGTGACTATCGGCGGATTTACTTATGTTAAATGACAACAGATTTTTATTCCATCCAATCATAGATAAGTCACCGTTGTCATTTTGTTTTTAATTTTTCCCAATCGTCCTCAACGTTTACTAGTATTAAAAACATCAGCAAACATGAATAATCCACTTTTGAAATGAATTTGGGAAATTTAAAAACTAAATGAGTTTCGGTTCATTCGTCAGCTATACGTTGCAAATCGACACAGTTCAATTTCACAATTTTGGAGACCTTACTGGTCCAAAGGCTTGCAGTCAAACTGAACTTATATTGACCTAAACCGGAAAATGCTAAACCGTGTATACTGTGTACAGTTTCACGTCTTAATGGTTTTTATAAATTAATTGTCAATTTCACGTTTCCACTATTTAAAATGGTACTAACAATACAAATAAGCTATTTCAAGTTTGTTTTGAAACGTTTATTTTAAACATAAGAGAGCATAAGTTAAGTTTAACTGCGTAATATGTTATTATAGATTTTACAATTTGCATAAAAGCAATTACCTATAGATAAACGATTTTTCAAAAAACCTAATGGTTTTAACATTAACAATTGTTTGTTAGTGCAATCATCAAATCGGCGATTTCAAATGATATGGTTAAAATTTGGTCACCTATCGTAAAATTATCGGTGTATTAATATTACGCATACTTATCTTATTTAACTTTAGTGTTTGGGAAGTCACGATTTTGACGACGGATTGGACAACATTAAAGAATTTATACACAATACGGACGTACCGATAGTGTGCAGTAATATTGATGTTACGAATGAACCGCTATTAAGCACCGAGACAAATTTAATGAAATCAAAAGTGATTGAAATCAAAGGTCGTAAAATCGGAATTATCGGATATTTGACACCGGAAACCCGTAATGGTGCAAGTAAAGTGAGCATTGATACAAAATGAAAGCTTTGTCCGTCGTTTACATTTGTCTGACCTGTTTGCCAGATTACGTAGATATTATACATAATGACCATACCCTCAGTTTTCATATTTTTGGCAATTCGTCCGACGTATTTTAACATTAATTAAATTTCCGATACAATTTTTAAACAGGATTTTTTTTTTTAAAACGACATTTTGATTTTGGTGAGGGTTTTACCTTTTACCGATTTTAACTCACTACTATATAACTCTATATAACTATAATGATGAATTGAGACAACAATTTTTAATTTTTTCTTCAAAAATATAAATTCAGCTAAAAATCCAAAACGATTCGGGGCCTTGTAAATGTTAAACTACATAATAAATTATTTTTTTACAAATATTTTTTAGCACTGCGAATATTAACACTGCAGTGTCATATTCGTCAAATGTCTGTACGAAAGTTCGAATTCCCGTCAAGTGTTCACAATAATGTAGCGTAGCAATGATTCAAGTATCTCCCCAGTATCTTGTTAATATGGACTTGATAGTATAGTATAATGATAGTGGTTGTGGTAGTGTAATGGTGTTTCATTTTTGATCGTATTTTGAATTGATTTCAAACGTATAAGTACTTTTCGAAATACTTGTTTAACAGAAGATGCTTTGTTAATTAAATTCTGGAAATATAGCATAAACATTAGTTGGTTTCGGAAGAAATATTTGTTAAACGATGGTTTAAACTACATGTTTTAAACGTAACAACTCTGAATTTATATTCGCAGCGCTTGGGACTCGTGCAAATAAAATCGGAAATTGAGGAAATCAAAAAAGAAGTCAACAATCTGAAAAACAACGGGGTTAAAATTATCATAGCACTAGGACATTCCGGGTTTGAAATGGATAAGCTGATAGCCAAAAAAGTAATAGGTATCGATATTGTGATTGGTGGACATTCGCGTACATTTCTATACAATGGTAAATCGCGTTAAGTACTGTATGAGTATTATATAATTATTATTAATATCCCACCGAAAACATTATTTCGTCATAAGTTAAATGTAAGAATTAATTAGGTAAGTATATAAAAAATAATCATATAGTTTATCCAAATAACTCCACCTGTACGCCTACCTATGTTAATTTTACATTCTCTTTTTTTTTGTCTTCAAATAACTTTACCTGAAGGAAAAGCATTGGACATCGAAATACCATACAATTCATATCCTTTTTTGGTGTTGTCGGACAAATCAACTAACAAAAATGTTCCGGTAGTACAAGCGTATTGCAATACAAAATACTTGGGCAAGTTAGTGGTGGATTTTGACGAGAACGGTGAAGTAATCTCAACTAGTGGAAATCCAATTTTGTTGGACCATAAAATTCAACAAGGTTTAGTGTATAAAATATAGTCGTAGTATACTTACTGTAATATTTGTGCTACACAATAACTTTAATCAGTGGCGCAGGAGCAGGGGGCATGGGGGTCCTGTATTATGAACAGTATTTCATGAGTTATCACGGAAAATTCAAAACATTAGTGCACTAGAGTGCGAGATCGACAAGGCGATTGATTATCCACCAGCATCATTTGGTTAACCATCTCCATTTTCTATGCATCTGCATTAAAATTACAATCCAGGCATATGAAGAGTGTGACCTTTTTTATCAATATCAATATTTTATACACAAGTTGGGTAACCAATAAATCTACATTTTACAATCGTGACTAGTGACTACTGATTATTGAATAAAATATTTTTTAAATTTAAGATGAAATTCTCAAAGATTTAATTTTTTGCTTTTACTCAACAATTAATGTACACATATTCTGTACCTACGTGATGAATACCCGAGTACAAAGATAGTTTTAAAGATTTGTTTGACTTGATTATAATTGCAGATAATAATAAATTTAATAATGGTGGTGTTAAGCTTTTTTCTATGAAACATTTTCAGTAAAGCTGCAAAAAATCTCCTATTAACCAAGCTCAGATAAGATTATTAGAACCAAGAGCTCATACTTAAGGCTATGCAAGATTAGGTTAATTTATTTCAATTTCTTGTTCAATAAGCCAATTTGATACATTTATTATCATTGAGTATAGACAGTATTACTTAAACTCAGTGCTAATGTAACAATAAGTACCTATGTGTATGATTAACTGCTCGGATATGCACATTTATTTTTAGATCGTGAATTATTGGAAGTCATAAAACAAATTGAAAATCCAGCCATAGAAAAAATCAAAATGGTAATAGGTTCGACGAGTGTATTTTTACAAGGCGGTGACGAATACTGCGGGACGAGTGAATGTAACTTTGGAAATTTCATAACGGACGCGTTCATTAACTACGTTAGTTATTATAGAATCATTTCACCTACACAAGCGCAACTAGTGGAGTGGAGGAGCTAGGAGAGCTTAGCCCCTTCCCCAAAATGACTAATAGTCTCCAAAATAAATAATATGTTATTTATTCTTGGATTCAATGAAAAATAAGGATTTTCAATACTCGTGTCACTAAAACAAATATATCGACATATATTCGCGCATAATAATTTACAAAAAAAAAAAAAAAAAATTGTTTGACTCTTAGATTATGTACTATGGATAGAGCTATAAGCAATAAAACGTGTCGCCATACTTAATATCAATAGGGCATCCCACTTTTGAGAATGCGCAAAGTACCTACTGTTATCAGTCTTATCACAACATACTTAATAAAATATCACAGAATTATAATATACAACTGTATGTAAAATATACAGTATGTTTCTACAGACTTCTTCGAATCATGCCACGGCCATCAATATCGGACGGGAGTTTATTCTCGCGCTTTTCGTCGTTTAATTGAATATGCCAATATAAATAACTCGAATAACAATTATTTTTGTCAAAAAAAAAATTCAATGAAATACACATCATTTTCAACCCTGCTTTGACGCAAAGATTAAATGGCTATCTTTAAAAAACCATACTGTGTTAATGAAGAAACAATAAGTTTCGATCATCTTCAGGAAAATATATTTATAACAATTTTTTCAAATTTGTCCGAGATAGATCAAGTTGCCATTACATTGCCAATATTCTCTACAACATCTGAGCGTGCATTTTATACTATAAAATGAAACATTTGTTATCTTTAAAACTGAAATAATTTTTACATTCTTTTAGTGTTTGAATTTTACAACGCGTGAGAGAGGTGTGTGGGGTAAAAGCCCCCACTGTTCACCTTTGGTTTAACATTAAGGTGGGACTATAGCCTCTCCCCCCTTTAATGTTTAGTGCTAGTTGTGCATGCTGCATTGTGTACATAGTTATTGAACGATCGGTAAATAAAAAGATAATAACTATAACGACGACATTTTATTGCATATAGAATATTCGGATGAATATAAAGAAGTTCAATTTGACTAAACAATGGACTGACGCGTCGGTGGCGATAATACAGAATGGAGTAATTGGATCTAATATAAGTCAGACGAATCGGAACAGTGAGTACCTCCTGTACCTTCCTGTACCTACATACTATTTAGGGTCTTTCAAATTTCATGTTCCGGTCAAATTTTCCACAAATTACTACAATAATTTTTCAATAATTGATTTAGATAATTAAAACATTTTATTATCATATATTCTAAAATGTTACATTGTCTTTACTTTTGGGGGAGAATTTTATCGACTACATGCATTTGATTTTCAAATATCAACATTTATTAAAAGTGGAATATCTCGTCAACGGATTGACGGAAATCAAAAACGTCAACACCTAGATGTGTTTATGCTAATAGTCCAACTATTTATGGAATTTTAAATATAGGTTGCTATTTGAAAATCAAATGTGGATTGTCGATTCAACACTAAAAATAAGAGTTCTGTTATATTTTAGAATATAATATAATTACAAAAAGTTTTGCGATAAATCATATATTAAAGAAATGAGCATTTCATCGAAAATTGAATTATCATCAAATTCGGAAGACACTGTATACTATTTGTATTAATGTCATTAAGAAAATCAAATTTAAAACGTACTCGGTTAATGCTTAATGATTTGTTAATGATGTTTAAGGTGACATTACCGCGGTTGACGTGTTGATGGCATTGCCTTTCCAAAACGACGTAGGTAAAATCACAATAAAGGGTATGGATCTCAAGAATCTTATTGAACATGGTGTTAGCCAGTATACAAATGTAGAACACAGCGATGCATTTTTACAAGTGTCAGGTAAAATTAAGTGAAAAAAAGACTGACATACTACACACGATGGGTAGGCTATTGTTGTAGGTGAGAAGTTCGGAAGGTAGGATATAGCGTTGCTAAAGAAAAAACGATTCTGAGCAGCTGAGTTCAATAGATACTATTGCTTTTTTAAGAATGTGCGTTTTCACGAAAATAACGATTATTTAAAAAAAAAAATTAATGATTAAAATAATAAAAAATAAATAAAGAAATGTTGCCAATGATAACCTTATTTTTAACCTTTCAACGACTTTTACCATTTTATTGTATACTATTATTAATTATTGTTACTATAATATAATCTTATTTAATTGTTATCTTTAATATTTACTAAAATTTAAGTATTTTTCTTGTAAATTGCCGTCAGGCATAGAAATAAAATAAATAAATAATGAAATCAATCTTATAACGATTGTAACGTACATTTTTCAGTTTTTATTTTACGTTTTTTTGTCCGGTTTTCCCAATTACTATGAAAATTACTTAAAAAAAATCGAAAAAAAACTTTCCTTATAAGCAACTTATGATCATTGGTATAAAAAAAAAATTTCTATATAAAAAATTGTATCCATTTATAATGATCAAATTTCACAATTTTTTAGTTTTTGAGCGGAATGAGGAATGTATTGGTATTACAGTGATGTTTATTTTTTTTATGTGAACACTTTTTCTTCCAGAAAGCATACTCTGATCAAATATAGCACCTTTTCCGAAAGTTCTTTGGGTGGTACTTTAGAGAGGTAATTTTTAAAATTCTCATTAATATTCAAGGTAATGAGTAAAACATCGGTCTTTAAGTTAAAAAAAAAACTGAAAGATTAAAAATAAGGTTGTCATGGGCAACTGTTTTTTTTTATTTTTTGTTATTATTAAGTTTTATTATTTTAAAATCTTATTGAAACAATCATTGTGGTCATTGTTTTAATCACTTTACCATGAGATATATACCATATATTGTATTGTTGACAGATTAACACTATCAACTGAACTCCACTCAGAATCGTTTTTTCGTAAGCAATGGTTTATCGATACTTACAGATAGAAATTGAATTCCCGTCTGTATCCTATCTTCCCAACTTGCTACCTACAACAGTGGCTGCAGCCCAGTGTGAAGTATGTCGGTCCTTTTTTTTTTTGGATGTAGTATAATTATATTATTGTAGTGGTGACTCACAGACGCTGATAAAGAGAGACGATATAAAGGTGATTATATGAAAAAGTCTTGGAGTTCAGCTTGGAGTAATGTTTTCCAATCGGAATTAAGCAGGTCGCATTAAGTTTTGTTTTCCGTGACTGTCTTGTTCTTTACTATTTGTTCAATAAAATGCGATTAATTAATAAAAACATTTTCTATAATAAATCTGCTTTAGATATTTACATCCATGAAATTTTACCTTTTCAAAAATGTGTAGGTATGTATTTTTGTAACATTCTGTATTTTTGATGTAGTATGGCGTATAATAACATTATACGTTTTGTTGTTTTAATACGTGTACAGTGTATCCTACAGTGTTCGACGGATTTTTTTTGTGCTATTAATATTAATTTTTTTTTTCAAGTGGTTTGTTTTCGAATGTGATATTGATTTGGAGAAAAATTAAATTTTTATTTTCGTTCCCTAAACATACACAAAAAAAAAAAAAAAATATTTTATTCATTCACTTTAGAAAATTTTCAAAATAGTCTTTATGTAAAAAATATTATTCAAAAATTCACACATTCATATCCGATGAGTAGTTTCTTAGTTATAGCCATTTAATTAGGCGTGAAAACAATTCATTTTCAATAAAATAACACGTTATGCGATAAGGAATTACAATCAGCACGGTAATATTCTTTACCTTCTATTGGATATTAATTGTTTTCACGACTATTTTCTAGAAATTAAAACAGCTATAATTAAGAAAATAAATAAATACAAAATTTATGTATAAAAAAAAAAAATAAATAAATGAATCAATGAGTCGCCTAAAGTATTATGATGAGTGTATTATATACGATCGGTTTCGAACTAAAAATTCATCCTTAGGTGTATCACAGTCAAAATGTAAGATGCAACTACATATAAAAAATGAATTGAAGGAACACATAAAAGAAAAAAAAAATTCTACAAATTGGTCGTTTCAGCAATGTAGAATATAGAAATAATTTATTTTAATAGGAGAGATAATTTAAAATTAGTAGTTATTATTAAATATTATGTTAATAAATAAAAATGATTTGGTTATTTTTTTACTATCTAAAATTTATTGGTAACGATCAATTTTTATAAATTTTTTTTTTCCATGTATTCATTTAATTTTTTATATTCAGTTGCGTCTTAAATTTTGACTGTGATATACCTGATGATGAATTATTAATTCGAAACCGAACGTATCATAATGCACTTATCATAATACTCCTGGCGACGCATTGATTCATTTATTTATTATATTTTTATATGTACATTTTTCAATTATATATTTATTTACTATATTTTTTTATTTTCTATATTTACGAGTATTAACTATTTTAATAATTTTGTTTTTACTTTATTTGTTTACTATAATTAAGGAACTATTAAACGGATATGAATGTATGAATTAATATGAAACATTACAATTTTTAGAATAATATTTTTTACAAAATGGATACTTTAAAAATTTTCTTAAGTAAATAAATACAATTTATTTTATTTTTGTGTTTAGGGGATGAAAATACAAATTTAATTTGTCTCCAAATCAATGTCCCCCTCGAAGAGGATCGATTGGAAAAATAAAAATCGAAACAAATTTGATATTCGTCGAATACGGTAGAACATACTGTACACCATACATATAACTACATATGAGTATTATACATTGTTTCTTATTTCGACAATCGATACATTTTTTTTTTACTCATCACAAATAAAAGTGTCCTGATGTTTTTTTTTTTTTTTTTTTTTTGTACAAATATGATCACCCTATCTTAAATGTTATCGCCGGAAATAATGCTCTCTGCGAGCGTATGAATTGAAAAGACCAAAGAAACACTGATTATTCTTGATATTATTATAATTTATTATTGTTGGCACGGTGTTAGTGTGTTCAAAATAAAATTGTGAGTTGTCCTTTCCTTCAATCGTACACAGGGGCCGCGATCGTCCTGTCGTCCAAGCGACGATCCGCCACTGTGTTATTGTATTAAAATATAGTATTGATTATACGCGTGATATCCGGTTATTCATTGTTTTTAAGAAGAATATTTGTATTTTATTAACTGTGAGTGTGGTACTCCACACTGGGGGGGGGGATATTTGGTTATAGTTCCGGTAAGTTTTATTCGTATAACTATACATTCTCCTCTGTACGCTTCGATGTTATACGGTTCAACAGGTCTCCAGGTTGTACTAGACTTTACAATAGACACTAGCTATCATGTTCGGAAATTTCTCGTTAGATGCGCAGAATGCACGGTTCCGGTTTACAAAGAATTGGAAATGAATGACGACTACACCATTATCGTCAATAAGTATCTAGCAGACGGCGGGAACGGTTTTCAGTTTAAACATTCGACTCCCGAATACAAGAGTTTCGGTAAGCGTACGTTCACGACATCGGTTCTGCGGTCGTTCACGGCACACTGATTTTGTGTTTTAGGTTCTGAGTGGAGTGAAGAAGCTTATGGTTTCACAAAGATGTTTAATTTATTTGTACGCAACTTTTTTTTTTACCGGAAATCTTGTTCCGATTTTTAAGTATAGCAACTTTTCTGGAAGGAAATCGGTGTGGGGAGTACTTTGAGGGGGTAATTTTTCAATTTTCTCAAAAATAATCTCATCAAATGGGAAAAACCGAAAAAAAAAATGGAGGAAAAACGGGAAAATCTACGAAATATATTATTAAAATATTACGATTTTTTCTTTCTGTGAACAGCTTTTCTACCAACAATTTCGATCCAATTTATAAGGATGCCAATTTTTCTAAAAAGAAATCCAACTAGGAAGGTCCTTTAAACGGGTCATTTTTCGATATTCCCTAGAGTTTTCCCAGCAAATGTGAAAACCCAGGAAAAAGTTAGAAAACCGGGAAAATTGGTACAACATCAAAACAAATATTATTAAAGAAAATATATAAAGCCTATTTAATTACTTTACTATAGTATGACCGATATATTGTTGATAAGGCATTACTATTAAATGAACTCCACTCAGAATCGTTTTTTCGTAAGAAATGTTTTATCGTTGTTTATTATTATTATTATTTTCGAATTCCCAGGGATAACTGAAACGGAAATTATAATAGAAGAAATGTCTATATCTAAATATTCACCGATAGTGTCAGAAATCAGTGGACGGATAGTTATTTTCGACAACCGCAGCGATGAACAGCCCGAGGAAGAGCTTTCATATTCACCAGAAATGCAAGATGATGGAATAGCAAGTTCTATAGGAGATACTATATTAGACATTGGGGAAACTGTTCTCTCGACTGTTTAACCGAAATTTATCTGTACAGTTAAATTAAATTTAAATGATACGTAAAACGGTATTTTAAATTATTCTCAACACTGCATTAATATACTATTAAACTCAAATATTATTATTATAAATTAGTACAATACCACTTTATTTGTTTATTATAGGTAATTACTAATGGTATTTTAATTTATTTTAAAATATAAATATCTAAAAAACTAATATGTATTTAAAAATGTTTAATAAGTAAATGTATATGCCAATCAAAAATGGACTAGTTAGGTATCTATAAACGTATCGTGTTTTTAATTTATCTATGAGTTGTTAAGTTGGTTCCCGAGTATATAAAATGGTTTCTGATGACCCGGTGGTGTCAGAAGAGTAAACCTGATGGCAGTTACCCATTTCGGCCAAATGTGTCCTTTTTCCTTCTCCGCCAATACACATGTCCGTCAAATCATAATATCTCGATCACTTAGTGCTATCCATTATTTAAAATACAAAATGCGGAACCTTCGTACCATCCAATAAATTGGAATAACCGGTAAAAAACTGAGGAAAAACGAAAAACCAAGAAAATAGGTACAATATTAAACAAATATTATTTAAGAAAATAATATAATGCATATGTAATTATTTTACCATAATATGGCATACATATTGTTGATAAAGCAACACTATCAACCGAACTTCACTCAGAATCATTTTTTCGTTAGCAATGGTTAGTCGCTACTTATAGATATACATTAAATTACATTTAATTAAATTACCTTTAACAGTGGCTGCACCTGTTTCCATTATCTCAGGACAATTTTTTTATTTTCTATTCGTTCAGTTAAATTTTGGGACATGGGGAAATATATTTGGTGAAAAATCAAATTTTCATTTTCACCTCTTAAATCACTAGAAGTAAATTTGTTATTAGTTCACTATCTAAAATAGCCACTATCAATTCTAGCCAGTCAGTTCCCAGAAAATTAAATTTAAATATTACCTATACACAAATATTGTAAGCATAGCTTGTAAATTTGTAACCATTTTGAAATTTAAGGGTCTAAATTAATATCTAACTGCCAAGAGAAGATCAACTGGTGACCTACAGGCTAAGCCACGTGGTATTCTTCGAGGCAAGGTGACCAGAATCTGTAATTGTTTTGGTATCGATAAATTATTAGAGAAACGGTGTTAAGTTAAATAAGAAGAAAATATAATATGCAAAATAACGTATTATCGTTTATTTGATAGGAAGTGAAAATAAAACAAATTTTTTTTTCGTCGGACCTTTCGACGTGGACCGTTGTACGTATGTATGTCAAAAAACGAAAGTTTCAACAGACAATACAGTAGTTTGGTAATCGGAATACCAAGATATTCAGGCGCACAAGATAGTCGATATAAAGTACAGAATTGTACATTTGATGGCAGTGATAATCGATTTGCTGGACCCCGTATTTTTTTTTTTTTACTGTTAGATTATGGTAATTCCAGTAAGATTATTTTTTATTTAGGTTTGGTGTAAGAATATGGAACATGTCCAATTTGGTCAAAAACGATTGGTTAATGTGGTTAGGTTGGGAAGTATGACATCGAAGGTGATCGATTTCGCTAAGAGTGGTGTTATAGAGGTTTGATTTCTCTTTAATTGGGGGACGGGATTAAATTTGTATCCCCCATCCGTAGTATGAATAAAACAGCGGTAATTTCATGACGTACTTCTTAGACCTTAGATAAATAAATTTATTTATGGTACTTCGATTTTTTTCAAAATTATTTGGTATTTAAAGGTGGTTAAAAGTATTTACTGAAAATGCTTTAATTTTTCTAGTAACTCCACCCTTAAAAAATTGTTTGAAGTTGCATATGATTTTTAGTCTAGTCAAAACGTTTAGAAATTTAACTCGAGGTTCATTTTCAATTGTACTTTGTGATAAACATTTTTTTTTTTATATAATTTTGTAAGTGTTTACTCGAAATTTGTTCAGAAACGTATTTCGTTAGCGATAAATTAACCGTTGCAGACATATATAAATTAAATAACTCTACGTATCCCGCCTTGTCATTTTTCCACTTAAAACAGTGGCACACCCATATCAGTTGTTTTGGTTTTTGGTAATTGTGCCAGAACTTTCCCGAGAATTAAGTAATACAGTAAAACTAACTTCTTTTGCTCTTAGTTTCTTGGTCTGCTAGAAATAAAAAAAAATTTAAAAATAAACGATATCCCGGTCTTCGATTCAAGGACATTTCGCTCATGGGAAATTGGCGTTTATGATTTAATCGAAACATAACAAGGCAATTGTATTTCATAATAATACAACTGCAAATATTTTACTTAGTATTACTTTTGTAGGTAATTGTCTACCATCTACATAAATCACTAATATCATATTAAGACCAAGTTAAGTAAACAACTCTATTAGGACTAGTAATTACCTCGTTAAAATGTAATGTAACTCATTAATTTTGAACCGATTTCCAGACACGTACCCACGAAACGCATATAACTTGTCCCACTGCAGTCCTTGTGAAAAAAAAAAAAACGATATTACGATATCTATAACATAATAATATAATTTAAAGCGTCCACAAAAAAACATCACTTATTGCGTAAAATATCAACCAGTATTCGTTTTACAAAAAACTATCGGAATGAATGAAAATAACACGCCCATTGTGGACGAACAACCGTATTGAATATTTAGATTTAACTCGTTTAAACAAATAGAAAACGCGTAATTATACCTAATACTTTTAGTATACCGACTATTTCCATCGGTATTTTTGTATTTTTTTGAAATCATTTGTTTACTTTCTATAATTATAGTTCAGTAGTTGTGCTGAAGCCATGTGCGGACTGGCTGGGGTGCTGGGATGCTATTGCAGCACCCTACACCCTAAAACTAATTTGTCCCGATCGGCATGAATTCACCTCAATCAATCGACTTGAAATTCATAAAAATTTAATGTAGTATTGATTATTTTGCAATACATATTATGAGCTTCCTAGATATTATCGTGTTTTTATTTTTAAAACATGCCGACGCTATTTGAATTTTGCGTGTTTTTCTTTTAATGCGGACCGAAAATAGATGTTGGGAATGTTGCGATATATTTTCATCGCCGTTTTATGTTTAAATTCGTTGAAAACAAAATCAATTGTAATTTATTTTGTAGTTACAAAAATGTATAATTTAAAGTATACATTTTTCGAAACAAGTTCAACTGAACTTGCTTATTTAGAGACGTTTTTCGTTACATTGATTTATCATTGCTTACAGGTATAAACTAAATAATTATTACGACTCTATGTATAATTTGATACGATCAATTTTATTGCACCAGTGGGATCGCTATGAAATTTTCAATAAAATTGTCGTTTAATATAAAATTTGACAAAATATGACTCGCATCACGAACACCGTCAGATTTTATCACAACCAGCGGTGTGCGTTTATTGAACACTATTGTAATAATATTAAGTGGCTGGGCGTGTGTTTTGCCTCATGTATACAATGTGAACGATTTGGAAACTTCTCACAAACCGAGAAAGCGTTTGTCAAGGGAAAAAAACTACGGGTAAATGATTGAAAATGTTGATGAATATTTCAGATAAAGTACTATCAGACAGATGTTCCGGCGCGATTATTCTTTTGAGATACCGCGTGAAAGAACTGGACCATTTGCCTAACCGAATGTCGAAAAAGTGCGCTTAGAAGAGAGAGAGAGAGAAAAAAAAAAACAAAACACAATGCACTTTTTCGGGAAAAGTGTTAAATATGTCGGAAAATAATTGTTATACTCTACCGAATGAACCGTCAGTCGAAAAATCCGCATTTTCACGGTACAACGTGAACGAACCGGGGCATTTCTACGAGCCGACAAAAACGTGTTATGGGAAACAAAACGCGCGCACGTCATAATATCGTTAACAAAATACCAGCTTCTTCGTCTAAAATGTCCACGCGGCCCGAGAGCCGACGACGCGGCGACGGGAAAAAAAAAAAAAACAAAAGAAGCCGCCGCCGGGCGGTCGGCGGTGATTGACCCGTTCTCGATACGACAAAAAGTATCGTACCCGCGACTGCGACGCCGTATAGCGGTTTTCGTATGATCCTCCGCGTGTTTTAAAAATATTAGTGCGCTCGTCGATTGCCGTCGCGTCACCGTCGTACACGTGTGGCGATAATTGTCGCAATATCGTTATCACGGGACGACGATAGTGGAACCGGGCGCAATAACGCAGACATTGTTGTGGCGGCGCGACAACAACGTACGGTGACGTTACATAAGTTGAAAAAAAAAAAAAAAACAAAAAAACAATAACAAACATTAGCGCCGCGATCGTAAAAATCGCGGGCGGCTTTTCTTACCGTTCGGCACCGGCGGGCAGACGAATATTTCGTTCGACGGCGGCCGTCAAAGTTCGACGACACACGCGGCCGCGCGAGCGGAGAGCCGCGCCGCGTGTCGCCGTCACACACGAGCACGAAAAACGTGGCCGGCCGCAGAGTGCACCGACCTTCGGGTCGGATTGTGCCGCGGCGCCGAAGGCCGGCCGCGTTTTGTGCGGTGTTTTGTGTCGTCGCGAATCTGTTCGTGTCGCCCGCGCGCAGAATTCCATTTTGGCCGGACGCGGACGCGGGGGAAAAAAAAAAATGTCCGGGCGAGTGTCGCGAATGTCAAACGACACGGGCACGGCATTTTGCGCGGCGGGTGGACCGCTGTTGTCGCGCGGGCGAGAGAAGCCGGGGAATGGCAGGACGCAGAATTCAATGCGTACACGCAGCGACGATTGATCTCTGTTGACGAAAAACGATTCTGAGCGGAGTTTGGTAATACGTGTTTTGAATGGCCGCATTATGTTTACGATTTGAAAACAATACATTTCGTACGTTTTCCCGTTTTTCCTCAGTTTTTCTCCCATTCGTCGGGAGAACTCCCGGTCAAAAACTGATCACCCCAGTCAGATTTCATTCAGAAAAAGCGTTATACTTGAAAATCGGTGGATAAGTTGTCCACCGGAAAATACAAATAAAACATCGTTGTAAAACCAATACATTCCTTGCTCCGCTCAGAATCTGAAAATGAAAAATATCACCTCGAGCTCGTACTGTTACGTCAAAAACGTAAACACAAATCAAAGGTTAATCGGGGAACTCGGTGCGGCAACGAAACAAGTCAACTTATGAGAGTAATAAAAACCGTCTATCTGTGGGACGTTTTGCCCGGAATTTGGTCGAAATGCACAATAGTCCTTACCCCCCTAATTTTTTTTTTTTCATATTTTAGCAAACGTGCGCTTTCATGACTGTCGCACCAAATTATGTAGCATCTATTGCTTTGCTCGAATCGATCAACGTGTTGCAACTTCAGATTTGCCTTGTTGTTGCACTGAGCCCTTCAGTTCATATTTCGGAGGGTGGTTTGAATCTCTAAAACCACCCCTGCGTTCACCGCTGATTTTAGCACGTGCTCGTCGGGTTTTCGCGGGAGGATAACTTTAAAACCGAATTACCCGCTAGTGCTGTAAATTAGTTGGCAAAATCACGCGAAATATCAGCCGAATAACGACCGCATAGGAAATAATTTGGAAAAGTCGCATTGCACAGCTATAGATAATATTGTTATTCCCTCAGGCAGCAGCGGCTTATGAATTATTTACGAATGTACTCAAAAGTAATTATGGTCGGAACATTTCGCAAATCCGAAAAACGACTACCTTACCTATTAGTGTCCTCAGTGTTTGGAAAAATAACCAATATTTTTATCCGGGTGTAAGACTCATATTTCCAGTTATCGAGACAACATAAAATTATAATACGATAGTTAATTTATGTAAAATAATATTTCAAGTAGCTAGGTGTGACTATCAGACTCGAAAAATAATACAAGTGTTAAGAACGTATAAATATTATTATAATAAGTTTGTCCGATAATATTCGATGGAAATAAAACATCGATTTTTGAATTAGTTACCGAGGTTACAACGCGATTAAAAAAAAAAAAAAAAACAAAACCCATTTTAACGTAAATAATATCAACTGATATCTATTAAGTATAAATTAGATATTTCGTATATTTACTAGAAATAATAAATTAAATATTTTGATTTTATCTAAACAAAAGATAAGTATATCGTTATACCTTGATTATCTATTAGATTTAGATGGTTCCTACTCGATTCTCTCGTTCCCGAAAATCCCAACAGATGAGGAATTGGTTACACGATGACGGGCCGTAGTTCGAAAGCAATGGATTGCAAATGCTATGGTAACGAATAAAACACTGTTTACTTACTAGTCATTTGTTTCAATACGTTTCATATCACAGTGACAATAATATATTTCGGTACAGTCTAACACGGCTCTCAATACGCACACTCTTCTTAAAATAATCTTCTCCTTAACCTCCGTTCTCTAGTTATCCACTCCGTCGTCAATTTTATCTCCAGCTCTTCGTACCGTGATTGCGTTTTTATTTCTCTTTGTTGTTTATATTTCTATAACCGTTTTAAACGGCCTTATCACCACCCCCTCGAATTTTTACTCGTGTGAACCTTTCAAGTACAGGCATAGATTTTTTAAACAGTAGCCGACGTTCACACGTTTTATTCCATATTATAATGTCTCCGCGCATCGGAAAAACGAATAAAGTACTGTTTTTCGACTGGCCGGGTTTACAATTTAGATAGATTAGGCTAGGTAGAATACCTATATTATTTCAAATACCGTACTAATCGTAATTTTTTCGCAACAGTTTTGTAATATCATAAAAAAATTACAGTAATGTCGTGTATAGAAAAAAAATAACAACAGCAACAAAAAAAAAAAAAAAACCAACAATAATATACACTATATTGTGTTGTCCGAAAGTATCGATACACCAGTTTTACACAAATTGTTTTCAATATTACACGCACATATATACACAATCTCTTCTAACTTGTTCTATACTGCGGGCATTATACGACATTTTTACGATTCGCTGAGAGTTTTGTCCGCAGCACAATATCGCCGTCATTAATAATTGTTCTGGACCACTTCTCTCCGTCCTCTTCTCACACCAACACTAACAAATCCATCATCTTACGTTTCCCGTAACGCCGATCCGTTTTTCTTTTTCGGTGCAATTAATCCCGAAGCCTTTTTCCCTGCGGCTTTGACAACATCGCGCGTTCACTCCTCTCGTTTGTTGACATTTCGTCGCCCGCGAACAAAACTATCTCGCTAGTGCAGCAGATGCCTGCACGTCGAACAATATTAATAATTTATTTGTTTAATTTTTAGATTCGAATCAATTATTTGCTATTCGGTTTCGTCCATTAGTCCTTGTCTCTTTTGAGCCATTACAAAAAATTGGCCGTTTTTATTGCCCTGTGCTATAATAAAATATATTTCCTCATATTCCTTATAAATCGTCTATTACCACGATATAATATTATAGTGTTATAGGTGCCCCGTTAAAATAATATAATGGCGTCGCTATTCGAGGATTGGGCGTTGGCCGTGCAGTCGTTGTACATAATATTATACAATTTTTAACATTATTCTCGAGGAGTCGCTTGTTCGATAATAAGTATTTATACTTCACCGCGAATATATTTTAATAAATTTTAATCGCCGTGTAACATATCATAGCAGGTAATATGTGCGGTTGCCGGCCGTTATAATAGTCCCGCGATTTTCGAACGGCCGCCCGTGTCCGCGGTGTTGTACATTATATAGGGTAATTTGTTTTACCATGCACCAGCAATTATCCCAGAGAAATGTATGTGAATTTGATTTCTGTGTTTTCTAATCATTACGGGATTGTTTAAGGTTCATTTTAAAACCATTTTTAATTGTTTACCCGTATTCCGTATACCTTAAATAAGTGCATACTTTTGATTTTCGAATAGGAACTCCTCCTTTTGAACACTGATTTGAATAGAGAATATTTTTCTATAAATTGTGATACGCGTAACACTGATATCAGATTTACCGTTTATGAGTACCAGTTTAAAGTTTAGACCGGAGGAGGAGTAGAGAATGGTAATAAATTGCCCATCTATGACTCTTCTCTACTCTTTTCTAAACTTCGAACTCATAACTCAAACTTCACTAATTCATAAACGGTGAATCTGTGATACACAATTAAAAATGGTTTTAAAACAAACCTTAAAACATAGCAAAATGATTAGAAAAAACAGAAATCAAATTCACTTAAAATCCTCCGAGATAATTGCTGGTTCATGATACAAAAAAAAAATCACCCTGTATATATATATATATATTCATATACGCTATGATAATAATAGTATACTTATATATATCATGTATTAGCGTATTACATTTTGGTTTTTTTTTCTTTTTCCGCCACGGTTCACGGCTCGTGAGATCCAGACGTCGTCGGCTGCAGACCGGTCGCCGCATAAGAATGCCGTCTATAGATCTAGAATACGTGTATTATATTTTATACGCGATTTCGTCGGAAAACGAGACGTTCGTATAATAAATATTGGCATTATTATTATTATTATTATTATTTTTTTTTTTTTTCCGTACATCTATAATAATATTATCGAGTAGACACGAGCAGATAGTACCTACATATAATAATACAGAGTTATAAGCGCACATTCTGGCCATTCTGCACACGTCGTAATAATTTCGTGCCCGATTCGGCGGGCGAGACCCGAACAAATAATAATAATACACGGACCGGTCGTCCAATACATGTAATACAGAAACATATTGTTTATAATAAATTCATGTCGTTGGCGTCGCAATGCAACAGACGTGCGACGCGAATACAATAGTACAACTAACCGAGCACCTATACGAGAGCGTCGTTTTTGACTTGAATTTCCAACAGAGCTAGGCAAAAGTTTGAACTAAAACGAAAAAAAAAAAACAACCTGTAAATAGGTAATTATATGTATAATAGTTACAATAAGGGAGTAAAGCGATCAAATTCAATTTTTCTTCGCTGGGCCATATTTGCATCCGGCCATTATGTGGTGTGTGGACATAATATTTTCCATGGCCATTTTTTATCTGGCATTATTGCCGTCTACCGTATAAAGTTTATTTATAATTCCATAATATAACAGGTCCGAGTGTTATTATGGGGAATAACATCAAGATTTGTATTTTTCTTCGTACACTGCTGTGTTTTTTAAACGAGTTCAATAGATAGATTGTATCGGGGAGGGGGGCGGGGGGTTGTTGTCACAATGACGGAAATTTATTATAGTATACGAATGCTGCGAAAATCAAAAATAATAATTCCTTCATAAGGTACATAAGGTACTTATACACTATTAACACCGCTCCGGTCATATATATATATATGAAAATAATAAAACAATGGAACCATGAAACTAGGGAAGTAGAAAACAAAAAAAAAAAATGATCAATAAAACATTATAATGTGAACAATAAAACATGACTCACACAAGTCTGAATGTTAACTACGATATTATGCTAATAATTATTATATATACGTATAAATCATAATAATATTATAGACTTGTAATGGCTATATCAACTAAATGCAAATAACAATAATTACCCCATGAGACGTGATTAGCAGTAAGTCACGCGATTGAAATAAAAAAAAAAAAAAAAACAATTATTATAATTCTAAGTAATAAATTCATAATCATAACTAGTATCGCGAATCGGATCCTAACTGTATAGCTCCATATTTCACGTGTCCACGTATTCACGTGGAATTAACATTCGAATCTATGAAACCGTGAACTTAAAAGATCCGTTGTAATTGACGTTTAATTGTTAACGTACACACGTATATTAACGTGTTTCACTGCGTATTCACATGTATAACACTAAAACACACGAGCAGATAAGGTAAATTCACGTGCATAAAGCATACGTTAGTACGCATTTTTTATTTACGTGTACACGTACTCCGTTTTCACGAATTTATTAATAATTCGAGTTTTCAATCGCTATCACTCGTTTTCAACATTGCCGCAGTTTCTAAATTGTATAATGTCGGCCGAAGCCTATTAGATACTTACAGACAGTCTCCAATAACCAACAACCAATAACTGTGTGCAATTTAAGCAGTTTAGACGATCGATTCGCAGATATCTAAAAAAAATCGCATATAATCGTTAAAACGCTTTATAAGAAGATGTAATTAATTTTATTCGTAAACACTCATGTATAATCAGAAAAATATGATTGTGGTAACATTGTAATAACGAATCATAGACAATTTTACGGCAAAGCAACTCGGTATTTTAAAAAATTAGAATTTCGAAAATTTGTTTCAAAATAGGTATTTGTATTGTTTGTTAAATAAATATTTCCCGGAGGATTAATACAGATTTGGGAACCCGCGGAATATGGATCTTCAATATGGTGTGTGTGGGGGAAGGGAGGTTACAAGTAATACCCCAAACCCCGCCCCATTGAATTTTTAATACA